AGTTAATTGGGAACTCGTAGCCTGGCACGAGGAAAACATGGATGCAGTGAATGGGATTTCGGTCTTTGACCACTAGCTGGTGAGCTGATCTACTCACCTCCCACAGGAGCTGCATCTGCGCCTTGATCCTTGAAGGGTGATGACGTTCCTACGGATGCGGAAAGCCCGGCTTCCAGCCGAGTCTCACGCTATAAACCGTGAAATTTTTTTACATTCTCAAAATTATTCCCATCCTAAATGTACAGAAATGAAGACCCCTATCCATAGACCTAAGCCAAGGCTAAGTAGGCTAAGACTCCATGGAGCAGAGGCGCGGGTTTGATAGGCCTATTCTGGCTGAGCGTGACTCGGCAGCTTGCTACAGGAGTGGCAGGTCTCGGTGGATATGTACGCGCTGAATGGTGTGTAAGAAGCTTGGAAACTCGTCGAAGCTCCAGAGTGGCAGCGTAAATCGGCAAGCCGAGTGGTACCAAAGCCAAGACCAAGGCGATGAGCGCCATCGGCAACCAGGCTGAGCTGAACACAACCATCCTCTGCTACCATCGTAAATGATTGCTGTAGAAAAACACCTGTCTTGGTTTGTTTTTGTTTTTGTTCTTCTTCACCGTTCGCGTCAGACTCGGCTAGAGGCATGCAGCTCCTAAAGTGGTGGGACTGAGGTCAGTAGTGTGAGCGATTTTATAAAGGGCGGATGATGAGAGCATGCGGGGTTGACGGAGGAGAATTTTAAGGATTTTCTTGTGGTGTATTTCAAGCCTTGCAGCAGCGGAAGAGGATAATCCAACCCAAGACGTATCGGCATAATCAAATATTGGGCGAAGGTAGGCTAAATATAAATGAAGCTTGCAAGAAAGTGGGAGGTAGGAGCAGTGGGGGGAGAGAATTCATTATAATAATATTATTATGACGGCAACAAAGAATCCAAACATGCATAACACACTATAATATTAGGCCTTGACGGATTATGCTAGCATAATTTTTCGCATAATTCCTACCAAAATCGAATAATCGCATAATTCGAGGCAAATTGCATACGAATCGCATAAATTGGAATAATCCGCCTGTTCGCATCAAATTCCATACAGCTGTACATGTTCTACAAGTACAAGTAGATGGTCCAGGAAGTCGTAGGTTTTCGACTCCCTTGATAACATGTCCAGTCCACTACAATCAATGACGGTCGTAGCTAGGTCACACGGTGCGTTGAACTTTTGCTACTACAGTACAGCGCCCTCTACAAAAAAATTCCCCAGTTCTTTTGCACAGAACCATCATACAATACATTAGCAGCATATGTGAGCATAATGCGGCATAATACGATAACTTTTAGCATAAAAATAGCATAATTTTGCAATTTTTCAGCAATGCGAAAAGCATAATTTAACGAAAATATTAGCATAATCCGTCAAGGCCTACTATAATATTATCGGCTATAGTGATAACTTAAAGTACATGTAGCAATAATATCAAATGCCCTATTTTTTTACTTTCTTCACGTTGCTTATTTTTATAGTGATACATGCACAACTACTAGTATGCAGCATGCTCATTTGTCAAAAACGCCATGCTGGAAGTATTTCCTTGCCTTTCATGTGTCGATCGAAAAAAAAAAATCGATCGTATCGCGTATAGTGATGCATCGGTTATAGTGATAAAATCAAGGAAATCAAAAGGGTACGCTATAGCCGATACAGACTGTACTATACCTGTCTTGTTGGTGAGCAAGAAAACGGAAACGGCATTCTGCAGTTGCACGCGTGTGTTCACCTCATTGGCCTCGCTCGTTCCTCATTTCTTGTGTTCATTTCACTCTTGGTGATGTCAACGCGAACAAGCGTATAATAATATATTATGGTATGAGTAGTAGCAGCGAAGTGATGGACGATAACAAGTAGGGTGGGGTGCGAAGTAGGTGTGCTACTGTTGCAGACGTGTGTGCAATCAGTCATATACGGATTCTCTCCTCATTGATGTGAGGACACCCGCATATCACGTCTAATAAAAAATTTTAACACTGAAATTGTGCGTTTCTTGCTCAGTGCAGTTATTACTAGTTTTATCCGGCACAATGAGCAGAGTGCACTGAGTAAGAAACGCACAATTATTTCAGTGTAAAAGCATCATTGCAAGTGATGTGCGGCTGTCATCATGACTGTAAATCTGTAATCACGTGAATGAGGCGAGAACACCTACCCACTTCTGTAAGTGTAGCACACTTCCTTCGCACCTCGCTCTACTTGTATTCTTTCCATCACTTCGCTGCTGCTACAGTGTACTCTGAACTCATTATTACACTGAGTTACACTCTGCCTTCGCCGCATTCGAGCACTCTTACCTTTTAGTCTTAGCACAGGCCCCAGCGTGTCACAACTAACAATTACTTACTATGCCCTAGCCACGTCAAGATAGCGGAGCGAAATGCAGCAGGCAGGGATATGGTGCGAATCGCGGCAGGGAGGGAGTTCCATCGGTCAGCTTCAAGATAAGATACAGAGTGATAGCCAAAATACAATCTGGCATGGGGCAGTACCAGGCCGAGCGATTCCTGAGAACGGGTAATTCTAGCAGTGCGGGATGATGAGACAGCACGAGGAGTGAAAAGGCGGCAAAGTAGGGGACTAGCGCGAGCGTTTATGCATCTATGTACTCTCTTGCGTTTATCATCCTGTCACGGGGGATGAACAATGAAGGTGACGGATTTAGGGCATGGTAGTGATGAGTGTGGAAATTAAATATTACTACGTACTTGATAGAGTTGACCATCGCCAGCTTATTCAAATCCTCTTTGAGTTTGGGCTTGGTGGTGTGGTGCTGCAGTGGTTTTGTTCATACCTGTCCGAACGTCAACAGTGTGTCAAAATCAAAGACCAGATTTCAACGCCAGTTCCATGCTCCAGAGGTGTTCCTCAAGGAAGTGTACTTGGACCTCTCTTATTTGTTCTCTACATAAGTGATATAGCGTCTGTGCTTCCACATGAAGTTTTCAATCCAGAGTTTGCAGATGATATCGTTGTTGATTACTCCGACCGTGACCCTGCTGTTGTTTGTGCTGTGCTCACGACAGCAGTCACCAATCTTTCGTCCTGGCTTGAGGACAAAGGTTTGCTATTGAACTCAGCTAAGACTCATGTGATGTTTATTCGTCCCAGAGGTGCGTTTGACGCTGCTCCGTCACTCGTCACCTGCAACAACAGTGTTCTGCAAGTCACACACGTGGCAAAATACCTCGGTGTGTTGATTGATGACCAGCTAACTTGGGCACCCCACATCGAGTTTCTGGCGAAAAAATTGGCGGCGACCACTGGACAGCTTTGGAGGCATGGCCGGGCCTTGTCACTGAAATCACGTCGAATGTGGTATATGTCTATGATACTATCTCATCTCTGTTACGCCTCTAATTGCTTCTTTCCTGCGCTTTCACGGTCTCTGCTAAATTGCCTTGTAACACTGCATAAGTCTGGTATTCGTGCTGTGTTTCAGGCTCCCCGCCGCACTGCAACAGCTCCCTTGCTTGCTAAGTTATCCATGCCATCACTTCACCAAGTCCTTTTACAGAAGCTGCTTGTATTTGTTTTCCGGTCTATACACGGATCTGCAAGCTCTCTCTTTCAAGATTATTTTGTATTACTTGCCCAGCCTCAGATACCACTTGCTGATCGTATCGTCACCCGTGGGCAGCTGCATAATTTACTTCGCATCCCATTCCTACCCAACCCTGCTGGGAGATGTTCTATCCAATTTCTAGGCAGCACCACATGGAACTCTCTACCCGATGCTACCCGCTCTCTAACAAACCTTGTTCATTTAAAAAAAATCTCTTTCAGATCTTGATCTCACTTCACTCCATTAGCTATTGACACACGAGTACGTTGTGTCCCCTGTCCATCATCAATATTATCTACATGTACAACCACAACACACATAAAATACACTGCTGCATGGTATTTTTATAATTGTCCTGCTGACAGTCATGACATCTTATTACTTCCCATGCTGTTCATATTTGATCATATTGATCTATCATACTACTAGTATTATATTTTTCATCATAGCCTAGGAGCTGTGGCATCATTTATGATCCACAGCAAGAAGGCAGCAATGCCTGTACCTATGGTGAAGTAAAATAAAGGTAACACATAACATAACACTCAGGACCATTGGACCCTTGGTGCACTGACCATGACTCGATAACTATCACCGGACGCAGGAAGGTATGCTTGAACCCGGATTCACCTTGTCTTGCTTTTTTAGCATCGCTAATACGCCCATACACAGGTCACGCAATGGCAGCGCGAATGTCTCAAAAACAAAGGATAGAGACGTCCATTTGCAGCACCGCCTAACATCTCAGTGGACAACCATTGCCAGAAATGACGTGCACTCCTTTGTTATCTGCTTTTCATGAAGTCTGCATTTCGTCACGTTATACTTTGAAGTGAAGTGCTGGCAACATCGCAAAGACCAACACGGGATAGTAACGTTAAAACTACGAAATATAGACCGCTAGAATGTGAACGCACCGCTAGGGGTCGGATTTCAGTTTCCAGCACTGTACATGTACTCGGTAGTGATGGTCTAACTGGGGATCTAGTCATGGCGCGGCGATAAGCCTCACCACACATTGGATATCAGGACCATACACTTCATGTACAGATAGCTTAAATCACTGCCTTGCACACTCACAGCCGTGGAACGCTCTCCCCGGTGAGGTCCGGCTACCTGAATCTAAGTTAGTTAGCATGTGTGCCATACACCAGTCCTATGTGTGCCATACACTAGTGACAAATACACATGTGCTGTGGGGAGTGCTAGTAGCTCCATATACTGCAGGTCGTTATGCTCTCCCTTCCTGTACAGTTCATCAATCAGCACGCAGCAATACCGGTACTTGTACAATCATGTATGTTGCTCAAATCCCTCCCGTTTGTTCTCAACTCATATTACTCAGTATTGTCTGATTATGTCCTGCCATAGCCGCTTCTCGGGCAACCCTTCGCCATCATTTTATTGGGTCGTCACCCAGTTTGAATGTGCGAAGTAAAAATATAACCAACCAACCAACTCAGGTACTTGTAGCTTTTGTCAGTTGTAGTCTTGACTCTTGGTCGCACATTGCCTGCGTGTAGTCTGAAGGCCAGCGTTAGAATATCGGATGGCAATCCCTGGAAACTTGACCAAGACAGTAGTATTGTAGCCGCTGAAAACTTTCCTGTCTATGGATGTCCATGGACCTACAGAACGAAGCGTTCTGAGTGAATCCGTGCAGTTCTTCTACAATGCAGCCCCTCCTACCTTACTTAGCCCCAAATCTGTATAACTCACATGCGCGATGAGATCATGGGGTGTCACGAGACTGCACCATGACAGGTGGCGAAGACAGGACCTGCGTCCACACGCCACCCTAGCCTCTACACGTATCACATTTGTGGTGTGGTGTAAAACTTACTAGTCAGTTGTCGTGGATGCGCTCGCACCTACGTCCAACCCACGGAAGGTTGGCAGTTCAGCGGTACTGACAAGCACAGAATCGACTGCGCGGGCAAGCCAGAGTTCGAAAAATGTGTCTGCTCATGGTTTCGCGCTCCGTCTGAGATCACCAGACTTCGGAGACGGTCACGACACGAGACGGCTGCAGGCCGTGCTCTGCAACGGTACTGCCGTGTGCAGTGCAGGCAGATGCGCTGAGTCAAGAGATGAGATAACCTGGTGGTTGGGTGCGCCTCCTTCAGATGCGCCACTCTTACTATACCCTTGCTCTGCAGACTGGACCATGACTCTTGTCCCCGACTGATAGAGATTCCGGCAAGAAGGAAAATTAGGAGGAGAACAAGGGAATCCATAGGAGACGGGAAGCGATCAGCGGCAGCGATGGTAACGCGGTGGCGAGTCTGCTGGCTCTCAGCCGCGATTCTGCTCAGCTTGACAGCACTGGTCTCAGGTAAGAAGTCATAGACACATTGCATAACGGATTGGAGACATACTCTTCTGTCGTTCAGGAGACATACTCAAGTAATTAGTAACTGATTTACTTAGTTTCCAGTCTGAGTTTGAGTAGCAACTCCTTCCCAGCCAGTAGTTTTAGTGTCAAGTTGTAACGTTAATACATGTATGCCTGAGGTATTGACTACACCGCTCTAGGCAATCCCACCTGCTTCTTTCTGGCGGACGGTCGTTTCCACGTTTGGAAGGCCAAAGCGCTGTTGGGTACATCAGTGCATTCGACTACCAGATGCCAAACATCTCGGGCGGCATACACACACACACACGCACACTGGTACCAACACAATATCAGGTATTCACATAGAATACGACCCTACCCGATCTTAAAATTCAGAGCAGAGATGATGGGATTATAGTTGGCGTTCTGAAAAAAAGTTCTGAAGTAGATAATATTATTATTGTACTTTCACATGCAGAAGCATACCAGCATACCATCACTTTGGCTTGCAAGGAATTTGGCGACACCATACGCTGGAGGGGTTTACCTGGCAGCCCATTCATTTCGAATGGAATCTGTTGCACGCGTTGATTGTTGGCCAGAGCATGTGCGGAGCAACGGTGCTACGCTCGCGCGCTCGTCGGCAACAGTGATACCACCATTCGCCAACGACTGTTACGTCATGATGCGCATACACTCGCGCAGTTCGATGTTACATTGTACTCTGCAAAGTCCGGATTTCGAATTTACCCGAAATTGTTTACGATTGTGCGTGTAGGCCCTTTTCACCTTATACTCATAGGTCAGATCGACATAGTGCCAATATCGGAACACATGATGTAAGTACATGTATGATAATTATAAAATGCTATCAATCTCCGTACAGATAGCTGGCTCGATCTTTTTGGGGTTTCATCAGTGGAACTCAGCGCTAATGGTGGAACCGATGGCAATGAAATCATGAGAACAGCGTAGCATTGTTAAACTGGTTATCAGTGTATGAAACTTCGCTGGGGGTATAGGATGAAAATGCGCACTACTGCACTATAATTCTCGCTGTGTCTGAATGGACAATGAATGATGGCAACGAGAATGGAGATTGGAGAAGGGATCGTGTGTGTGTGACGATGCGTTGGATATGCTTCACAACCACTGTATGAACAGCTCCTACATTTGTAAACGCTGGACCGGTGTATACTGAGATAAATTCAGTATCTGTCGCCTGTTTGTGCTTGTTTATCCATCACGCTATTAGGCCAATGTCCAGCGCCAATGCTGAATAAGTTCTCCTACGGCGACATTCAGCCTGATGTTTCCGGCTCACTGTTCTCCGTCGGATCTGTTCTGAAGGTTCAGTGCGTACCAGGCTTCAAGTCGGTCGGTTTCACCACCTTCAACTGTCAGTCCAACGGCAAATGGTCCCCGGTCGCCTTCCCGACTTGCAGCGGTAAGAAAATGCTTGATTGGATCTACTCTACATTTTACATACATGTACACACACAACAGAGGCGAAAGGCTGTGTTAGCTGTAACTTTTAAAAGTTTCACGCATCGGAGCGATCATCAGACCGCAGCATTCACTATCGAATTCTCTACGAGCAAGCCTAGATATTTGATGCTAGTGTGGAAGTTAGTGCATATGTGCGAAGTGAAGACGTGGCATTGGGACAATGGTATTGAGTTGTTTTGTGAGAGTTAACGGATATTGGTGAGAGTAGAGGCGATAACAGGGCAGTGTTAGCGAGTCATCAAAGGCGATAGCGACAGTAGCGCAAGACCACAGCAGGAGTGAAGAGGGAGAGAGAAAGCACCATGGCGCTAAACCTGGTGCAGGTTGCGCCATGTTGAAAAACTCATGTAACTGATGGTGAGAATCTGGACACGTAATACTTGTTCTCGTGTCTGCATTTCGACACCAAGTCCGACCTTTTGTTGATGTTGACCGTTTTGAGAGGAAAACTGCTTTCCTGGGGAATTTTGATGTACATGTATTTCACAGCCAAACCAACTTGCTTGCGACTTTCAAAATCAACTTGCATGTTACATTTTGGAGCTTTCAATTTTGTGAACCAGGATTTCGCATAATTTTGGTTCAGAGTTTATAGGGACAACAGACTTCGGTGGGGTTGCGGAAATTCAATCTGCTTTCACTCTCATTTCCCTTGGAGAATTGCCGCAGAATATAGGATTTGCAGAATCAGCGCAGAATTTACTGTCTTGAGCCGCAGAATTCCGCACGGAATTTCTGATTTTCTGCAGCGGAATTCACGGGGGTCAGCGTGTTACACATCATAAGCTGTTGGGAGCTTCTTTTTTTTAAATTTCGGCCAGTCTGCTACTATCATTAAATTTTCGTCTTGGGGGTTAGACAAGGGGAAGTAGCCATGTAGGGGCGTTAGCCCGCTTTTCGGCACCGGAAGTTGCAGCTCGCTCGACTTGACTCTACTGAGTGCAGAGGACCCACACCTTGATCTGGTGAGCTGCGTCGTGGGGATTTTGCAGTCAGATGTGCGACTCCGGGGCTCGAACCCGCTTTTGTTTGCTCGTTGTCTCACGGTAACATTCGAACAGGCAACACTGCCAACAGTGCAGATCTCCCGTCTGTACGTAAATAAAACACGGAATCATCTTGGGGAATAATGAGGCAACTGACCATGGCACGGGCATGGCCATTATTATACTAGTATTATCACTCCCTTAGTATTGACTCACATAGATTTTTGCCATACCTAAGCAGTCAAATATTCCTGCATATTTCACTCCTTAGGGCTATATTGACTGCTTATATTTGACTGCTTAGGGGTTGCGCAGTTGAACGGTGCCTAGTGCAGCATTGTCACTGCATGAGTAGGTGGTGGTGCAATGGTTGTGCAATCATAAAACCGGGATTCATGAGGTTATCATTCTGGAATTTGAAATGCGGACTGTTTGTCGTGATAAATCTAATATTGACTTCGTACTTGGTCAGTATAGGAAATAAAAACCTCGTAAAAGACCTCGGCTTCGCCTTGGTCTTTTACTCGGCTTTGTATTTCCTATATTGACCTCGTACTCAGTCAATATTAGATACTGGTTTTGAACAAGTACTGTATTGACTATTGGGTTATATAATACCATGATTGTACATGACTATAAGTATCTGGCTCATGACTTGTCATGACACTAGTCCTGTAGTGTAGATCAGGCAGATCTACCCGTAGAAATCTGTGATAGCGTGAAAAGTACGGCCCGGCTCGCGACTCGGCGTTGTGCAGCAACTGAAAAAATAACTCAAGTATCCGTACATCACTGCATGATGTAGTGCTCGAAGCTTTGTGGCAAAACTAGTTACTTGAAAAGTCAAGCAAGTACAGACTGCTCAATGAAATCCAGTCTAGTAGTAAGTAGTTTCTCGAGCAGACTTTAGGGGCCGTCCGTAAATATCGAACTTTTTTCACCAAACGAATTATTTTAGTTTAGACCCAACCCCTCCCTCCCTCCCCCTCAGAACGTAAAAATTGTTGACATATACATGCATATACAACAAAAGTCACAAGTGTGTCACTGCTCCTATGGCCATGTACATGTATCGAACTTTTCTGAAACGAAATTGGTCAACCCCCTCCCACCCCATAACGAAATTATTTCGTTTCGTGAAAAAAGTTCGATATGGACGACCCCTTACGCGCCGGGGCGTTGCATGCGCAGCCCTCGACTTGCGAAAAGGTGCACGGCGGCAACTAACTACACTACAGTGCATGCTGGCAACTGAAATCCGACCATCGGGGATCGGATTTCAGTTGCCAGCACTGTGTCTGTACTTACTTGACTCTCGCGTCTCGGACTGGATTTCACTGCGCAGCACTGAGCCTGAAGAAAATGATTTCGGTAGGTTCTTGGCTGATGCAGTGACATGATGGCCTCGAAAGGAGGCAACTGGGAGCAGATACTATTACTAGTAAAGCAGGAAATGCAGTGCCAAATGTGTTTACTCCTACTCCTTGTCTCTGGACATCATCGGTGGTGGAGAAAATAGTCCCAGTAAGAAGGTGACTAATGTTTTTGGCGGAAAGGTGAACCATAGCCGGTATGTTCTGGTACTTCATATATTCTATAGCGGATTGAACTGTTTTTCTTCAAAATGTTCTCAGGTTTTTCTTCCGCTGAACTCCGACATACCGACTTCGGCGACCAAAGTCTTCAATATTTCTGGAGCTGTGTTCTGTCATCAGAAAAATAGTAGTAAAGACTAAAGACTCGTCGACAGAAATGGCAGTGCACAAGCTCGCGAAGCAGCGACTTTCTGGCAAAGAGAACCATTGTTTTTCTGCTTATAAAAATAATATTCCTGCATTGGAGTCTTCCAATCGCTCTAATATTTCCAGTATTGGGCAACTGTAGATATTCTCCCGAATCTATTTCTTTCTGCATTATCTGTGTCCTTGTGTCATAGTCCTGTTCTGCGGTAAACCGTCTGGCACGCTAACGAATGGCTACTTCACTGGCCGCTACGAGTTCAACAGCACCATCACATACACATGTGATCCCGGGTATACGCTTGTCGGAGCTGTGGAGCGCCATTGCAGAGCCAACCAGACGTGGAGCGGCACGACTCCAACCTGCAGAAGTAAGGCTTGGCAAAACAAGTGTCCTCATGAATCCTGCTATACTAACACACTTGTTTGCACGTGCGCGCGCGCGCGCACACACACACAAACACACACACAACAGTTTGGCGATAGCATCCGGGTTCTAACAAAAGGAGGGTGTGTTTGTGTGCGGGGGGGGGGGGGGGGGGCGGCGGCAGCGCCCCCTGCTCTGATTGAGCGTTCCCTTTGAAAATGTGCCCTCCCCCCCCCCCCCCTCATACTCAATTATCGACGATTGTGTTTCTTTCAGGCAGTTCAATGAAAATGCAGTCGATAGTCACTAACAGAGCTTTCATAAAGGCACATTTGTTTGAGGTGAAGTCGGGGTTCGCCCCCGTACGTTGCATTGTGCATGGCAAGACAATTTACAAAATGGGAATATGGGTTACGGGATAACTGTTTGCCCACTATGACTCCGATTCCAGAGACCGTATGTCCATCATCAAGCTGGGTACCGTACGCTGGCAACTGCTACTACTTCGGCAACGAGTCACTGGCGTACAGCGCCGCTCGTGCCAAATGCCAGGCAACACCGGGTGCCGATCTCGTCTCCATTCTTACCAATGCCGAAGCGGACTTTATTACGGTACGTCTGTGATCCGAACTATACAGTAAACCAGCACTTGCATGCAATGAGCTGTGCTCGTATTGTATCTGTCTCGGCAAATCAACGGGTTATACAACGCCTCATTCAGCTATCCCCAACTTTGATGCTAGAAGATCATGGGGTGGTGGTGTCCCACGGCAGCGGAAAGGCGTTTCTTGACCCGCCCTGTACGCGAACCCGTCCATTTTTTAGAACACCGAGAAAGAGCACACATTTCATGTACATCATCTGAGGAGAAGGGACGAGAGTTTACTTGTGGAATATTTCAAAATGTCGTTGTTGAAGAACCTGAAGTGTGTGCTCTTTCTTAGTCAAGTGTTCTAACTTTTTTTGTCCCGAAAGAAACTTTTTATTCAGATGTCCTTTCCTGGTAGGTGGATGCTGAGACAGAATTTGTGGACTCTTTTGGCGCAAGTATTAACACAACTCCTACTCGTTTCCATCCTGTTCTCCTGCACAGTCTAATTTGCAACAGCAGAACTACACTGTCGAGAGGCAGCTGTGGATTGGACTTACAGACACGGATGACGATGGCGGGTATGAGTGGTACGAGACCAATGCCGTCCTGGACTTTGCCAACTGGGACTGTGGCCAGCCAGGCTCGGGTAGTTCTGCATACAACTGCGGTACCGTCTATGCTGGATCCTCCAAGGTTGGAAGGTGGGGCGACAGCTCTTGTTCCGGTGCAATCGGCGGCTATATTTGCAAGTATGGAACAGGTAAGATAAGTGATGCACATGATCTTGCTGCTGCTGCTGTTGCTGCTACTACTGATGCTATTGGTGCCAGTGCTGCTGCTGTTGCTACTACTGATGCCATTGCTGCCAGTGCTGCTGCTGCTGTTGCTACTGCTACTGTTAGCCGTGTTGCGTCTGCCAGTGCTCCTGCTACCCGTGCCATGTCTGCCGGTCCAACTGCTCCCAAAGCTGCTGCTTGTGCTACCCCTGGCGATGGCACTGCTGGTGCTGTTTTGAATTAGACTGTAGAAACTCTGGCTCATATGTTCTGAAACAAATATCAAGATGTATGAGTCTCTGCAAAATGTGAAGGACGGCCATTTTCAGTGGTGTTCGAAATGAAATTATGTGGCAGAAAAATTGGCTCGTCTTTATTGCTTAAGCTGCCGGCTTGCGCTGTTTTAATTTGCTCTCGCAGCACCTGTGGTACGTTTGGTGCGTAGCGACTGTCCATATGGGTGGTACGCCCTTGAGAACAAGTGCTTCAAGTTCGAGATGACAGCCCCGGCGCAAAACTGGGCTGATGCCAACAAGATGTGCAAGTCCAAGTACAACGGGACTCTGATGAGCGCCAGCGATCCTAAACAGATGGCACTCTTCTTGACCTACATCAGTAAGTTGTTATGACGATGCATGAAGTATGGCTGCATGTGTCTGGATAAACATCATGCACGGGTCGTTTTCGCTGGGAATGAATCCCGTGTGATGTCACACACTATGCTCTGTGACTACCGGTACAATATTTCCATGCTAAGTCTTTATACGATACGGTACAGAAAATCTGTGCTGTAGGAAACTGGGCATTAACTGCACCATTCTGGATGACTCTCCTGTGTGTACTTTGAAGTATGCATCATCGGCGTACGCAGGGTTCTTCGGGGGGGGGGGGGGGGGGGGGGTATATTGGCATCCATGTAACCGTGCAACGCATAGATATCACGATATGTGGTCCCTATGCGTATGGACGTGCAGTGAGAGATGTGAATCTGGGAGGGGGGGGGGGGGGGTTCGTCCGCACCCCTCCAACCCCTCCCCTGGGCACGCCCCTGGTGTGTGTTGCTGAGCCACTGCATGCTATATTGTCAGTTTGCTGTTCCTTTATCTGTTGTTGTTGCTGCTCTCAGATCAGTTCTACCCTCTCACCAGCAAGGCAGTGTGGATGGGACTGCGCCAGGTGCAGAACGAACACAGTCCATGGACATGGACCGATCTGACTTGTAGCAAGTACGCCAACTGGGGATGCGGTGAACCCAACAACGCCGGATGGCAGGGTGAAGACTGCATGTCGGTTGGCTTCGGCAAGACGAACAGAAATGCCGGCCGATGGAACGATGCCAACTGCAATGACAGAAAGCAATATGCTTGCGAGATTCCCTTCTCCTTCAGTGAGTACAGACACTTACAGCACTCATATACTGTGTGTTGGTTTTACTATCTGTTTGTATGTTCAGTGCTGTGTGGTGGATTCATAGAACTCTGGCATATGTAGTGCAATCATGTACATGTACACTTTTGCCTGCAGTAACGTCCAGAACTACATTACGTTCATTAGGTTTGTGTTTTCATGATTCGTCTTCTGTGCAGAGACTTTGTCAAGTGTGTCCAACCCAACGTGTGATGGTGAGTATAGTGTTGCTCCTGTATGACTGTTGGTGTAGCCGTGGGATCACATGTAGATAGATGCTACTTTGGAGGAGATGCAACTCAAGATTTGCCCCCCCCCCCCCCCCCCCCCCCAACACGTGTTTACCATGTCTCTACATGATGTTTGAATTGCGGCTAGGAGCGACATGTAGACGTATGCTGGCATGCTACGTTTTCAATATCATGTTCAACATTCAGTATCGCAACCAAGGAGACTGTGCGGCAACCATTCATTCTTTTATTGGTGATGGAATACTACGATAGTGACGAACACGTGAGAGATCAAATTTAATGTGAATTGTACATGTGAAAGGGAAAGTGTTCAAAATGGTTTTCTTATTACGATCTTAAACGTTCTGTCATGTGTTTTTTAGAAACCGGCATCAAATGCCCAGCGGGCTGGTTGCAAAACGGCCGAAGTTGCTACTACATTGAGACAAATGACAGAGAAAACTGGCCCGGAGCTGTGAATCGTTGCAACGCAAAGAATGGTGCTTCTCTGCTCAGTATCAGCGATCCCAATGAACAAGCGTTCATCACGAGTGCCGTCACAAATCTAGGACTGACGAGTGAGAAAAAGCTTTGGATTGGTATGAACAAGGACGTCTCCTATTCTCGATTCACCTGGCCCGACGGTAAGCTAGAGTGGTGTGATGAGAATCTGGCACCTGTTTTCGTGTTATCCACTGACCATACAGACTTGTTTTCTCTCTACAAACTCCATTATATGTGTACTGGTTTACCAATTATATGCCATTGCGACATTTGAAGAGGTATTCGAAGATTTGAAGTCAGCTTCCATCCTAAATGCGAGCTTTCATAGTAATCCTTGTGGGGGGGGGGGGGGGGTAACGGATTTGGAAAACTCAGTTAAACTGAGTCCCGTGCACACCGTGAATGTCTGGAGAATTATCACGGGTCGTTTTTGCAGGGGAATGAGATGCCCTGTGAGTACTACCGGTACATTATTTCCATGCTAAATTTTCACACCATACAGTAGAGGAAAACCTAGGCTGTTGGAAGCTCAGTGTTAACTGCTACACTCCGTACGACTGTCCTATATGTACTTTGAAGTAACGCTGAATTCTCAGCTTGCAAGGATGGTCGCTATGTTACTCGACGTCGCAACATCCTGCAGTCAATCACGTAAAAAGGTATTTCTTGCCCTTCATGCACACTCTGCTATGCTTTTCGTCTTCTTCTTCCTCTTGTTTAGGTACTGTGGCACTGTATCGCAACTGGGACTGTGAATTCATCAAAGGTAGTAGCTCATGGTCTCGCAGCTGTGCCTACCTGTTTGCTGGAGCCCGCGCGTCTGGACGTCGTGATGGCTACTGGGGCGCAGACTACTGCTCCTCGTGGAGCTCATCGTACAACAAGGACGGCTACATCTGTGAATCAACAATCCCACAGGCAGGTTAGTGGTTAATGCCCGAAGCTGAATCATGGCGCGAAGCACCTTTGTAGAATGTGTATATACATGTATGTGAAATGAATATTGTCATTTGCACTGGTATCCTTTGAACAGTGCCCATGTTCTCTCATATGTGTTCAATGTACAAACATCAGTCAGTATGTCCGGTGTTGTGGCCAAGGACAGTATTGCCAGCCACGAAATGTATCAGCATGAACAGCCGTGGTGTGCTCAAGCACTGTTCATGTGTTGCGGCTTGGACGTTGATGGGAAACACAACACAGCTACAGGGCAGTGTCAAAGTTCTAAAAAAACGAATTAGACATTCGTAGGAAAGAGAGGGGGTCCGATTGGAATTACCCTGTAACTCAATAGTTTGCGCTTTGAGCATTCAGCAGTCTTCCGACAATTAACATGGGCTTCTTTTGTTAGCGTAAATCACAATAAAATATTCATTAGTTTAGGAGAAAGTGCAAACTGAAAAGCGCATACAGGAAAGGTTTTGTTCCGATAGGTTAATTCCCTCCTACCTGATGCATGGGTTCGCTAATCACAATGGCACAGGAGGCTAGTAATGCCGTTGTTTTTTTCTATTTCCCTTCCATGCAGTTGCTCCCAAGTTCAATCAGGGCATTTGCGAGTCTGGCTGGATCCAGAGTGGCCGCACCTGCTTGTACCCTGCGACAAAAAGCTCCGACAAGCTAGGCTGGTTCAGCGCCAGAGCTGAGTGTCAGAAGCTCGGTGGAGACCTGGCTATTACCAAGACGAAGGAGGAGAACGCCTTTGTCCTGGACTATATTGCAGCCAACGAGCCCACGTTCGACCAGCCTATTTGGATCGGTCTCTTTGTCCAGTACCCCGCTGGCACGGCAAACAACCAGACATTCTACTGGGTGGACAACAGCACGCTGACGTCCTACCCATACCGCCATTGGGGCTGCGGTGAGCCGAACAACTACGGGGGCAAAGAGCACTGCGGTGTAATAGGTAAGCTGATGAAGAGCATCTCTCTTCAACTGTAACTTTACTCTCCAATGTCAATTCTCATAGTGACATTCTGTACCTCTTGTGTTGACATACATATAATACACTCACTGTTCATCCTGTACTATTACATGGTGACTGCACATCACGTATTGATGAGAATTTATTGGACTGGATATGTTCACCTGATCTTAACTTTGCCACTTTATTGTCGATCCTCACAATTGAATTGTGTGTGTGTGTGTGTTTGTGTGTGTGTGTTTGTGTGAGTGTGTGCATGTGTGTGAGTGTGTGCATGTGTGTGTGTGTGTGTGTGTGTGTGTGTGTACACACACGTGTGTGTCACCAGGAATTGGCCCTGGCAATGAGATGTCGTCATTGTGGAATGACGACGGATGTGACAAGAAGTTCAATTACCTATGCAGCAAAGCAGCACCGAAAGGTCAGTGCAAGCCACGCCTTTGGTCTATCCCAGCCACTTTCAAAAGGCTGTTTTGTTTCTGTCAACACTCAGTGCAAGCCATGGCTGTGGCCTATACCAGGCACTTTCGATAGGCTATTTGTTTCTGTCAACACTCAGTGCAAGCCACGGCTGTGACCTATCCCTCCCAGCCACTTTCAATAAGGTGTTTGTTTCTATCAACAGTCAGTGCAGTTCTGTGCTACGACTAAGCACTGTTCCTGAAAAAAGTGTGGCTCTTACCTGTGGGTGATTGCTGACACGGTGTACATGATACACAGTGACTTGTTATCGTGTTGGTGGCTGGAAGAGGATGATAGAGAGAACTAGAAGAAGTACCATTGCATTGGGGGTGGCGGGGGGGGGGGGGGGAGGGGGGAGGGTAATAGGATATTTTGTCTTTCCATCAGCTTGTCCTTGTCACGGTAATCCTGCATTAACCGATGCTCCTTAAATCAAAGATGTCTGCAGTAGCATTTCATGGTTTGTGTTTGGTCTGGTGGCTATGTTCTCGCTGTTCAGTGAGTCCTTGCAAAGATGGCTGGCTATGGAACAAGGAGAGCAGCAGCTGCTACTATGTGGAGACAAACCGTACTGTTAACTTCACCACTGCAATGAGTGATTGCGCTGCTATGGGTGCTATGATGGTCACGGTACTGGACGCTACTGAGCAGAACTTTCTGACCAGCTCACTGCTGAAGATGAACATCCCTCCGGGCATGAACCTGTGGATTGGCTTGAACGACTCCGATGCCAACAAGGTGTATGCTTGGAATGACGGTACTCGACCATTCTATAACAACTTCCAGTGTGGCCAGCCTGGCAATGGAGGTGTACGTGCGTGTGCCACAATGTATGCGGGAGGAAAAGACACAGGCCTGTGGATTGACTTTGACTGCGGCACAAACCTGGGCTATATCTGCAAGACTCCTGGACCAGGCCTCAGTGAGTTCATGAGTGCTATCCATAGGGAACTGAGGTGGGGGCGGGGGCAAAGCGGGCTTATTCACATGATATTTTGATATCTACCGAGGATGCAACCAGATATTAGAACTTTGGTCTAAAACATGTTTCCGCTCGAAAGCAATCAGGATTGCGTTTTGGCCACCCTTGGATCTGGCGAGTCCAATTTAGAGTTGTCAAACTGAGATCTATTCGTTTTAGGAGCAGTATGTGTGTAGTGTCCCTCTTTAAAACTATCACACCTGGTGTGCAGTAGGCTGGTCAGATTAGTTTGTGCCAAAACCATGGCTAAAATTTACAGTTGGTATTCGAGATGTATATTTTTTCTTTTGCCTATTCTGCAGTTGCACGCGTGTGTTCACCTCATTGGCCTCGCTCGTTCCTCATTTCTTTTTTTCATTTGGCTTATGCGAAGACTAGGCATGCTTGCTTGGTGATATCAACGCGGACAAGCGTGTAATAATGATAATTCGAGATGTACTTATTGCTTGATTTGTGTAGATTTCTGGCTATCATGTTGACTCGCTGGAATGAACCTGGCATCTGTACGACTATATGTGCGAGTTTGGCCATGTGTTTCCAGCCCATGTGTGGATCGATAACAAAGCGAACCCCAGTGGAATCCTTTGTCGTACCCACTGTACATCACTGGGCAAGTGGGATGTGTATTGCATATCAGCACAGAATGTTGCCCATGCACTTGCTAAAAATCCGTTCCTCTGCTTGGACTTGAACAAGTTTGTGAAATGCTGTTGTGTTGATGTGCTTGTTGCCCGTTTAGAACAACTGTACCCGCTTGTGAAAGGAAAGTGCCCTACTGGCTGGTACCAGTACCGCAATGAGTGCTACTGGTTTGAGTTCACTCAGCAAAAGAGCTACACATCGGCTCAAACAGACTGCAAGACACTGAACTCAAATGCCACACTTGCCATAATCCCAGACGATGGGGTTCTGGACTTTTTCCTGCACTACATGTACCAGGTAAGAGTGCTGTTTTGATATTGTTCTGCTGCAGTCCCGTCAAACATTCGAGTATATAAAACAAATAAAATATCAACTATGTAGGATACCGTCCGTTTTCTCCCCATGTCTAGACCCTTTAGCCCTGTACTGGATACTTTACTTCAAGCTTTGTTGAACGGTCTCTACTGGGATGACAGCTACACCATAGGTCAGTGGTTAGAGCAATGCTGGAGCCTCACGCCAAGGTCCCTGGTTCAAGTCCTGGTGGTGATGGTCATTTTGTTGTTCAGACTTCTCCCGTTTTCATCTTCCCGTCAAACCGATGAACACAAGATATGTTTTTGATTCTTTTCAGACTTACCCAACATCAAGCAAGAACATGTACGTTGGCCTGCGGAAGGCAAGAGATTTCAGTGCGTTTGAATGGGAAGACGGTAGCTGCAACAAGTACACTCGCTGGGGATGTGGAGAGCCAAACAACTGGGGAAATGGCGAGAACTGTGGTGTGTTCGGCGTGGGAGACACCAACCACAATTCGGCCAAGATCAACGACGATGGCTGCAACAAGAACCAGCACTTTGTGTGTCAGATGCCCGTTCCCGGAACAACAGGTATGGATGTTGAGAAGACGAGTGGAGCGGAGTGAGGGGAAAGCAGCTATTTGTTCCTGTTTGAAATATGTAGTGTCCGGTGAGAGGATAGGAGTGGGGTTCAACTGCGGAGACGAGGTAGAATTATCGTCCTGTTGAGCTGCTAAAAAGCCATTTCTAAAGATTAGACAAGCATTGCAGGTAAATTCCCTTGGGGCCATTATACATACATACATATGAAAGTAGGATGAAGGGCATTGCATTGGTTTGTTCTGGAGTGAAGATTAAGAACTAAGTCGGCCTTTGAGCCTTCCTGTCACTTCTCTAATGATTTTATGCCGTTGTGTATGTGCGTGTGTGTGTGTGCGTGTGTGTGTGTGTGTGCGTGTGTGTGTGTGTGTGTGTGTCTTCTGTGCTCTGCCCAATGACGCCGTTTGGCACAGTTCCGCCACCTCAATGTAATGGTAAGCAGATGGGTTCTTAGTACGCTCCGGAACTTTGCTGTGTGCTAATGTTTGAGATATCTCTGTAACCTGTACGGGAAGAGTACCGTGGCTGAGGTTCTTATCGTAATATTGACGGCAACTGCTATTCTTGAGAAGCGGCGTCCAGGCCATCCTTCTGCTCGAAAAATTCGATCGCCTCATCGTTACTACTAAGTTGCTCGCATCATTTACAATTTCCACTAAAAGAATAGCTTTGTATTTCTGTGTTATGCACAGTTCAGCCATATGAACCAGGCTGTACCTCTGTGTTTCTGTATTTCTGTGTTATGCACAGTTCAACCATGTGAACCAGGCTGGGCCTACTACCGTGGCAGCTGTTACTACATCAACGTTGGCACGGGAACGGTCAACTTTGATGATGCCAGCAACTGGTGCCTGGCAAACCGTGCAGAACTGGCATCAGTGACGGACAATGACGTCAACGACTTCCTTGCCACTCAGCTGAGATCCTACCGGCTGAAATCCGGATCCTCACTTTGGATTGGCTGGAGGCGGGACGAGAGCACTTGGCCAGATGGTAGGGACTTCTTGACTGGCATACTTCAGTTGTATTTGCTTCAGGATAAATTATGCTTTTGTCGTCGCAGACAGACTATACCAGTGCCGTGACTTGCAAAGCAATGCAGTAGCTCTGCCAATTAGACTGTTGTGTACAATTTGTGGACAGCCAAGGGAATGGGCCGTGTGTCTGTCAACCATGTGAATCAATGGTGTGCTGCTTGCTGCCAGAATTCGTTTCGTACCGAGCTATTCCGACCACTAATCGTAAGACAAAACACTACAATCTGTAAATTATCATTCTAGACTATTTCTAATGAGTTTATTGATTGAGGTTGTTCGGATCTTGGCCCCATCCATTTCCTTTGCTAAGCAGATCAGCAGGAGAAAACCGATTTGTTTGTGCATTTGTTTTGGTGTACTAGGCACGCGTACCCTGTTCCGTAACTGGGAGTGTGGCTTTGCAGCATCGGCCTCGCAGTGGAGCAGGAACTGTGGTTTCATGTTTGGCGGTGGCAGCTCAACTGTGCTCGGCAAGTGGGGCTATGATAATTGTTATAGCTGGATCAAGAAGGACGGTTACATCTGCCAGCGCCGCACACCAAAAACGAAGGCTATTGATTGTAAGTCCTCGATCCTCGGTCATGGAAATACAGCAAATACATAATGTTTGATGCTTGCCTGCCTCGGATTGTAGAAATCTGAGTTATGGACCATCTAATGTGTATGACAGGCATGTGTGTGTGTGTGGGGGGGGGGGGGGGGGGGGAGGGGAGGTGGCATATTGGACTAATGAAGGTGGTCACCGTTTGAAGCCGAGATTTTTTACTGTATGAGGTTTTGGAATGTTTGCATCGCTTCTGCACTCGACATCAGTATTATATTCTGTAGTTATTGCTTTTGTTATTGCATCATCAAATGCCCTATGCATCAAGTGTCTTCTTTGTGACGTTTCTAAAGAACACCTGGATTATCAAAACACCATCACTCACGATAGGGTGTTTCTCCTGGTTTCTGTGGTCTGCACGTTACTGCATTCTGTTGTGTTTACACGTGTTGTTTGTGTGCAAAGACTATCCCAAATCCACCCAGGGTGTGTGTGAGAAGGGCTGGGTTGAGATGGGCAACATGTGCTACCTCTTCAAGTATGCTACCACCGACAAGACCAACCACGCTGGCGCTCTTCGTAACTGTATCGCCCAGGGTGGCCTTCTCGCTAGTCTGAGTACCAAGGCACAGAACACCATGTTCATGAAGTATATGATGAGTCAGCAGTCCACATTCCAGAATCCTATCTGGTTTGGCCTGTACCAGAAGACGCCGACTGATCCGTTCCGCTGGGAGGATGGCAGCAAGCTGACATACACAAACTGGGGTTGCGGAGAGCCAAACAATTACGGTGGCTCAGAGGACTGCGGTCTGATCTCCATGGGCACTGGATCCTTCCTGTCGTCCATGTGGAATGATGACCGGTGTTCATCCTCATACAACTATTTCTGCCAGAAGGCTAAACCTTCCAGTAAGTTCAATCAGCACCAAAACAGTAATTATTACTGATAGCAGGGTTGCCATTTGTTGCAATTTATCATTAACACTCTAAATTTTACAGGTCGTACTGACAGAACTGACAGAAAACAGACCTAACCCGCCGGCCCCTGGCCGCAGGACATCTACAGACCGCATTCAGATTTCTTCCAGCAGAAAAGCGGGAGCGCTGTGATAAGATTGTACAGCCATCACTGAATTTAGCACTGCAGTTCACCTGGAGTGCATGTTGGTTATTTTGCCAGCGTATAGCATTAAGATTGTGTACAGTTGGGAGACTTAACCACTAAACACTGTGTTTTTCGATGCTTTACTCTGTCTGTTTGCAGCTCACCCATGCCCGCCAGGCTTCTTCCAGAATCACGGCAGTTGCTATTACTTCGCACTGAACGCCAAGGTAACCCGTGCTGCAGCGCAGACCGCCTGCGTTGGTCTCAAATCCAACCTTGTAACGATCCGCGACCGCGTGGAGCAGTACTTCCTGGAGTCGATCGTAGGCAACCTGGGTTCACAGTACATCAGCACACCTCAGCGCTACTGGATTGGGCTCGGGGACAGTGATTCCGACAATATCTACACATGGATGGACGGTTCCAATGCCTTCTACAAGAACTGGAAGTGCGGCTCGCCCTCTTCCGGTGGCCGAATGGCCTGTGTCACGATGGAGAATTCGAACACATCAACTACCGGAAGGTGGGATGATTCCGACTGCAGTACAACTCAAAATGGTTACATTTGCGAAACGTACATCAGCGGCAGTAAGTATGTGTACAGCGGTGGGTTTAGCTGAGATTTAGCTGAGGTTTAGCAGAGGTTTAGCAGAGGTTTAGCTGAGGTTTAGCTGAGGTTTAGCTGAGGTTTAGCTGAGGTTTAGCTGAGGTTTAGCTGAGGTTTATACTACCGGCATGTATCTGCAATGGTGTAAATTCGAGTTGTGCACTGATGAAAGATTTCTTCCTCCCGAATTGCACAAGTTTGTGTGAGTCTTGTATAGTTTTACTGGTTCTGCACTGCATCTTGTGTGGGCAAGGGACTTCGCATCGCAAAGCTGCATGACGCCCAAAATATGACAGTAGAGCAGTTTCGTTTCCACTGGATTCAGGTTCTCAATGCACATGGGAGAACATAATTTTTGCTCTAGTACTCATTTCAGAACAAACATGAGTCATTGCTTTGGGTGATATTTGAGCTGGTACTCAATGCTCTGTGGCTACTCGTTTCTCCGCAACTCTCCTCCTCATCTATATACAGTGGGAGAAACTAGGATAAGACCTACGCTTGTGGGCAGCAGAAAAGTATGCTTAGTGAGGTAGTTCTAATCCCCGCATACTTTTAACGTGTGCATCAATACACCTGTGTTCTGGACAAGGTACGTACTAAGCAAGGCTATGTATTGTGCGAGTACTAACTAAGCGAGTTCCGCTGTACTTGATTATACATTCTGTGTCTATGCTTATAATAGTATTCACTGACAATAATTAAGCCTGCGAAAAGCCCCTTTTATGGGCAAAACAATCACAATGGATTGATGTAATGCAAAACTGGTGAAGAAATCAGGAAATAATACATGTGGAAAATATGATTTTCAAATTAAAATCAATCCATCCTTGAAGTGTTGACATTCAATAAAACTGCAACTTGTTTTGCTGACATGTGTGTTTTCAGGCGAGCAATATCTTTCCACTGTACAAGGTGGCTGCGGTGCGGGATGGGATGAAAACGATGGTATGTGCTATCAGTTCAACATGGAGACGGCCGACAAGTCCACGTACAAGGAAGCCGACAAGCAGTGTACCAACACCAATTCACAGCTGCTGACCGTACACAACGATAACACACACCAGTTCATCACGCACTACATCACGCAGAAGAAGAGCAGCTTCGATGGTGCAGTATGGCTGTCTTTGACCAAGGTTAGTTAGCAAAAGATGAAACAATACTTCATTTCAAATGTTTCTTTCCATTTCTGTTTGGAGCCAAATCTCTATCCACAAAATCCAGGAGGTTGAGGTGGGGGGGGGGGGGGGGGGGAGAATTCCACAGGGACATATACAGACTGCAAAGTAACTAAACCAGGGGGTAATTTGCTCGATGGACCTTTTCGTGACTCGTGACTCGTCCTAGGAACTGCACTGGCAAGGGAGAACAAAAATAGTGATGAAGTTTTGACGAGTTATTTTCTTGATTTAGTTCAAACTCTGCGCCTTTGATCCTAGAGGGTGGTGGCGTTCCCACGGCGGATGCGGAAAACTCGGCTTTCAGCCGAGTCTCACGCGAACCGTGAAATTTATTTTTTATTTTTTAGTTCAAACTCTACCGCATGCGCTCTCTGGCCGACCTCATTCACAACACAAGCAACACGGATCCAAGCTGCTGTGGATATTGGCAGAAACCTTTTCCTGCACACAGCTGTTTTGAATTGGAGCCCTTCACATGTAGTTGAGTTTGAACTAAATCAATGATGAGCAGGATGGAGACTGCCGCTTACTCTCCGGACCATTGAGTTCTTTGCTTGTTCAATCTTCTGCCTTTCCTAACGCATCCATAGCTGCAAGGTAATCGTTACAGTGCTTTCCACTGGAAGGATGGCAAGTGTCTCAACTATCAGCAATGGGGTTGCAATGAGCCCAACGACTATGGCTCTGGTGAGAACTGCGGTGTTATCGGAATCGGTGGCCCCAACGATAATAGTGGTACCTGGAACGATGATGGTTGCAGCAAGTCCTTCAACTACATCTGCGAAAAGCCAATGCCAGTCAATACCAGTAAGCCTACATCGTGTTCATTGCAGAATGATTGCATTGCTTGTTGAATTGGCCACAACTGATTTCACAATGTCCTTGTACTGAACTCGGAACAAGATTTGAAGCTAAGAAATCGATGCCAATAATAGCGATCACTAGGCCACAACATAATGTTCCAAGTTTGAAACTGAATAATATTCTGCATCTGTGTATGTGTGTGTGATAAAAGAGAGAAGAATCGGTGCGGCTCTTCCTGCGGTCTGAGTGTCAACAGTTGTGTTTTATGCCCCCCTAAATGTGCCTCATTCACCCCATGTGTTCTTTTGTCTTGCAATTCTGTGATCTTTGATTTGTCGCTGACTTGCTCCGTTCTCACAGCCGGACTAAACACCTCAGTAGTATTACCTCCACCTCCAACAGGGCCTCCATCTCCTACTTGCTCATGTAAGTCATCTTTTAACTTTTCTTTTCTTCGGAATTCTGTAACCTCCCCCCCCCCCCCCCCCCCACACACACACACATCCGATTCTTATCTCTGTGCCAATGGCTGCATGTTCATCTGTCAATCCCTACATTTAGAAGGGGGTTGGCTTGCTTTCACTATGTGGCTACAAAGCTCGCAGTCCAGGGTTGAGAAAATGGAAATCGGCTTCGTACAGGAATGGTCCTAACGGATCACTAGAGGAGGGGGAGAAGGGAAAAGGAGTTGGTCGTATTCCTTTTTGCGTTGGTCAGATTTTAATCAATTTACACAACATTCCCCCGCATGCCGCAGATTTTTGGACAGGCCATCACCCTGCAGGCATACTTCTACGTCATTACCCACGCACCGCTTCCTAAATTGTAATCTGAGAGAGCTTTCCAAAGTTGATACCCACTCACAAATCAATAGCCGTGTATCTACGATTCCTTATTGATTTTTGCAGACTCTGTTCAGTGTCCGGCTGGTTGGATGAAGTACGGCGAGAGCTGTTTCTGGGCGACAACCAACACCAAGGTGTCCTTTAGCACTGCCGCAAAGGATTGTCAGCTCCGGGGTGGTTCTCTGGTTAGTGCTGCTGATGCTACACAACAAACTCTGTTGCGTACGTTCATGAGCAAGTTGAATGTTACCGGCAGCAAGAAGCTGTGGATCGGCTTGAACGACTACGACTACAGCGGCAGTTACATCTGGCCCGACGGCTCGCCGGGCTTCTACCGCTACTGGAACTGCAGCAAGCGTGGCAGTGGCAAGTGCATCTACGCTGACTCCAGCACTGGCCGATGGGGTCGCACGTTCTGCAGCTCGACTTCCAACGACGGCTATGTTTGCCAGTGGTCTACTGCAAAGAAACAATGTAAGTACATTGTGTGCAAGGAAATAGTGAGCTACTTTCCGAGCATGCTATTTGCACATGCTCATCCTGAAATGTCACGAAACATTCTTTATTCGTAAGTTTGAAGGAAATTCAAGAGAAATATTTGGCCCTTCACCACCAGGATACGAATCAAGGACCGTCAATGACCAACACTGCTCTACCACTAGGTCTGTGTGTAGTGGTCATCCTAGCAGGTTCCGTTTCAAAATTCTCTTCAGACTTCGAAACTCATGCTTCCTGGGATACTGCATAGGCTGGTCGAATGCAGCCCTCGCAATAACCCGCACACTTGTCGCACAAACTGGCATGCGGGGAGCCCCAATACAATACAAAAACATTCATAAGCGTGAGAAGAAGTTGCGAACAGGGAAAAGTGAGCAATTTCCTCGGAGACAAGAATGCAATACCACTGAGAAAAAGGACATTAATTATTAGATTTTGCCTGTATTTCATTTTACGATCAGGTTTGAAAGTGTACTAGTGGAAACGTTCAAGATGATGTTGAAGAGCCTGGAGTGTGTCCTTTTTCTCTGTGTTGGAACGGGAAAGGTCTGGAGAGAAATTGACTGTCACCACCAGGACTCGAACCAGGGACCCTTCCAATATAGAGTGTTTTCTTTTCAAAGCAACATCCATGGCTTTATTGTGAAGTAATGTACCCCTTCTGTTTCTTATGCTCCATCTTGTCGTTGCCATAGTCACACCACAGACATTCGAACAGGGAATCTGTCCATCTGGCTGGTACCAGCGCAATCACCTCTGCTATAAGTTCGAGACGACAAAGAAGGCCAACCATGCTGGTGCACTCGCGGCTTGTAGAGCCATCAACGGTACCCTGGTGACTGTGGATAGCTCTACTGTACAGAGCTACATAAACCATTACTTCTTGCAGGTGAGTCAATGTGTACGGTCCTGCTACAGTGAAAGCTTCTTTCTCTTATTTTTCTCTTCTACAAAATCCACGCATCTCCTGAAACTGAAGTGAATAAAGTGATGTGGTTGTGGGGCCCTTAAGCTTTCTTGTACGACCGCTCAAAGACCTCTTAGAAGAATTCTAGTATCTGTTACCAGGTGGTCTCCTTATACAGGGTCATCTGACTAGAAACAGCATCCCTTTATCCTGGTTTCAGTTGTCTTCTAGGACATGTGGTCACCCTATTCGAGTGATGGCATTGACGGGTTTGAACTGTACTTCCCTCTCCTCCGGGAACTGCAGTCTCTTATCTATTGTCCTGTCACCACAGTCGAGGGACGACGGCTGAAATGTGAACACGAGTCGTTCTTCCCTTATCTCTGCCCTGCCCGGTCACTGTTATTATGTCTCTGGTGACTCGGGCCAGCCCAAGGTGCATAGTAACCCTGTACAAGGGTACAATAACATCACCCAAACAGAAAGGGTGACTATGGGATGTATGCATGCTCTGTCAGGGGCGTCGGAAGGTAATTTAGTTTAGTACGGTCAACCATCTGATGTACAATTTACTCGTGGGGGAGGGGTGGCTGAGCCAAAAATTTTGGAAAATTCGAGCCCAAATCAGTGCATTTTATTGATTCACAGGGTACTTGGGGCAAATAGTGGTACGGTCAATACCGTAGTGACCGTACCGTGTGCGACGCCCCTGCAGGCTGTGTATTTACAGAAAGGGTGACTGTGGGATGTATGCTTGTTTCGTTTACGTACAGAATTGATGACTGTGTGATTTATCCATGTTGTGTGTACATACAGAATGGATGACTGTGTGATTTATCCATGTTGTGTGTACGTATAGAATGGATGACTATGGGATGTCTGCGTGTGTTGTGTACATATCACAGAAAGAGCCAACATACAACGACGCAGCCTGGATTGGCGTTCACCAGGCCACACGTCATGCACCATGGTTGTGGGCGGATGGCTCCAACACAAGCTCCTACACCAACTGGGGATGCGGAGAACCCAATGATGCCGGTGGCAGTGGAGAAGACTGCGGAATTGTCGGCTATGGCGAGAATAACGACAACTCTGGACTCTGGAATGATGATTCATGTACCAACAAGCAAGCAAACTACATCTGCCAGCAGCCAGTGCCACAACGTTAGTACATTTGTAGAGAGAGTTTAGCTGGTCATGCTGTTCTCCTTAGCCGGGCGCAACACGGTTACCATGTACTCACGGCTGTTTGCCATTTTGCCTGTGGGAAAATGCAATGTGGTCGCATGCCGTTGCTGCCAAGATTGAGTAGATGAAGTATGTCAGGCGGGGCAGAGTCCAGCAGCTGGATGTGCGCAGGTGTGTGTGTGTACATGTATGTGTGTGTGTGTGTGTGTGTGCGTGCGCGTATGTGTGTGTGTGTGTGTGGATGCATTTCTGTTGACTTGTGGGCATGTTTGAATGTGTGTGCGAGGGGGGGCGCCCCTTTGGATGGGCTTTGTTAGCATATGGCATGATGCCAAAAATGGGTGAGCGGCTGCAAAGCCTACTGAAGTTGGTTTCGGTGTTTACTTTGTCCCCTAACACTTAGCAAATCCCATCGAGATTTCAATCCAGCCGTATAACGGCGGTGTGGTGAAGGTACCTGAGCTTTACGCAGTCTAAATGTTTTCTGCATAGGCTTTATGTGTGCGTGAGTGCTTGCTTGTAAGCATATAATATGTGCGTTTGCCTGTTACTGTCGGTTTGTCAAGAATTGTTGACCATAGTAATTTTAATGAGAGCGTGCTTTCGGTTTTCCTTATGACCATGAGTCGATTGTCACTTCATGTCGTTTCTTCTTCAAATGTCCTCTCTGCAGTGACTCCTTGCTTCTACGGTTGGGAGTACAACGCGGCGTCTGACGCGTGTGTAATGATCAACTCCATGCAGAATCTCACCTTCTCGCAAGCGGAGACGATGTGCAAGACAGCTTGGCCCGGTGCTGATCTAGCCTCTATTGAAGATCCGCAGGAGAATGATTTCGTCGTTGGCCTCATCAAGGCGTAAGTACAGTGCTAGTAAATGAAATCCAGTCGAGTCACTCAAGTTTGCGCCTTACATCTTTCCCAAGACCGGTGATCGCAGGTCTAGGGCTGCGCAACGCCAGGCGCACGCTTTGGCTGACGCGACTGGATTTCATTGAGCAACACTCTACTTTGGACAAGTAGTGTATGTTTCAAGTGTATACTCGTACCAGGTACAAGCGTATTATCTGCTTAGAAATTAGGAAACTGAAGAGGTCAAATCCAACATGTCCAATGTTCATTGCTATCATTTTTGGCCAATGCCTAGGAATAGGATTCAATTATTCATGTGCAGAAATTCACAATTTCCAATATAGTAATAGACATGAACATCAGTCTCCTAATTCTAGACTCCAGTGTATAAAACCGCCGGTGCAATGGGTTCTGCTGTATAGATTGTGACCTGGAGGTATATTTGTACCCCATACACCACCACCCCGTGGGCACATCACCACCCCGTGGGCACATCACCACCCCGTGGGCACACCACCACCCCGTGGGCACACCACCACCACCCCGTGGGCACATCACCACTCCGTAGGTATACCACCACCACCCCGTGGGCGCATCACCACTCCGTAGGCACACCACCACCACCCCGTGGGCACATCACCACTCCGTAGGTATACCACCCCGATTGTCAAGACATCAGATTGAGCACCCGAGCTGGTGGTTATTAGCAGATGAGAAAGATCAGATATAGATGGGATTTCGTGAATGTTCTTCAATATAATAATTATTATATTATATCAGGAGGCACTGAAATAGAAAAACCTTTCCTGACCAAGTGTTGTCCATGCTATGCTTGCTCAAGTAAACAAGGTACATTTTGCATGATGTAGACAGAGATCGAAGGTTCTGATGTCACCTTAATGGTGTCCACAGCTCTAGTAGTGCTGTTTTGAGTTGAAAACCTTTTGATGTTGATGATATTTCTCCCACTATGTATGCAGCAAGAAGCTGCCGACCAACTCTCAGCTGTGGATAGGCCTGACAGACACGGACAAGGACAGATACTACACCTGGCAGAACGGGCAGCGCAATCAGTTCAGCAACTTTGACTGCGACATCAGCTGGTGGAGGGGCCGCAAACCGTGCGTCTATGCCAACGAGATGGGTGTCTGGACCCCGCAGGACTGCAGCTCGAAAACGACTGGATCCATCTGCAAATACAGCGTTCCCAAGGCTGGTAAGCTAGTTAGCCTACGGGACATACCCTTGTCAGTGCATCACTTAGACTTTCTGGTCTAAAGCCGAATACCGTATTACCGCACAGTCTCCAATAATAGCACGTCTCCAATAATAGAACACCTTGGGGCGGCATTCAAAAAATGAAGTGCTCAGACTCCATTATAAGCACACTGTGTAAATTCATTATCTGTACCGGCGAAAAACCCCTGAAATGTGTGTGTCTGACATGAATTTGGCATAGCAACATGCCTCTGAAATGAGGTTGAAATAATAATGGAACAGTCTCCAATAAAGGAACGTCTCCATTAATAGCACGGGGCGGAGGTACATTGAAAAATAAAGGCCGTGACCGTGCTTATATTAGAGATAATACGGTAGTCACATAAATCGTCGAATATCTCAATATCCCTGTTAGTTTTGTGCCTTGTTGTCCCACTATCTGACTGTATATTATCTCATTACCTGGGTGGACTGTTGGTCATAACTAGGAACTTATAGGTCGTTTTCTCTTTACAAGTCACATTGGAATAATTATTCCGCAGCTCAATTACTTAAATCCAATGCTTTAGGCCACCGTTGCAAGACAGAAACGCCTTCCAGTCTGCCTAGATATTATGGTTCTTGTTTGAAGTCCGCAGTATTTCCATCTTGAGCCTTGTCCTCTCCTAATGCCTCACCCATCACCCTGTATTAGTTACCATATTATAACTACGTGAAGCCAAACATGATGATCGTACGTGTCCATGGCTTGACCACTCAAACCTTACAACTAGACTCCGGGGGAGGGGTGGGGGTGGGAGAGGGGGGGGGGGTGGGAGAGGGGCGGGGGAGAGAGGGGGTTGGGGGGAGAGGGGCGGGGGGGGGGAGAGGGGTTGGAGGGGGGGGGACACACTACGGTCACTATGGTGTTGACTAAACAACTTCTCATCGTGGGCACCCATGTTGTTTTCCAAAAGAATGCCACGACTGTTGGCTCCAAATTTGGGAATACATGTATTGAGGAATGCTCTGAAATGGCGACTACAGTAATGGCTGCCCGCACCATCCTGAAAGACCTTCCTGTGACCCTGAGATGAAAAAAAACCTAAAAGTTCTGAAACCTGAAAGTCCAAAATGCTGTTCGTAATTATGTCTTTGGTGGTGGATTGCAGCCTTGCCGTTCACTCTGGAATTGTCTGGTCCGCATATTATATTGCTCAACCTTTTACCGCTCTTGTCTTGTTGTCGGTTCATTTCTAGATAAGACTGACATGTACAAACTCGATCAGGGTAATTGCAACGCGGGCTACTACGAATTCCGTGGACTATGCTGGTTGTTCCAGGACACGAACGTGTACGACTTTGACACGTCTCAGACAGACTGCATGTCCAAGGGAGGTAACCTGGCTGCGATCCGTGACGCGTACGATTCCAGTTTCATTGTGCGCTATCGGGCTGAGAAGTTTCCTCTGAACAAGCACACACAGGTACGTAAAAACTCAGCTCACTTAGGGGTCGTCCATAATAATTATTATCGATTCTTTACATGAAGAGAAAAAGAGGAAGAAAAAGTTTCGTTTATGGGTGAGTGGTCAAGGGGAGTTTCATTTTGAAAAATATTGATATGTGAGTGGCGGAGGGTCCTAACTAAACTTTTTCGTTTCGTGAAAATTATCGATAATGTCGGATAGCCCCTTAGACGGCTGGTGCTTCCGGCTCTCGTTCTTTGAATGTGTCTGCCTCAATGAAGTGTCTGTCTCCTGAATGATGGAGTACTCGTATCCATTATGTCCTTTTTCCTTTCTCCATTTACTATTGGCTCAACATCCGAGTTTCAAATCTTAAAGGGGAAGTTAAGGCAAAAATTAAAATTTCACCAGTTGTAGTCTTCGGGGTGCTAAGTCGAATGGTCGTGGTCCGAGGAAGCTGAGGCCCTGGTATGCCTGTCGCGCTGTGAGTCCCTGAAATGGCTTCCTGTTGTCCAGATCTTTCCAACAAGCCATGGATCGTGAAAATCCATCAAGGTATAGTGAAATAGCAATATATTTTGTTCTGATGTGCGCGTGCAGCTTTGAACAGTTGAGCTCACGCCTGAACAATGCGTGGCCAACACAGGAAAACAGGCTGGCATGGAAAGGGATAAAGACTAGAACTTCATTTACTTTTACTCTCTCTTTTTGCATTTTTAGGTAACCATTGGCTACAAGAAGAGCTCAAACCTGTTTGGCCAGTTCCGCTGGCAAGACAAATCCTGCCCGAACTACAACAGCTGGGGCTGTGGCGAGCCAAACAATGCTGGTAGCAATGGAGAGCCGTGCGCCCAGTATCAGTTTGGTGGTGAAACAGGTTCGGTCGGCTTCACTGGGAAGTGGAATGATTACGACTGCAAGGCCAAGACGAACTACATCTGCCAAGTGCCGCTGCCCAACATCACCACACCATCTACTCTCTGCGCAGGTTAGCACTACGTGTCCACACATGTTTGATTGCTTGTGGGCAAAGCATTGCGTGTACAGATCTTTTGCCGTCCACGGTGATTCATGTACAAAACTTCACTCCGAGAAGAGTCAGAGCAGACCGCGAATGAGAGTGCATCCTAGAACCCAGATAACAATGGAGCAACACACAGATGAGGACCCAAATAGTGATAAAGTGATTTACTCGCAAGGAATCTCACTTCGATGAGGTTTCTGTAATGGCGCTTCATTAAGTTGTGGGGGATACTTTAATTCTTCATGATGGGTGCGTGTGTGCATCTGGACACGTGTGAGTTTGTGTGTGTGTGTGTGTGTGTGTGTGTGTGTGTGTGTGTGTGTGTGTGTGTGTGTGTGTGTGTGTGTGTGTGTGTGTGTGCATGCCGGAGTATGTGGTGTGATGTGTATGCGGAAAAAAATGGAAAAGACCAAAAAGTAGGGATTCACTGGCCAGAAAAAGCCACTTCATAGCTGTGTTGTGTAGACCAGGCTGGATAGTGGTGGTCAATTCTTCAGCCTTGCAAGCTGTTGAATGGTGCAATCCCAGCACAAGTTGTAATGGCCTCTGCTGTAGCATCGCTATCATCTCCTCCGGCGATGGGCGTCAAATGGTCAAATGATGTGTGTGTGTGTGTGTGTGTGTGTGCGTGTGCGTGTGCGTGTGCGTGTGCGTGTGCGTGTGCGTGTGTGTGTGCATGTGAGTGTGTGTGTGTATGTGCGTGCGTGGGTATGTGCGTGTGTGCAATCCTTTTGTATGCACCTTGTCCTTGCCCACTCACTGATGTGGGGTAGGCCCTAAGTGGAATCATTTCCAACTCCACCAATAGTTGCAGGAATTCTCGGTCATAGGGTAATTCAATAGCCAATCGAGTATTCTTTCCACGATTCCTTTTGAATCTCTCTCTCTCTCCTCTCCCAGGGAGACCTGAGTGGCCAGATTTGCCAGTGGGCAAGTACAAGAACAAGTGTGTGTGTGTGTGCGTATATATATATCTGTGTGTCTGTGTGAGCGAGCCTGCACCTGCTCAATTCTTAACGTGTGTGTGCACATGTGCATACATATGTCTGTATGTGTGTGTATATGTGTGTGTGTGTGTGTGTGTGTGTGTGTGTGTGTGTGTGTGTGTGTGTGTGTGTGTGTGTGTGTGTGTGTGTGTGTGCGTGTGTGTGTGCGTGTGTGTGTGCGTGTATGTGTGTATATGTGTGTGCATGTGCATGTGTGTTTGTGGGTGTTTGTGTTTGTCCCTTGGTAGCCATCAAGTGCCAGCCAGGTTGGGTGTCCTGGAGAGGCAACTGCTACAAATTTGTCGCCAACGACTCAGCAAACTGGCCTTCAGCATATGAGAAGTGTCTGAAGATGAACTCAGCATTGCTTAGCATATCAGACTTCACAGAGGAGGCATGGGTTACCCAACAGCTGAAGAAGTTCAATTTCCCGGCAGAGAAAAAGCTCTGGATCGGCTTGAATGACCAAAAGTACCAAGTGTACCGCTGGCCAGACGATACTACTGCATTCTACCGTAACTGGGACTGTGATGCGTATGCAAACTGGGCCAAGCAGTGCGTCTACATCTTTGCTGGTTTCCGTAAGGTGGGCACACAGCGTACCGGAAAGTGGGGCCCGGATTCCTGTTCCAGCTGGGGTACTAGCTACAACAAAGATGGCTACATCTGCGAATCATCACCAGCCAGTGCCATGGGTGAGTGAGTCCTTTGAGAGCGCTCTGGCCTGCCATGCTTCTACTGTTCTTGGATCAAGTTTCCAATGCGTCGTTTAATAATGATGATAACAATAATGTCACAGCTTCGCGTACTGACTTGGTGTACAATCATTGCATGCACGTATAATAGTTTGTAGGCAAGTGTTACACTTCTGTTACCTTCCGATGCTTAGGTATACATTTTATAGTAAGTACTCTTCTATTGCCCTGTGTACTGATGATGCTGCGCCGAGTGCTGTTCTCCTTATGCCACCACCCTTCACCGACGGCGATCCTCCGCTCTCTTCCATAGATCCATCAATTGCTGTTTTGTTTTCAATGTCAGTGCACGGTGCTGCCGGGCATCCTGTGCGACTGTGGCTGTGATTGAACATCCTCATGAGCAAAGTGTTCAATTTTTATGAAGCAACGCTACTGCAATCTGTGCAATGCATTCCACAGATTTTCCTCTCCTTGATTTTAAGAGCATATTTGCCTCTTGTTGTTGGTGATCTACTCTTTTCCTTTTCCTTCTTTCTTATGCGCAGGCAATGTTCCCATTTACACCCAAGGTAATTGCGATCCAGGCTGGGCATGGTTCCAAAACCGCTGCTATTATTTCTCCCAGGACAAGGTGGACTTCCCCACTGCGCAGGGCAAGTGCAGTGTATTTAACGCCCGGCTTGGCGTCATCAACACACAAGCCAAGAACAACTTTGTTGTGGACTACATGATCGGCAACTGGTCCGACTTCACTGGCAGTCGCTTCTGGATTGGCCTTCACCAGGCCAAACCCACAGATCCTTTCACTTGGGTTAACAAAACTGAGCCAGTCGTCTACACCAACTACCACTGTGGCGAGCCTAATGACGCGGGTGGCAAAGAGGACTGCATAGAGTTTGTTATCTCAAACGATTTCTCCAACTCAGCCAGCTGGAACGACGTGCAGTGTACTAGTTCAGCTCATTACATCTGCGACAAGGTTGCACCACCGCCAACAACCATGCCAAGTAAGTATAGAATATGCTGCTACGACTACAAATGCTGTATTGGGAAAGCTGTGCGCAAAGTGCTTGCGAACCGACTTTGAGTGGATGTGCATCGCTACACACATGATCCTGCCAGTTACGCTTTATTTGACTCCCGAGGCATTTGGAAATGATGACCCCCCCCCATCCCCGCCTTATGGTCCAAAAAATATGGTATGCGTAGAATTATTGACAAATACATGTATGACACCAAGTCCGTCATGTGAAACATTGGTCTGTCCTGGATGTTTAACGTTTGTTCTGCACCATGTGTTTGTTTGTGTATGTGTGTTTGTTTGTGTATGCGTGTGTCTGTGTATGTGTGTGTCTGTGTGTGTGTGTGTGTATGTGTGTGTGTATGTGTGTATGTGTTTGCCTGTGTATGTGTGTGTGTCTGTGTGTCTGTGTGTGTTGACGTGCTCAGCCACAATACCACCAACCACCACTGTTCCCACCACCACACCCCGACCGACTACGACAGCCATGCCAACAACTAGAGCCCCGACCACCACCCCGGGCACTACTCAGCCACCAACCACACCGGGACCCACCACCACCAGCCCGGAGTCGATTGCGCCAACCACCGAGTTTATCCTCACCACAACGCCGCCAACAGAAGAACCCGGATCCTTCGGAAGTAAGTCCAACTATGGACTCTGTTTTTGTGTTCCTTTTTTCGGGGTGGGGAATTGTGAACAGAAATCCGCTCTATTCAGTTGGTATACCCGATCTGCACTGAATTGACAATTTGTTTATTGATGTTGTAGTAAAATTATGACGGTTGAGGCCAGTTACCCACCGTCAGAAAGATTTACAAGGGGCCAATGTGGCCTTTAATAGTGATAGCAAGCGGGAGCGTATGTTTGTTTTTGTTGTCAATTTTATTCTTATCAATTTTCGCATCTACCACCACACCAGAAATTCACTCTCCGGCCGACCTCGACATGTCATACCTGGTTGATTGAACAGCGTAATTGTGTTGCGGTGCTTCATGTGAAATAATTTGTTCACGGTCAATTGCTGATGCTAATCCGTCATGAATTTATTTTGATTATGTTTTATTGCATTACACATACCTACGGAAAGAGGGGCAACAGCACGAAAGCGAAACAAAAGTACAACAATATGTGCATAGGAGCTACATGAGCTGTGCTGGTGAGGTGCAGTGAACTTCCCCGACCAAGGGCCTCGGGATCAACGTACACAGCACGCGTATTTCCCTCACCCTGCTTTGCGCCATACATACTTCCTCACACTTGGTCCGAACCAGAGAGGTATTTGTATTGCTCTCACACACTGCTCGTGATGGGTGGAATAATGGTGATGATGTCGTAGATGTGTGTGCCCGAGGTAGTCGGGTGATGATGATATCTGTATATCTTGCTTGTAGTGACAGGGGCGTCGGACACGCTACGATCACTACGGTGTTGACCATACCAAAATGTGTCCCCTGGATGGTAGATCTACACAGTAAATCAATGAAGGCACTGATTTGGCCTCTTCATTTCGAAAACATTCAGACCTGGCTGTACCACCGTAAATACCTTTGGACGCCCCTGGGTGATGATGTCATGTTTACCGCTTGTTAAGGGTGATCACCGGCGGTGATGGCATGTGTGTATTATTTTTCGTGGTGATGATGTCATAATATGTGCCTTCTGTTAGTGGCGATGGTGCAAAGATGCGTTTTGTTACTGGTGATGTCTCACATGTACATGTACATCTGGCTTGTGGTGATAATGTCATGTGTACATATTGCTTGTGGTGATGACGTCATATGTACATATTGCTTGTGGTGATGATGTCATATGTACATATTGCTCGTTGTGATGATGTCATATGTACATATTGCTTGTGGTGATGATGTCATATAATATACTTCTTGCTCAATGTCATGTACAGATCCTATCCTGTGGAACTCTACGATATTTGAGCTATGGTTGTTGGAACATGGCTTCATCAAGTACTATCCTAAATTACGCGCTTCTGGACGAACGGCTGGAGAGATCATGAAGATGTCTATCGCTGACCTTAGTTTCCTCATTGAAGATCGTGACGCGGCAGAAGCACTAAGCAACGCACTCAAGTCCGAGGTGCCGACAATACCCGGTACGGCTAAGCGATGTCTGAAAACCAACATGTTTTCTTTCTTGCAGTGTGTTTTCAATGTGGTGTGTGTGACATAGAATACACTGTTGCATACAGGGCCAGCACCACTGGTACGACCGGTACAGCAATGGCCACACCAGATTCCCCAAGTTCAGCTTTCATATGCAATATCCAGTGCATCATTAATAACGTGGAAGCACTATCCAGCTGGAGCCTCTATCCTCTTGAACTGTTCTTCTTGTGTAATGAGGACTTCGGTGCAAGCTGTATTTCTGTTCCAAGAGGAATTTGTGTGTAGCTGAAACAAAAAGATTTGATGCAGTATAAAGCTAGAGATGCATTCTCCCGTGACACTGAAATTAAAAACAGTCGGTCCTGTAGCCAATCAGGCGTCGCACCACCCAGGGAATAATTTAACCGGTATCGCATCGAACTACGCAATTCTTCTGAGGTGCTAAGCAACTTCAGAAACGTGTCGCAGAAAACAACTTCAGAAACGTGTCGCAGAAAACTGCGATGCATGTTGGCTTTTCACTGTACTCTATGATGCACAGTGTGCATGCCAGGTGTGTATCTTAGGGATGAAAAAGATGCACGAAACAAACAAAAAAACTTCGAAAGTGCTGAGCTATGCATCGTGGCACCAAGTTAGGTTTGCAACTAAGGTGTTACTGTGTACTTGTGGTCCGAGTTTGCACTCTGATCAGCTCTGGGGAAGGGCAATGTTGCCAAGTGTTGAAGAAAACTGCTACCCAACATTTTTGAATCGCTATTCAAATTTGATTTTGAATAGCGAATTTGCTATGCAAGAAATTAAAAGCAAATTATTCCCTGCCACCCCTGGTGAGCTGGCTCCGGGCCTGGCATTATAGCTCACTCTGTTTCTTATAGGGCGCAACGTTACTTATAGGATACTCTGTTGCTTATAGGGTACACGGTGTTGTTCTCAGTTTAAAGTGGCCAGTGGAATGACATGATTGCAATCCCTGTTTCTCTTTTCCGTGTGGTTGTGTGGTTTCTCTTGCTACAGGCCAAACCAAGCCCCCAACCGAAGAGTCCGGTGGATTATCATCTGGAGCCATGGCCGCTATCATCGTTGTGGCGTTGGCTGTCATTCTTGGCTTAGTGTTGCTTCTGGTGTTCGTCCGTGGACGCCGCGCTAAGGATGGTCCGGGTGTTGGCTATTCAAAGTGAGTAATACATGTCGTGAAAACGTTATGCCAAGAAAGACGTTCGGCGTCACAAACAGACGTATCACGTCTTGTGCAGCGTCTTTTTTACTAAAATGTGTGTGTGGGGGGGGGGGGGGGTGCGTGTGGTAGGTTGCAGGAGGGCATAAAGCATATGACCAACGGAGCATGTGAGGGTGGCCAGGAAGCAAAGTTGAAGTGCCAGCAAGCTCCCGCATGTATGTACACAATCCGATATGTCACGGATGTATGGGACCTGGTTCCAAAGACCACCTGACTTTAACGACCGCTTTTGCTTGCACCGTGGGGCGGTCGCTTAAACCAGGTTGTAATGTACACTGTCCGTTTCCGGTACATGACTTGTAATGGCAGCTCCATCCTACTGCCTGTGGTCTGCGTGTGTTCTATACCATTGGACCCATCCTGGGAGGGAGGGCCGGGGGTAGGGGAAAGTCGTTGAGGGTTCGGGGTGCTTGGGATTTCCAAGGGCATGAACATAGCTATACGTTGCAGACATTACCAGTGTATTTCACTGGGTGGGGGATTCAATATCCATTTGCTAAGGGTAGTTTAATTTTTTTGTGACATTTTTTGTTATCTCTGGTGAACATGTCGATGGTAACTATTAGTTTGGTCTGGGCTAAAACTAACCGTTCGTGTTGCAAAAGAGTGCTTGATCATTGTGCAATGCTCATAATAACGAGAGAGCTTGGAAGCTCAGGGCCCTACGCTATGCTTTTTTGCCTTGATGACCTAGACAAAAAAAAGCATAGGGATGTTATAAATTCTTAACCCTTTAAGAGCCACAGGAAATTTTCAAAAATCTGCATTTTTTCATGTTCCTCGGATCATAGCTTCAGTTCTACTCACTCAATCCTCACAATCTAGGGCTTCCTGGAAAGGTATCCGCGAGAGGAAGAGAATGAGGTCGATCATGATAGCCAGCACACCGTCTATCCAGCGCTAGATCGCAGCGACAGTACGAAAAATGCCCCAAATGGGTCCAATTGCGTCCCGCTCCAGATATTTCATTCTACTCGATCATGGAGTTCCAATTTTTTTTGCTGTGTACCCTTGACAATATCAACAGTGAAACCCGTGCAAATTCGAGTAAACCAGCGTGACGAAAAGTCTCAAAAATCTCAATACTAAAGTTGAACTGCGCGCTTTTGAAATTGCCGCGATCGCGGCTCAACTTACGAGTGATTTATCTCGGGAACCGTTGCTCGCAGCGCTTCGCGGATTGTTTCTCCCGACAGGTGAGAGTTTTCTCTTCGCCCTGGATATTTCGATCGATGGATTTGAGCGAGATTAGACTGAGTTACGATCTTTTGACGTTTTGCATTTGAATGCGTCGTTTACGACGCATTCAAGTATGGGGCGGCTCTTAAAGGGTTAAATAAATTTCTACTTTTTGTTTTTAGATGTAGACATAACCTGGGATTCGAGCCCGCACTATCGCCCTGCATGCATCCCCCGATACACTTCGCATACATACTAATTCTTCCAAGTTACTTCACGTTATGATCTTGTATTTGAAAGCCCTATTTGAATATGCATTGTGGCCAGCCGTCCTTGATTGTACGGTACGGTACGGGACAGGTACGGTCGAGGGTATTACGACACCATCTACCGCCTTGATGACGGCAAAAAAAGAATAGGGATGTTATAAATTTTTCAATTTTCCTATTTTTTTCAGGCATTACCTGGGATTCGAACCCGCACTATCGCCCTACATGCATTCCCCCATACACTTCGCATTCATACTCATTCTTCCAAGTTGCTTCACGTTATGATCTTGCGTTTGAAATCCGCGTTTGAATAGTGCGGCCAGCTGTATGTGGGCAGCTGTGCTTGATGGTACAGTACGGGACAGATACGGGATAGCGCCAGGCGTGACACAAACACACAAACACACAAACACCGAATTAAAGCTGTGTGGACCCTGGCTAGCGCCAGACGTTACTGAACGTCTTCTGCATAGCTACGGGAATAATCAACTGTCTGTGTGTTGTTCTATTCTGATATCTGTTTATAGGCAAAATGACAGTATCTTGGTAAAATCTGCTGATATGTCTGCGACCAACCCAGCATTCGAGAATCCAGACTACGCCGAGGCCATCAAGTATGGCAACACGGTCCAGTGAGATATCAACGGCGGAGAGGTGCGCTGAGCACTAATATTTACACCGTGCACCCCTCACACCTCTGTTTTCTCTTTGGCCGTTATGTTGGCGTTTTCCTGGGGCAACTCTTGGGCCGCGAACATCTGCTGTAATCTCTGCACAGGTGCTTTTCACTCATTGTGTTTCGGTCGAGCTCTCACCCGAATGGATCCTTTCCGCCTTTTGCATCGTTCGCACCTTAGCAAATACTTTTTTTGCCATATCACATTATTCATGTACTAGTTCTACTGATTCTACTGTGCATCCATTAGACTTCTGGCTAAATTCGTGGTACCGTGACAACTTGGCACACATTGTTGTGAATAGTCGTTCTAATATTGTGGATTTTCTGGCCTCCTTTTTGACACGGCCTGCATTTTGGATCATTTTGAAACCTTCCAATTTATTAGATCCGAAGAATACACCCGTTGGCTTGTGACACGTACACTGGGATGCATGACGAGTGCCAATTCTGTCTTGTTGAGTATCATATGATTGACATTCAATTTGATCCAGAATTCATGAGCAAAATTAATACAGTTCGAAGTAGTAGTCTTGCAGGTTTGCCGAGTCGAAGGTTCGATGGACTTCTCGTGTGCTCTGGATGGCAGTCGTGAGTCAGTCAAGTGTCAAATAAAGTCGGCGGAATAGCGCGAGCTCCGGTGTGGGGAGCAATCCATTTCTTAAAATTAATACAGATTCGGTAGTTGCTACTGAATTCTGGGTCAAATTGAATCCACTGTCGTCACCATAGTCAACTGTAAAAATTGAATCCACTGTCACCTTAGTCAACTGTAATTATCCGGCATCACGTGAGTAGACCTGCTCATGTCAAGTGCTAGTCTGACAAGTTGCCACTACCGTGACTCCTGTACTAGGTTGATGTAGCACTGGGCAAACACCATGGCAACCTGGCACGCCGGGAGGATTGCTCTAATTCCATCTGGGTCTGAGGTCAGGTCTTAGACGGAGTCATCTCCATGGCAAACGCCGTAACTCTGGCGGGCAGCCAGTTTTGCAAACGCGTCCACTGGACCAAGAAATCAGATAAGTTGAAAACAGTTTGTAGGATGGTAGGGTGGGGACGGTGGCTTTCCAGCTTCTGAACCAAACTATGGCGAAAAGTTTCAGAATTCTTTCGAAAAAGAGCAAAAATTTTACCCGCTTCTGCTTCACCTTGCAACTCTCTGTATATGGGGCAGTGTAGCTCACACCCAGTCTGTATGGGGCAGTGTAGCTCACACCCAGTCTGTATGGGCAGTGTAGCTCACACCCAGTCTGTATATGGGGCAGTGTAGCTCACACCCAGTCTGTATGGGGCAGTGTAGCTCACACCCAGTCTGTATGGGCAGTGTAGCTCACACCCAGTCTGTATATGGGGCAGTGTAGCTCACACCCAGCAGGCCACTTGCATCTCTACGTGTTGGCTGCAGTGCAGGGTCATATCAGCAACACCAATCGGATCAACACCAGCAGAGTACATTTCACACTTATGCTCATACTCCTGCCCATCGATAGCAAACAATTTAAAACTAAGTTGCATTTCATACACACACACACACACACACACACACACACACACACACACACACACACACACACACACACACACACACACACACACACACACACACACACACACACACACACACACACACACACACACACACACACACACACACACACACACACACACACACACACACACACACACACACACACACACACACACACACACACACACACACACACACACACACACACACACACACACACACACACACACACACACACACACACACACACACACACACACACACACACACACACACACACACACACACACACACACACACACACACACACACACACACACACACACACACACACACACACACACACACACACACACACACACACACACACACACACACACACACACACACACACACACACACACACACACACACACACACACACACACACACACACACACACACACACACACACACACACACACACACACACACACACACACACACACACACACACACACACACACACACACACACACACACACACACACACACACACACACACACACACACACACACACACACACACACACACACACACACACACACACACACACACACACACACACACACACACACACACACACACACACACACACACACACACACACACACACACACACACACACACACACACACACACACACACACACACACACACACACACACACACACACACACACACACACACACACACACACACACACACACACACACACACACACACACACACACACACACACACACACACACACACACACACACACACACACACACACACACACACACACACACACACACACACACACACACACACACACACACACACACACACACACACACACACACACACACACACACACACACACACACACACACACACACACACACACACACACACACACACACACACACACACACACACACACACACACACACACACACACACACACACACACACACACACACACACACACACACACACACACACACACACACACACACACACACACACACACACACACACACACACACACACACACACACACACACACACACACACACACACACACACACACACACACACACACACACACACACACACACACACACACACACACACACACACACACACACACACACACACACACACACACACACACACACACACACACACACACACACACACACACAACTGAAATACCTGGGCATACATGTACTACATAGCTGCTACCATGTCCAGTTACAGCAGGGAGTAGGTATTTCACTACTCCCTGATTGCAGTACGCGTGAAGGCATGGACTGAAGGTGCAGACTGTTCAACGAGAGCGAAAAGCAGCACAAAAAGGTACATCACTACCTAAGCTGGACACGAACCCAAACATCTTGCTTCCATAGACATACCAGCTAACCGCTCAGCCACTGGTGATTTGATATGGACTGTCACACAAAATGTTGTATAACAACATATCAACACCATGTAGTTTGCCAACACAGAATAATCTGGGGCCGGAGTCCAGACCAAACACACCACTCCTGTGTCTTATCTGTCAGTGTATAATTATAGTGTACCGGTATGATTGTATGAGTCAGACAAATAATAAGAAGCATGTACGCACTCGACATGGCATTCCTCCAACTGTTTTTCAGGAGACAATGTGCAGTGAAGGTCTGGGGACACATTTTTTTATCTTCTTCAAAAATAGGAAAGATTCAAGTCCACTCATCAGACGCCATCGCATTGTGGGTACATCTCGCACCAGTAAGACAGAAGGACATACAAGCAGATATGCAGGTGGATGGGCATGCAGCCAGCTAGGCCGACAGACATGCAAAAGGAGAGACAAACAGACCTCAGCTCACACAGAGCAGCAGGCAAGAGACATATTCCAAATAGAAACAGTGACATTAATATGAAATACCCAAGTCCTGGCCCATTGGCAAAAAGACGAAAATCTAAACACCGCCGTAAAAATTGACTGCGGTCAGTCAGCGGTATATCAACGCAATGTAACAGAAAAAAGAAGATACATGCAAAGGATTTCGGTTCATTTTCTGACTAAATTGATGAACATCCACATCTATGATACTCCTCGCTGACACACTAAACTGGTCTGACACAAGCGAAGAACAATTCGGATGTTTGAATTGTCCATGACACATTCACGGTCAAACAAGGAGACATGCCAGGCCATGAAGTACTTTTAAATACACAGTTCCAAAATGATCTCAACTTGCTGCTACGGAATCAGCGAGGTGACCACGCTGATACATGCTACCAGGTGTGGCAGAAAGAGACCGACATGGCCTGGGCGGCATGATAATACAGTCAGACCTCACTTATCCGGTCCTCTTTTATCCAGATCCCTCGCCATCAGGAAGAAAATAGCTGGTTACAGATATACAGCAGGCGTGATGCATCTGACATAATCAGTGTTCGATTATCCGGTTCCTTGGTCTATCCGGATATTTTAGTGCAAAACGGATGTGTGCGGTTAAGGGAGGTCTGACTGTAGGTGGAGATGAGCCAGTGGGTCTTGAGGAAACACATCGCCAAACACATGACGCATGATCTATAGACCATGCTTAAGAGTTGTTCAGCCGCTTGGAGATGCACATACCTCGCCGTCTTGAGCGGTGAACCTCGTCTATAAACATAAAAGCAGAATCAAGCAAAGCACAAAGGCACAACAGGCAATATTGACGACAATGAAGATAACACTTCACTACTCACGCCTGCACATGAGTCTTCTTCCTGTCTGGGTTCACCCAGTTATGCTCTTTTACACAATGCTTTCCATCTTGGATTCTATATTCTTTGTCCTCGTGGGGAAAACTGAGGGGTGGTCACAAAAGGTGTTTTCTGTCCTTCCCGAAGCGAATATTGTTCATTTCGTGCTCGCACCTCCTTCCCAACCTGACAAATGAACCCAGATTGCTACACTGGACGAAGAAAACCGTACCTGCATGCATGTACCTGTATATATACAGTGTCGGCGGACTTGCAATTTTGACTCACAGCAGGGTGTGCAATGCAGTGCTTGTGCCATCATACTACTGTTATCGACGAATCATATTGGAGCTGGTACGGATATTTTTTCAGCTGGCAATGTCTTTTTCAACGTCTGTTCAAAATACAGGCAAAAGTATACCAATTTTATAGGATTAGGAGAACCTCAATTTGTTTCTCTTTTCAGGCAGTTCACTTCCCCATTAATCCCAAAAAGTGTACTAGTGAAAACTTTCAAGATGATGTTCAAGAGGCTGGACTGTGTCTTTCTTCTCATATTGTAACATGGAAAATGTGGGCACAAGTTATGCGATCGAGTCCACCAACTAAACCAGATTTTGAACAGTCAGACGTGCACAATCTAGCACAAAACTGACAAGGAGTGCTGAGACATTCCACAGCATGAAAGTCAGCTTGAGCACTGCTCGATAGCGCTTACCAACGACCTTCCAACTTCGAAGGTTCATGGATATTAATGCCAAATCCAAAGAGGGGAAGGTAAGCGCCATTGAGCCGAGCACAAGCTACGTTCCAAGGCTTCGCGGTATGCTGGCCTGGTGCGATAACGGGATGGCAAGACCAGACAGAACGGTCAAACCGCAATTCGACAACGCAAAGCAACAACCACCGAACTTGGGAGGCTCAATATTATGAGACATGAAATATGAGGGGTAACAAAACGAAAATGCCGATATCCTACAGTACCGTACTTTGTGCTGACAATGATGAACTGACTAATTGCAATGACATGCACAGTATCACATGACCACTGTTTCGCTGTATTGTTCATCACGGCTCTTCAGGTGTGCATAAGGAACTCAGATAGTGAACCACAAAGAGTGTGCCCACATTTTTCCATGTTGCAATGTTTCCTTGGCTCACCATCTGAGCTCTTCTTATAAATTATTAGTATCATCGTATTCTTGTCTCAGAGGATACTGTTCACATAAAAAAACTTACTTCAATTAAAGGAACTGCTTGGACCTTCTTTTCACCGAGGAGAAATCGTTTTTCAGATCGCCATTTGTGGAACGCGACAGCTGACATCGATGCAGTACCAACGCCCAGCCAGGATCTGTGGCCCGTCAGAGTTAATAAAGTCACTCGTACGTGCAGGGACATCGTGACCTGAAGAAAAAAAACCCAACAGCAATAGTATACTAGTGATTGAATGGAGAAGTTGGAACAAAACTGCCTTTCTCTGTTCAGTGGGCACTTTCAGAGGCAGAACATCACACAAAACATAGAGAGAGAACTATAGAGGGAGCTAGTGTGAGAAAGAATGACAGAGGTCAACAGAGAAGTAGAGTGAGAGGAAGAGAGGGTGGAAGAGAGAGTGAGAGGGACAGGTAGAGAGGGGGGGGGGGGGGGGGGGTTGGAGCTGTGTTGCGACTCGGAGTAAAACCCTGAAATAATGATCATCAATAGGCAGGTGATTACCAGGATCGTAACTTGCACACATATCAGGTGTGGTGACCTTGCACCAACGGCGTTCTCATAGCTGATATTTTGCCTAGTGACTATGTAGCACCAACGGCGTCCTCATAGCTGATATTTTGCCTAGTGACTATGCACTACCTACATGCACATGTATGATGGACATTTTCTGCTGTGGTCACCGGTCTACTGTAGAAGTACAAATTTTCGTTTGGAATTAACTTTCGTTATATTCGTTAGGGGACATGGAAACACTAAAGTTTGTATCAAACTAAAGTTTTTTTTCTGCACGTTCGGGGTGACAGATCTCGACTAAAAACGAAATTTAGTACGGAAACAAATTTAGTACGCAGCGAACCTCCTGGTGGAGTGAGCTAACGAAAGATTTTGTGAACGAAATGTGTGCTTAGACAGTACGCTGACTATACACGAGCTAGCGCCTGTATGTAACTACCTATGACAATCTGAGGACAGCACAGCTCATCTTAAAGGGGAAGTTAAGGCAAAAATTAAAATTTCACCAGTTGTAGTCTTCGGGGTGCTGAGTCGAATGGTCTTGGTCCGAGAAAGCTGAGACGCTCCCTTCCTACTTGAATCCCAATCGAACTCGCGCACTTCCACCGAAACTGGGTGACTGCGCCCTACTAGATGGGGATTTCTATGCAAAATGTCACTAAAAGCGCCATTTCGTTCTTATAAAAGCACGGATGACCGCGATTGGCCCATATGTTGTAGTCTTTTGGACGTTGAGTCGACTGGTTTTGGTCCGAAAAGGCTGCGATGCAGCGTTCCTCCTTTATTCCCAATCGAACATGGTTGAACAAGCGGTCACGTGCTCCTGGGTGCCCAAATCACCTGGTCACCACGCCAGCAGGCGACAACTTTCACACCAAGGTTCAACTCGAGTGACAGGACTGCACCCAAAAAAGGTCAAACAGGCTAGTAAGTTGTACTCTGCAGGCACGGTGACCAGCTGACTGGTGTACGCAGGAGCACGTGACCGCTTGTTCAACCATGTTTCGATTGGGAATAAAGGAGGAACGCTGCATCGCAGCCTTTTCGGACCAAAACCAGTCGACTCAGCGTCCAAAAGACTACAACATATGGGCCAATCGGGGTCATCCATGCTTTTATAAGAACGAAATGGCGCTTTTAGTGACATTTTGCATACAAATCCCCATCTAGTAGGGCACAGTCACCCAGTTTCGGTGGAAGTGCGCGAGTTCGATTGGGATTCAAGTAGGAAGGGAGCGTCTCAGCTTCCTCGGACCACGACCATTCGACTCAGCACCCCGAAGACTACAACTGGTGAAATTTTGATTTTTGCCTTAACTTCCCCTTTAACACCATTAGGGTGCGCAAAAACACAGCTCTTCCGTGTTGCTAGTGCCGCCGGTACATGTATCTAGGAGGTCGGGTCAATTTCCCATCCGTGTAAGCGTTTTCTATGGGATTACGATTTTCGAAGCGTTTTGTCTGGAGTGGTATCGTATGCACTAGTTCGGCACTCATCACGAGGCATAGCACGATGACGTCACTCCGCACAAAGCATAGTGCGATTACGTTACTAGTACTCTAAAACAGAGCATGGCACGAAGTATGCATATGTCGACCAGCTACCTAGCCAGACCTGTGTTACTTGTAACTAGTATCGTGATCACGTGACGTGACTCCCACCGTGTCTTAGCTTCACTGCAATTTACCATTGTATCAACACTACCCTGATATTACTAACAATGTAATTTTAATGAAGTTGGTTGTTCCAACGACGAACACGCGCTTCCTGCCGAACTGGACACTTGACTGACTCGCGACTGCCTTCCGGAGTACACGAGGAGCACGTCGCACCTTACACTTGGCAAACGTGCAAGAAAGCACCACTCCCTGCTCAATACTGTTCGGCGGTCTCTTGCTGTCGACGCATCTTTTCACAAAGTCAGTGAGTCTGCAAACGACGGGATGTTTGCTCCGTTGTTTCTTGTTATCGGCGTAGCCATTTGCAAGCACACTTTGCATACACATACATTCTTCCAAGTTGCTTCAAGTTATGATCTTGCAGTTGAAAGCCCTATTCGAATGAAGTGGCTAGCTGTTTTTGATGGTACGGTACGGGACATGTACCGGGATAGCGCCCTGCATGCCGTTGTCAGGCACAAATACCGAATCAAAGCGGTGTGGATCCTGCCTACCGCCAGACGTTACTAAAGATTTGCATAGCTACGGGAATTAAAAGCTGTTCCGTTGACTGAACTGCGCTCATTATTGCTGAGAGTTCGTTGTGAAGGGATAGGAAAGCATATCTTCCGCAGAGGCTGACGGTAAGTTCTGAACCTGACGCCAAGTCTTCTCAGTATTGACATCTAACAGAGGGCCGATAAATTTTCATTCTTTGTTCTTCATCTTCTAAATGGGACAGCGAGTTCAACGACAGTGGAGGCTTCCCGTTACAACCCTATGTGCAAGTTGTTGGGTTGACAGCATGTCACAAGACAACGCGTTGTTCAACCAATCGTGAGAATCAAGAATTTAAAAAAACCAAGCAAGGCTTATCTAATACCATACCCCTGTATGTGTAACCGAGACGGAAGTACAACGATGCAAGAGACATCCCAGTAAAACACCTGTGACCAAAGTGGTCTTCAGAGGTAAGCAGTGACTACCGATTGCCAACCTTTCAAATTCCAAATGTTCCGTCATGGCTAACACGGTGACACGATCCGCACAAGACTCACTCCAGCCATAACCAACCGACCCGCCCTCAGGTGATCTTGAAATGTTCACTCTCGCGCTAACCTGCAGAAACGGAGGTTTAGGGCTCATCTTCCCGGCGTCCCTGTCAGCTCAGCATTGTGATCCTAAAGATATCATCCAAGCACTCGTAGAGCGCATCTTGCTTCAGGATCAATCCCTCGACGGCATCCCTCACAACGCCAGAAAAGCAAGGCAGATGCTTCATCCTACGCCCGCCGTGCACGCATGGGCCATGCCAAAATCCATCAAGTATAGCTGCCCGACTGCCATGCTTCGGGTGCTGGAACGGGCTTCAGAGAAGGCAGCCTCTAGTTGGCTTACCTGCCGCCCGCTCTGTCGCTATGGGTCGTCCTCCACAAGCAAGCTTTCCGCGGCGCACTTCACCTGGGCTATGGTTAGATACCAACTGGACTGCCCTCAAGCTGCGCATGCCGTACTTCCTTCATATTAGAACACCATTTGTCCTGTCCGATTGCTGGCTACCCCTCCATGCGTCACAATGACCTCCGTGATGTAACAGCATCACTCCTGAAAGACGTGGCCCACGAAGTGAGCACCGAACCTTCGCTGCAACCACTCACCGGTAAGACCTTGCGTCATCGCACAGCAATCTCAGCTGATGGCGCTCGCCTGGACGTGGCAGCAACCGCATATGGGGTGGGCGTTTTGAGATGACATTACACGAAATTCGCGTCTTTAACCCGCATGCGCGTTCCAACCGCCAGCAGTCACTTCCGGTAACATACAGAACAGAAGAGGCGATCGTATGAGGAGCGAATCCGGGAAATAGAGCACGCGTCATTTGTGCCGGTAGTCTTGAGTGCATCAGGAGGATTTGGCAAAGCGGCTTCTGCGCTCTACAACAGAGTTGTCTGTATGCTTTAGGACAAGAAAATAAGAACCTTATTGGACAGAACTGGCCTGGATCAGGTCAAGGGTCTCTTTCTCTTTTGTCCGCTCAGCAAATGCTAGCCTCCGTGGACATTGCGCCACTCAACCGAAGTCCAACGGAGCTTCTGCGGACATTCCCGCTGTGCTGGCCGCAGCAGGATGCCACTTTTGATCGTCTGGTTTTGGAAATCTAGCCCAGAGTTTCATTTAATCCATTTTGCAGTTCCTCCCCACCCCTTTTTAAAGCTGTCACTTGGTATAACTATCTGTCCCGGGGGAAATTGCGGAAAAAAATCGCAAAAAACGCGGGGGAAAACGCGGCATATGGCATAATTTGCGGTGAATTTGCGGTAAATATGGGGTAAATATGCGGTGAATAATAGTGATGTGCGGCAATTTTCAGTGAGTACATGTATGTAGTGAAATCAATCAGTTACAAGTCTCTGGTGTAAGCACTCGTCATATTTGAGTAAAAAGCCGCCACGATGAGACGTTGCTGACCGAACAGTGCACTGTGTGTACGTGTAGTGCAACAAAAAAGTTCAAAAAACGCGGGAAAATCGCGGAAAACGCGGTCTTTTAAAAAATCGCAAAAAACGCGGAAAAAACGCGGCCGCGGAATCGCAATTTTCCCCGGGGACAGAACTATGTACTGTGCTAGCAAAAGAAATCCAACCTCATGAATAAAATGGCGCGCGCGGGGGCGGGGGAGGGGGGGGGAGGAGGAGGGAGGGCGCTACGCAGCCCTAGCACTACTCACACTGCAGGTCTGTGCACTCAACCGCGCCGCTACTTTATTCATGAGGTGTCGGATTTATTTGGCCAGCACTGTATATCTACATGTAGATTTAAAAAACAAAACATTTGTACTCACTGCATGCATCACCGCGTCGAGCCGCTCACCCGCTCTGTTTAGTATTGTCCACTGTGTGGCGTCTTCCTAGTTGGCATTTGGGTGGTCCCCGTGGACACTAGTACATGTAAATGTACATGACTAATAGACTATTGTACACAAAGTGTCCGAAGTCCTTGCTGTAAACAGTCCTCAATACCCTAACAAGGTGTCAGCTTGGAAGTTACTCTACATTGTACAGTTCCATGGCAGTACTGCCAGTAGTTCGCAAGGTCCACCATTGCCCGCCGGCCGCGCGCGTACTTGCTGAGACTAAGGACCGACACTGCGTCGCACTGGTAAGTTAGTGCACAACGTCCACTGTGATGCTGCTGCTGTTGCTGCTGCAGCAGCTCAACCATACTGCCACTGCATCGGTTGCTATCCGGACTACTGAAATTTTAGCGACTGCCTTGTGTTATGTTCACGGCGCCTTTTCCACGAGTGCACAAAATAAATCATTGGTAGACCTCGTCGAGCGTCTGAATACGCTAGAAAACTGCAGATACACACAGTCTGAGAATAATTAGACTGAGTTAGAGCAGGAACCATTCTTCACCAGCGGCAGCTACAAACATAGAGTCACGATGGATAACCAGAAAGTCCGTTTTGAAAAAGAAGAAAGGAAGAGAATGAGCAAGGAAGTACACGTACACACTGCACATGGTCGATGGACACGCAAAGAGTATTGTACTGAGTCTGTAGCCACGCATGATTGTGGTGTCGACATGACTGTCGTAAACTATCGCCATGGTTACTTTTTCCGGTCCAACAACAAGACTCCAGAGCTTGAACGTCGTTCGAACATGAACATGCCTACATACATTTTTCTGGGGTAACGGCCTCTTTTACGGGCAAAAATAAAGTCATGTAGACGTGAAAAAATAAAGATACTATAATGAAGGGTAAAATAGGATTTGATTCAAGTATTTCCCAATGTATTAATACATTGTCATTGGGAAACTCCAAGAAATTCCACGTAAAACAGACGAAATTCAGTTCTCAATGGCCGATGCCTACCCCAGCACCATCCTGCGTCGACAGGCCTGTCAGGCCAGTCACATTTCCTGCATCTTTTGCAGCATACAGGATAGACTCATATTAAACTAGTCCACTACTTTGTGATTTATGTATAACTAGCAGCACCACCGGCCAGCGTTGCCTGGCCGAATGTGGCATGCGGGTGAAGCAAGTACATGAACAGCACACGTGCTCAGCACGTGGTGGTGGCCAGACCGCTGAAGTCCTGATGAGGGAGGTTCTTCATCGTTGGAAGGAGAAGGAGGACGTCTGTTACGCCTTCGGGAGGCTGGTCAGGGTTGTCCATCACCTGGTACGTGGTGGCGGATGAAGCGGCTCAAAAAATTCATAAACTTAGGGGCCGTCCGTAAATATCGAACTTTTTTCACCAAACGAATTATTTTAGTTTAGACCCAACCCCTCCCTCCCTCCCCCTCAGAACGTAAAAAATGTTGAGATATACATGCGTATACAACAAAAAGTCGCAAGTGTGTCACTGCTCCTACGGCCATGTACATGTACATGTATCGAAGTTTTCTGAAATGAAATTGGTCAACCCCCTCCCACCCCATAACGAAATTATTTCGTTTCGTGAAAAAAGTTCGATAATTGTGGACGACCCCTTACGAACAAAAGTGCGATGCGCTCTTCACTGCATGCAGATCAGATGCAGAGTGCAGTCAGTGCAGATCTTTTGTATCCTTTTGTTGCAGATGTTTCTATTTGCAGAGAACGGTTCACGTGGTCCGCAGCGCTTGTGCGGCTGCTAGTGCTACCTAGGCTATGGGCTATGGCCTAGGCTAGATGGCTACATGATTCGCACGCTTCGCGTGCTCAGTGCTTCTGCGCGCGGCTGCTACTGCTACTCGTACTGATCGTGTCTGCTACCACCTAGTACCTACACTGTTCGCACGCTTCGCGTGCTCAGCACGTGGTGGTGGCTACACGATTCGCGCGCTTCGCGTGCTCAGTGCTTCTGTGGCTGCTTCCGCTAGCTACACGATTCGCGATTCGCACGCTTCGTTCGCACGCTTCGCGTGCTCAGTGCTTCTGCGGCCGCTAGCTACACTGTGCAATGTGCTACACTGTTCGCACGCTTCGCGTGCTCAGGGCAGCGCTGCTCCGCAGCGCTTCAGCGTGACACAAACACACACGTCACAGGTGCCTCTTCTTTATAAGGAGCGTGACACACACACACACACACACACACACACACACACACACACACACACACACACACACACACACACACACAGACACACGTCACAGGTGCCTCTTCTTTATAAGTAAAGAAGATTATGGTTTCAGCAGGTCTTTTTGCTTTGGTTCGTGTAGTCGTGGTAGTATGCTAAACTCGGAACTGGCTGTCTAAAATACAATCACAACAATCAACGTGATACTACATACCTATATTATTATCTCTAATATAAGCACAGTCTCCAATAATAGCACGTCTCCAACACCTTGGGGCGGCATTCAAAACATAAAGTGCTCAGTCTCCATTATATGCACACTGTGTAAATGCATTATCTGTACCGGCGAAAACCCCCTGAAATGTGTGCATATGGCAACATGCCTCTGAAATGAGGTTGAAAATAATAATGCCTAGTAGCTAAATATTATTTTGATTTTGATGCACACCACTGTACTGTAGTCTGTCCTGCCCATCGGACTTCGAAGAGCACACACGGACTGTGACGGAGTGTGTTCTTGATCTGGTCAAGAAGTCTCCTGCACATGACGTAGATCTACGTATGAAGAGATCTTGGAAATACAATACAATACTACAATTATTGTTGTAGTAATTCCATGTAGACCGGTCTACACTACGTGCAACAGTACTAATCCTACGTAGCAAGGCCAAGGGTTCTTGACTTCTACTTCTACTTGTACTATGTAGTTCCTTGAAATTGTTCAATGTTTCCTCGTTGAATGCAGGTGGAAGGTGTTGTGGTACGCGATATTATTGCAAGTTCGAGTATCAATTTGTTGCACTAAGTCTTGCGCCGGTAGTTGTCGTTGTAGTGCACCGCGCTGCTTTGCTGGCGAAAAAGCCTACGGTCGGTAGATCTACGGTGATTCATTGCAGTAGTGCCAGATCAGACAGACGTTATCACACAAATCTATCAGTATCAGTAGAGTACCAGTGCAGGCGGACAAGATCGAGGAGGCACAGAATAGAACGCCCTTTACAGTTTACTTCTTGTTGTAGCACAGGCCAGGCTCAGTCCTGGCGCACTCGGCACGAGAACTGAATCTTATTCTTATCTCTGTACAAAATTAATGTAGTGATACTAGTAGTGTAGACCAATGCAGTAGCGAGCCAGCACAAGCCTTGTAGTACATACATGTACATTGATTGTGCATTGTTATTTTCTGTGGCGCAGCTGTGTTGTTTTGATCGAGCCCGAGAGTGGCAGCGTGTTTCCAAGTCGTAGCGGATGCACTTGATCGGCACTGCCGGTCATTACAAGTGCCTGAAGACGTAGAATGCAGCGCGGCCAGTATGACGGCCGCTACGACCTAGAGTTCGATGGCCTGGCTGATGAGGAGGGCCAGTCAATCCACAACTTCTTGGACTCGTTAGATTTGTTGAAGTATTTTCACCTGTTCTCCGGTTATGATAGCGTCAATGCCCTTTGCGTGCTGAGCGAAGCTGATTTTGTCCGGATCGGCGTGGTCAATGCCAGGGATCGCCGCAGCATGCTGGCGAAGCTGGAGCGCGACTTCGGAGCTCCCAGTGCCGAGCAGAAAGCCACGCTTACTCGTGCACCGAGTGGAACATCACTGCAACTCGCCCCTCCACTGCTGCCAAAGAAAAAGAAAGGCTTGCTGAAGGGTCGATTCCCATTGAAAGCCACCGAGCGACACAAGACCCCGTCCCCCACCGAACAAGCACAGTCACGTTCAAGACCCAGTGTATCATCTGTGTCGTCTACTGTGTCCGATGTCCTGCAGGATAGACATGCACTGTTGCAACACCAGCCCTGGTTCCACGGACGAATCAACAGGAAGCTGGCGGAGGCGGCCGTGTGCAACGATGGCGACATCCTGGTGCGCGAAAGCATCAGCAAGCCGGGGCAGTATGTCCTCACGGCCCATTGGAAAGGAAAGGCCGTGCACTTCGTCGCCACAGAACTATCTCCGCTGGAGGCGCAGAAATACGTGCCTAGGCCTCAGTCGCGACGGCGCAAGGACAGCCGAAAGGACGCGGCCGAACCGACGTGTCTGGCCGAGGAGAGTTCCGTCTGGTATCGGTTTGGAGGCGAGGCGTACCCATCCATGGTGGAGCTGGTGACCTATCATCTCACCTCCAAGCAGCCCATTTCGGACGCAAGCGGCCCGGTTGCAGCGTACGCAGTTCCACGGCACGTGACGCGTTCCGCGGACGATCGCCTGTCGCTCACCAGCAGCTCGTCTGTGAGCCGACGGAACAGCCTACGCCTGGAAGACATGGACAGCGTCATGGTCATGGACAGGAAGGGCGGCCGCCAAGGCCTCGGAGGCAGCGTGGATCGCTTGGACAGGGCCAGTCCGGGTGTGGAAAGCATTGGCGCACTGTCCCTACCGGCCACCTCCATAACAGCTGCAAACACGTCGCCGCAGTCTAAACCAAAGGTGAACTTCGGCGTGAAGATTCGCGGCAAGTCACCCCTGAACGCACGGCGGCGTCCACCGAGTGCGGTCTCCGAGAGCGGTCTTGCAGGCGCTCTCAACCCGTCGCTGAAGGATCGCCTGTCCGGTTCGCTGGGCTCCTTGAACAAAGCGAGCAGCACGGAATCGCTGGTGCATAACCCGGACTTGCCGCATCCGGATGCGGTGAAGGTATCCGTGCAGATGGTCCTGCAGCACTCGCCGAGTGACCTAGCGCGGCACATAGCACGCGTCAACCTGCAGAAGTCGCACATCCTGCTGCCCAAGGAGCTGACCGACGATCATCTCGCTCACATGCCGTTTGCCAAGAACAGTGTGGCGTGCTCGCCTAGCGTAATGGAGAAGTGTGCCCAGCAGCAGAACGATTGGAAGCAGGGACAGGCGAGCGGCCTCGCGAATCTCATCCTGGGACAAGGCGAGCCGGTGGCACGCGACCTCCTTCGCAGGTTCACTGCCCTGTCGCAGTTTGCAGCTATTATGGTGATGGGTGCGGGGGACATGATGACGCGCTGCACTGTGCTGCGCAAGCTGGTAGAGGTGGCACAGTGCCTGCAGAGCGATGCCGTGGCCGACCTGTTTGGCTTCACGGCCGTCATGCGCGGCCTGCGCAGTCCGCGTGTGCGCCGCCTGGAGGCCACCTGGGCCGAGTTTCGCTCCGGCGACAGTAAGCTTGCCCTGCTGTTCGACTCGCAGCTATGCGGCATTGACCGGCAGCTGCGACACGGTACCAGCACGCATCGCCACACACAGGCCAGCGTACCCAATCTAGAGCCCGTCTTGCGCCTGTTGACGGATCCCATGAAGATACTCACCGCGGAGGACAGCAGCCCGCCGGGACATGCGTTCTTTGAGGACGACGAGGACGACGAAAGCGGCGTTCGTAGTCTGGATGCCGTCTTCTCGCACATGAAACAGGCGCGCGAGCTGACCGTGCAGGCGTCCGCTTGCACGTTTGTCGCCTCGTCACGCGTGACTCTCGCCCCGTGTGATACAACCATGGACGCGTTCTGCTGGTGCGATCTTCCGATCATGCTGCTTGCCTCGCGGCCCGGCATGCCCGTTCCGGAGAATGCGGACGTCGACCTGATGATCAGCGACATGTTAGATGCAATGTCGGAGGCGGCCGAACCCAGTCAGGTCATTGGGCGCAACACGTCCATTTGACAAGTGTTCCGACTCCAAGTAGCTGGTGGTCAACGTCTGGTATGTGTGTGTGTGTGTATGTGTGTGTGTGCGTGGGTGTGTGCGTGGGTGTGTGCGTATGTGTGCGACAAAGCACTCGAACATTGATCTCACTGTGGACACACGTTATGTTGCTGATAGGATTTCACTGTCATATTTGAGTTTAGAGCCGTTAAAGACCCGGGCATTACATCCCCGTACATGTTATCACCATATTTACAGGCTGGCGTTGATCCGCTATTTCCACTGTTTCCACTCCCGGTTTCTAATGACTGCACCAGGCTGCAACTTACGACACGAATGGTGCGTGATGCTTCCTCAGGTCGGTCATATCTCAGTATGGTGCAGTACCTTGATGCAACAACCCAATGCTATTATTATGAGTCTGTCGCTTCCTAGACGTCAGCTTGTCAAGTCTTGTTGCTGTTATTTATCGCTGCTATTTTTATATCTAAACAAAAATTTACCATTTTTTAGACACTTGAAATGTCGCGGATCGAGGTTTTTGACTCTGATTTAGCTCCATTAGGCTCATTTTGGTTCCACTTTATTTCTTGAACGATGTGTTTGAATTCTTGGGTCGTGTTCAATTCGCAACGCAATGGAATTGGGAATGATCATTTGAAGTCATTGCTACTCGTATACTCTGTATTTTGTCCTATCATCGAATACTCTGTCTTTGTATTTCCGATTCTGGCGGGGACTTATTGTAAGAATTGTATTGTTTGTCGGTGTTTTCTTTCCTCGCCGAATACTTCCTGGATGAAGGCTGAATGCTGGTTTACGCTGGAGTTTGTTCCTGTATGCGAGCACCCTCATCAGTTTGTCCAGTGGTGCCCGCCTTCAGTGTTCTCTTGCCCTGGCCGTGGATCTTGTGGATGTAAGCTGGGTGTATGCATGTTCACGTGAGGGGGTGATTATTTTTCTAATATAAATTATAATTATGCGTGTCAGTGCGTGACGTCAGTGTGCATGTCTGACATTGACTGTGTGTCTGTGTGCAGGTTCATGTCGATCATGATCCTGACAATTGCCAGGGTATGTACTACAAATTACAATGTCATGAAACTGTAGCACAGTAGGTCCACTCACGGTCCGTCTACTCTAGGAATACAGGGCTGCATGCAGGACCCACTGACAGGTACCATGGTAGCCAGAAAATTATTAAGAATGTTTAAAGGATACTACAATAAACATGATAGTATTAGTAGCACTTGAAAAATAGAAAATTTGTCTAGTATCTAATTCCTTTTCTGAACTCCGAAAGCTATAAACCACTTCGCCTTCTGCTCACTCGCAATCTGTTTAGTTTCTTTCTACTCCCTACGACCCTAGTCCCTAGTGCCGTAGTGGCAACTGTCAAAACTGATTCATTCACAGCTTCGTCCAAATTGCAAAGACAAGTACACTGTACAATAATCATAGCCATTATATTTCCGGAATATTTTTTATCTACACGTAGATTTACTCTTCGACAGTTTCCGAGGGACGTAGTAGGGCCTAGCAGTAGTCTAGATCATCTGGGAGTCGTGAAGCTCTTTTTCACGACTCCTCTAGCCTAGCCGGCCTCGTCTGAATTATTTGTTTAGACATTTAATAATTCAATGAATGGACAAAATCCATTGCCATTGACACTACTCGTGTAGCTCTCAACACAATCTGCACTCTTATCTCGCAAAGTGTGTTTGATCAGAAGCCACGTGCCCGCACTGCTACACATCTTCGTGCTATCGCAGTTTTACGTCTAGGACTAGGAGGACCTCCTACTCGCCTGCAGCTCCTTGTCGCTTGTTTTGGTTTTCACTACTTTTCAGTGTGTAGCTCTCACTGAGTCACTCCTGATTTTAGTACGAGTCTTGCGTTCACTCGGCATCACCCGCGACGCGTGGCCCAGTCCATAAAATACAGTATCGTCATGCTCTGCCTTGACATAATCACTGTAAGATCATCGAGAAATCCGGGCGACCGTCTTGAGTTTTCCAGTGCTGCAGCGAAACAGCTCGGCACTGCCTTGTAGAATTCAGCTATGTATTGTTGTTTGAATGGCTGTGCGTAGTGTCTTCACAAAGCTCCTGTCCTCTAAAGCCATCACTCCGCTATATACCGTCCTGCTGGTGATTTTTGTAACCGCTTGTGTTCGCCAGTTCTTGCCTCGAGACCCGATTGATCTGTCACGATACGCGCACGGATTTCAGTTCGCCCGCCTCCTAGCCGAACCTCCCATCAGTAATGGTGAGTAAGTAGGCTAGCGATCAAGGTAGTCATTATATCCGGCATGATACAAGTACACGAGTCCTGTTTCCAGGATATAGGATACTGATGATTCGCATACTGCAGAGTTACCGGTAGTTTTTGGCTCGCCTGCATCCTGTTGTGTGCACCCTAAAAAATTATAGTGAAGTAGGTGGAAGGTTTCCTCTATAAGCTAGGCCACCCAGAATTAATTCGTTGTTTCGGGTCACTTCACTCATCCGTACCAGGGTCGGTCGGTCGGGTTTATTTTTTATTTTGTTTTATTTTATATTTTGCTTCCTGCGGTGTGCATACATGATTATGCATATCCAATGGCTTTTGTCCATCAAGCCAGTCGATCAAATCTGACTGTACATTGTTGTAGACGATCCAGCGTGCGCAGTCATTGTCCCATTGCTACTGGCATTAGATCCAGGTCCCCTCCAGGACCAGATCTTTGCCTCGCTGGCAAACGAGTCTGACGAGCAGCTCTCACCAAAACCTTTGTCAATGAGCGATGCGGTAGCGGAGCTGAAGCTCTTTCAGGACCGATTGCGGATCGGAGATAATAGAAGACAACCTCGTCACCAAGCACTGCATCCTGTCATTTGGCTGCTTCTGAGAATGAGGTCGATGTCTAGACTGCTATTATAGGATCGTGTGTGTGTAGTCGACACTAGTCGTACATTTGCATGCACAATACATGTATATAAAAAAACATTTTGCGGTCAGGTGAAAAAGACGGTCGGTCGGGTGACCCGAAACAACGAATTAATTCTGGGTGGCCTAATACCATTTTAAATTATACTTCGTATCGTAAGGGGCCGTCCGTAAATGTCGATAGTTTTTACAGTCCGTGAAATATTCGTACCTGGGTGGTGGGTGCAGCCGAAATTCAAAGTAAATAAAATATCGATGACACGCGGACCTGGCGCCCAGTACTGCGTGTGCGTGGGTCTGCGTGCGTCGAACCACACGTACACGTAGATTGTTGTCTCCAAAAAATGTAGTGGAGATCGAAACTCTTGAAGCAAAAGAAAGAGGGAAGTTTGTCAGATATTATTCACAAGTATAACCTTGAACCTTCCAAGTTGGAAGGCTGTCGGTTAGCGCTACGGAGATGTGTTGAAGTTAGGTGTCAGGACGTCGAATGTCTCATTACTCTGTCAGTTTTGTGCCTAGTTATTGCACTTTCTGACTGTATATAGTATCATGTTACAGTGATGGAGAGTTACTCTTAACTCGTATCCATATGTCCTTTTCTCTTTTACATTTATTTATGGCTCAACATCCGAGTTTCAAGTATAATTATTGCACAATTATTCGAAGTATCACAATACCTGATTAATCCGGGTCAAGTCCAGCTCTTATTTAAACTCCACATCGAAGAATTGCTACATCGCCAATGGTTGGAACAGTTCTCATGTGGAGCGTGGCCTAACGAAAATGGCACGGCAGACTACTTTGTTTGGTACAGCTGCCTAACGAAAATGGCACGGCAGACTACTTTGTTTGGTACAGCTGCCAAAAAAGATACTTTTTTCAAAGAGCTTGACAGCCCTGGTGAAGACGACGATGGCTACTACGCCGTCATCGAGGCGTAGTAGGCGTAGATGACTCTAGTTATGAATGACACGGTGAGCGCATGCCTGCGTGTGTATGGACTCCACCTACATGTAGATACAGTACATGTGTCATCAATATTTTATTCCGTAAAAAGTAGGGGGGTGGGTGGTGGGTCCTGGTTACTTTGTAAAATTCACGGATTGAAAAAACTATCGATATTTACGGATGGCCCCTAACAACACATTTTAGTTGTCTGATGATTGCCTATGGGCATGAAACTATTAGATACGACGAATGATGCGTGGTGCTCTGTGCCGTGTGTACTTAGTACATGTACCATAATAAGTACTCATTGGAAAAAAAAGTAAGTAGTTATGGTGCTCAGTGTCCATGCATTTTCACTAACACCACTGGATTGTTTGGGTTCATGACTGATTGTACTGGTACTAGTGCATCACACTCTGAGTGTCCAGAATAGCAGTCGGTCCCGCTTCTATTTATTTTTGTTCTTTAAAAAAAACGGGACCTTCTGCTTTGGCTCCAAGCTGTCCTATAACATTGCCTGATGATCGATTTGTCCGCAACCCCTCCCCCCCCCCCCCCCCACACACACACCCAGAGCTCTGCAGCTTCAACAAAGCCTAAACTTCAATTCCCGAAGCTATGCAAAGGACGTTACAAATAGTGGCGCTTAGTGCAAGTTCGGTCAACATTTATGCTCGGCACTCACCATCTTGTGGGAACTTGTGGCCAGGCACAAGGGGTGCACAGATGCAGCTAATGGGGTCGTTCTCGGCACTTGTGACAGTGGTTGTGAGACTTATCCACTCACCCCCACCGTTAGGCGCTGCATCTGCCACTAGGGTTTAGCGGGTGTTAGCGGCCGTCGCGAGTTCCCTCCGGGAACGGACACGATAATTTACTTACTTACTTACTCACCATCTCTTTGAATTGTTTATTCTCACGATGACACCATCGCCAATAAGAGATAAGTTTATGAGAAGGTGAGATGCTGTGGGTGGGGCTGCGGGTTATGCAGTTGGAAAGTAATTTACATCACTTTCAATTTTATTTACAAGTATGGGAAAGGGTGAGCGCTGCAGGAGCAGATTCAGTTAATCAGCAATGAGTAGATTTCTTGTTTGAAAGCAGGTCAGGAGGGAACGTCATGAATGCTAGCGGGGAGGGCGTTGTAGTATTCTAGGGACTTGTACAGTGGGGAGTCTTTACAGCGCTCTGCTGCTTGCGTTGACGCATACTCTTATCATAATGTGACTGGACGGCATTAGAGGTTGTGGGTCAGCGGTAGGCCTCGACCAAATATGCTTGCGCATATTTCCGCATATTTTGTGAGACAGTTCATATATGGCATCTTGAGCGACAAAGGGAATATTGGAATGAAACCAGCATATACTTCAAATAGTCTGAAGAAAATGAGGACAATACATTCTTATTATGGACAAAATGCGTTCAGAAATGCCATTTATGGATGAATTTGGAATGGTTGAGGCGTTTGCTACATTTCCCCATGGATGAACACTATCGCTACGGTTCCTGGGGACACACCCCAGCCATGCTATTCCGCATGTGTTTTGATTTACACCATAAGCATGATACTGCCGTGAAGCCCATGAATATTCCAAGGTTGTAATTTTACTGAAATGATCTACACTTTCTGCTTATGTGGAGCATATTTTGGCATATCTTTTTGCATATCTCGCTAAGCCTTTGGCATATTATGGACGTTTTCCCTGATATGCGACGAGCATAATATGCTCTTTTTTTTTAGCATATTTGGGCCTAGTCAGCGGTAATAAGTAGAAATGCATCAATTATTTCGATGTCGGTTCCCTTGAAAAATCTACCCTGTACTACCGGATTATGAGCACAGCATGCAACAGAATTAGAAATTTCAGTACAACTTTCAACTTCACCAGGTCATAACTTGAGTCTTCTCTCTCGCTTGATTTTCACAATCTAGGGCTGGCTTGTTGGTAAGCTCTTGGCGAGAGCAACGCAGAACACCAAGCTTCATCAATCATAACCATTTCGTTTTGCACAAAGCAATGCTAGGACTCTTGTGTTCGTAACATATATTTCCGGATAGCTCTTTTTGCAGTGAAATTGCATGTTGCACTCATGTTTTCGTTCTTTCTCTACCCTGCTGTCTCAGATCTGGCCCATCTCAACAAGCTAGTCGCTGGTTCAACCAGTAGCAGCAATGACGATGCACCGATACTAGCTGCAAGCGACCACCGGGCACACAGTGTTGACCCAGCAAGTGGGACCAGGGGAGAACCTGCACACTCTGGTATCTCAGCTACGCCAAGCAGTGGTGACTATGCTCACCCGACTCTTCATCCGGTGACGGACACAACTCCGCTGCTGCTGCCAATCTTGCCGTACGGGCCCAACAATCAGTTCCGCGGCTTTCGCGACGCGCTAGTGCTCGCCGAGTGGTTGAACCGAACGCTGGTCGTTCCGCCGTTCTTCAAGCATCACACCGCAGTCACAGGTGGAACGGAAGACACGGCGGACGTCCAGGATGTGTTTGACTGGGCTCAGCTGGCCAGTAAGTACACTGTTGAGCGTTGCCGCGTCAAATTTGTATTGCAAGTATACTGTAATACTCCCCAGATCCGTGCACGTCCTTCTACCGGGCACCTTTCTGACCCATCTAGAGTCACGAAAACTGGCATTTCAACGAAAAAAGGGCCCCAAAAGGGCAAAACTATTGAATGGGATAAAAAAGGTTTACTTGCATTCTGTAAGTACGTATGTTCCAAGTTACGTGCAATTCCTAGTTACTGGTTGCCCGGACCCTAGTTACTGGTTGCCCGGACCTTAGTTACTGGTTGCCCGGACCCTAGTTACTGGTTGCCCGGACCCTAGTTACTGGTTGCCCGGACCCTAGTTACTGGTTGCCCGGACCCTAGTTACTGGTTGCTCGGACCCTAGTTACTGGTTGCCCGGACCCTAGTTACTGGTTGCCCGGACCCTAGTTACTGGTTGCCCGGACCCTAGTTACTGGTTGCCCGGACCCTAGTTACTGGTTGCCCGGACCCTAGTTACTGGTTGCCCGGACCCTAGTTACTGGTTGCCTGGACCCTAGTTACTGGTTGCCCGGACCCTAGTTACTGGTTGCCCGGACCCTAGTTACTGGTTGCCGGGACCCTAGTTACTGGTTGCCCGGACCCTAGTTACTGGTTGCCCGGACCCTAGTTACTGGTTGCCCGGACCCTAGTTACTGGTTGCCCGGACCCTAGTTACTGGTTGCCTGGACCCTAGTTACTGGTTGCCTGGACCCTAGTTACTGGTTGCCCTGACCCTAGTTACTGGTTGCCCGGACCCTAGTTACTGGTTGCCTGGACCCTAGTTACTGGTTGCCCGGACCCTAGTTACTGGTTGCCCGGACCCTAGTTACTGGTTGCCCGGACCCTAGTTACTGGTTGCCCGGACCCTAGTTACTGGTTGCCCGGACCCTAGTTACTGGTTGCCCGGACCCTAGTTACTGGTTGCCCGGACCCTAGTTACTGGTTGCCTGGACCTGGCCAGTTTTACTGTACTGCATTGCACGTTGTTGATTTCGGTGTTACCTCTAATTTCTTTAATTTCGGTACAGAAACCAAGCAGGCACCTACATTTACATTACACCTAAAAGGCACTAGAGTGTGCACTGTATGTGAAGGGTAGGCTGGTCACCTAATTCTAAATTACACCTGAAACCTGGCAGGTCCCTGGTACCGAAATTTACATACACCTAAAAGGCACTAGAGTGTGCACTGTATGTGAAAGGTGCACTGTATGTGAAGGGTAGGCTGGTCACTTACTTATACATTACACTTGAAACCTGGCGGGTCCATGACACCGAAATCTTAATACGCCTGAAATCACATGCAATACAGTACACGAAACGCATGCATGGTTCATACTGTAAATGTTACTCACACCAAAGCATGGTTCTCCACAACAGGTCTTGGCAGAGAGATATGAGCTCATGAATAAAAGTAGCCCCACACCCAAGTGAGCAGAGTGGTGCGTGTATGAGTAGTGCTAGGGTCGAATGGTCTTTGGCGCTATTAAAACCATGAGGTGGGGCTTCTTTGTCTAGGACTATGGATGTGTCAAAGTGCACAGCCCACGTTCCAAACCCAACACTAAACTGACTATGGTAGCCAAGCCACATAGACTATGGTAGTCAAGCCATCTTACAATTCTGAACCAAGTTGTATGCATGAGTAACTTATTTGTGTACCTGAAATAGATGTCCACACAAACCAGTATTTTCTGCTCACATGAGAAAGAAAGAAAGAAAGAAAGAAAGAGAAATCAATCAGACAACTGACACCTGGGACTGGTTTCGTTTCTGCTAGTGCCTTTGTAATAATTGTTTTGGATGGTTTCTCTCATCTTTTGTGTGGGCTTGTCCACGTGCCTGTGTGTATGTATGTCTGTATGTATGCATGCACTTGTGTATGTGAGTGTGTGTGTGTGTGTGCGGGTTCAATTCCCGACGATTATGGTCGCGCACGTCTTTCTTCTCTTTCTCGGTCTCTTCCTGACTTTTCTTTCATTGTCCTGGGTGGTTACCAACAGCCAGTGTATGCCGGAGTATGTGGTGTGGTGTGTGTGTGTAGAAAAAAAAGAAAAAATGGAAAAATGAAAAATAGGGATTCACTGGCCAGAAAAAGTCACTTCAATCAGCTGTGTGGTGGATACCAGGCTAAAAATAGTGGCGGTCAATTCATCAGCCTTGCAAGCTTGAATGGTGCAATCCCAGCACAAGTTGCTATGTCTAACATAGCTGTTCGCTATCATCGCTTCCGCGATGGGCAGGTCTGAGGTGAGGAGGTGAGGTGTGTTTGTGTGTATTCATATGCGCATCAGTTTGGTGTAGGCGTACAATTATACGTATCTGTATGACTGTGGACCCTTCTGTGTGCATATGTATGTCTGTCTCACAGACCTGCAACCGATGGTACACTGGGAGGCATGGCAGGAGCTTTGCAACGGCACGATAGAAGTGATGTTCCAGTTCAAGTCATTCAAACTGCAAAGCCTGCACGCACGTATTGACCGAGTGCTGCAAATTGTCGGCATTCACCAGGCCTACGACAGTATGGCTGCTATTCACAAGCCTATGCGGGTTAGTTACTGCCCTGCACTCAATCATGCAGCTCTGTTGTTTCTCCTTGGCCAAATGATAATAATGATGCCGACCCGCAGTTACATTCCCACCTGCTCACTGACATACACGCACGCACACACACACACACACACACACACACACACACACACACACACACACACACACGCACGCACGCACACACACGCACGCACACACACACACACACACACACACACACACACACACACACACACAAGGGAGCCGTATGTAGGCCCTCTGGGAACAATGGAATAATCAAATCCATCTGCTGGTCGGCAAGTGCTTCAGCTGACTGCTAACATACTCTGCAGTCTAATGTAGTTGTGTACCTCACCGCTCCGCGCTGTGCTGTACTGAACACTCTTGCGAGCTGCCCATGTCGACTGGCTCATACTGTGTCAAGACAATCGCCATTGAAACAGAGAATCTGACCCTGTTCCACTCAATTTTATGAACTCAAGTAAAAGCCTATAGAGGGTACACCAATGATTTCATGAAGATTTTCCAATACTCTAATTTCAGAAATTTTCGGTGCTCAATATTTTCGGTATGAGGGCGAAAGGCCAGGTTAGGTGAACAGAAATTTTCGGTACAGGGAAGCTGTTCCCTATAGGGCTTGAAAGTGCTACGTCACAGCATAGCAACAATTTCAAAAAAAATTCAAAAATTGGATCCACTTGGATCCAATTTTTGTATGGATCCAAGCACACTTCAAGCCGTCTTACTCACAGCAAGGTGATGTAACCAGTGAAACTGACTGATTTGGCTACTGGGGGCGGGGTTACAACTGGTGGCGAAGTAAAAGTCACCCCTGCATACGACATGAGTGGGTTGCTATGCACCCACATACTGAGGCAATAGCAAAGTCACACCTTAGTGGATTCAAAATAGAAATCTGATGTCAACTTAGTACTCCATGGCCGTTTTGGACGTCATCACTTTCAAGCCCTATTGGATTATGTGTGTTAGTGTTTGTTCGGTGTATTGAAATTTTAGGTATGAAGCAGATGCACCGAAAGTACCGAAAATAAAAGTTCACCGAAAATTTGTGAAATTACAGTATACTTGAGTAGGCACAAGTATAAGGTGTGAGTAAGGAGATTTTCGAATGAGAGCTAAGTATGCAGCGTGAGTCGCTAGTGCAAGTGCAGCGCTGTGCCGCGACTTGGCCAACACATCTCAACCGATGATGTAATCGCATCTCAACCGATGATGTAATCGCATCTCAACCGATGATGTAATCGCATCTCAACCGATGATGTAATCGCATTGTCTTTATTCAGTCGGGACAGGGTACTAGGGTGGTGCGTTTCTCGTACTGTGCTTCAAATGTTGAGGTGTGTGATGGAACCAAGAAGTGGTTCGTATAATGCTTGTGTGTGTGTGTGTGTGTGTTTGATCTCCTCACAGGTCACCAACTCATTCAAAGCATTGCTCACACCGGAAGAGGCGCAGGAGCGGTTCTCGTCGCCGCAGCGCTGCGCCGCCGTGCTCTTTCCGTACAAGCACGTGGACATCAGTCACAACACAGTGGAGCTGGCGCTGCACCTCAGGCGCAGCAAGCACCTGCAGAAGCTGGCGGCGGTCTTTGCGTCCGCGCGCATGTCCGTCGGGCCGTACGCTGTTCTACACTGGAGATACAACAACGAATGGGGAGGTGTGTGGTAAGTCCCGGTGATTCTGAAGTCTGTCAGTGCATTGCAGTTCTCCTTGCTCATTTGCTTGCGAATGAAGAGAGTGATGGCTGGTACACAAAGCTGTGACTGGGAGATATGTCTTCTTGTTAGCATTCCGGCCAGAGCGAAGCCTTTTGTCCGACGAGTCCGATATTGTAATAAAGTTCGCGTTCATGTGATTAGGAGCGTTTACGTGTGCTCCTTAACCTTGCTGCAACTTGGATTGTGCTCCCTTTGCGGTGTATCTACGACGTACTGAGCTCTCTTTCCGTCTTATTCTTCCTCTAATGTTATTTCGCTGTCTCTCATGTCTATAATGTGTGTCCGTGTGTCTGTTTGTCTCTCTTCGTCTATCTTCCCATCTACCTCTCTGTCCCTGTCTGTGTGTGTGTGTGTGTGTCTCTCTCTCTCTCTTTCTCTCTCTCTCTCTCTATTTCTCTGTCTGCCTTTCTCTGCCTGTCTCTCCCTGTCTGTCTGCCTCTCCCTGTCTGTCCGTCTGTCTGTCTGTCTGTCTGTCTGTCTGTCTGTCTGTCTCTCTCTCTGTCTCTCTCTGTCTCTCTCTGTCTCTCTCTCTCTCTCTCTCTCTCTCTCTCTCTCTCTCTCTCTCTCTCTCTCTCTCCACTTACTATCTGCGTATCTAAATTCCTGTCGTTAGGTGTCATCAGCCAGTGTCCGGACCCTACGATGAATCTCACCTCACAAATCCAAACTTCCGGTCGATCTGCAGAAATGTGATAGCGCTGAATGTGTCCCACCTACCCATCGTTCTCAACAGGCTGCTGAAGTCTCGTGACATTCGTCATATCTATGTTGCTACACCAGTCAGTGAATTTGTAAGTACAGTGAGACCTGTCTAAGACGACCGCCGCTCAAGGGACTGTCTAAGTGTGGTCTCTGTAACCAGGTGGTCTCCTTGTCCAGTGTCATTTGACTGGAAATAGCATCCCTTGGTACTGGCTGCAGTGGTCTTCTGGGACAGGCGGTCGCCTTATCCGAGTGGTCGCCTTATCCGAGTGGTCGCCTTATCCGAGTGGTCACCTTATCCGAGTGGTCGCCTTATCCGAGTGGTCGCCTTATCCGAGTGGTCGCCTTGACAGATTTTACTGTAGAAGCTGTGTTGGGTTAACTTGTGGATGAGCTCGGGATGCGGACATATAGCTAGCTAAGAATCTTCCTTTGGTTCAAATGGCAACTCTCCGCAATTTCTCTCAAGGTTTGCATGTCACCTGCAGACTTACCGTTGACCGCTGTTCTTTTTCTTATTGTGTTACCATGGTTACTGCTGCAGTCTCCAGTCTTGCTTGCCCTGCGGCGCGACTTCCCTGGCTTGCTGACGTCTCGCGACCTGCTGGCTGTCGTTGGCGAAGACACCTACCTGCTCAAGCACGCGGGTCTGAAGCCGATCGCGTCCAACTTTGAGCTCTCAATTGTGGAGCAGGAATTAGCATCGAGTAAGTGGTCCTCCGTTCAAGACTGTACACATCGATGTTTGTTTGGCGCGGGTAGGTCGATTTCCACGTATGCTGGAAGGTTATTGTAGGGCAGGACCCGTTAAAAGCTACTTCTGGGCTCTTGCTGTAGTCGTTCCATCATTGTGCTGGGGTGGTACAAGAGACAGACCTCGTGTACTGTCTTCTTCTTGGTCGTATTCGTGAGAATGACAATGATTTTTGAATAGTTTGCAGGCAAGCTGCCTACACTGAAGAGAGCGCTGCATTTCACACAAATCCATTAGAAGTATTGTTTCAACGTTTCGGTCTTCATGACCATCTTAAGGTGGCAGACTACCCAAGAATTCGCTGAAAATCGAATTTGTAAATTCATATTGAGTGCTACGTCAGTTGAAAGAGCATGAATAGCTGCAAATTCTCTGAAAATTGTGTCCCTATCTGACCAGCCGTTCAAGAGTTATGGACGAAAATGTGCCCTTGCAAGGAAAGATTTTTTTGTTGCATGCTGTCATTTGTTGGCAGCACTGTATTTGAATGTGAGCAGACCGTGCGCAACTTGTCGTATTATGGAAACACGCGAAAGTGTGCAGAATTTTGCCCCAAGTCCAAAAAAGTCCAGAAAATCACGTTAAAAAAACCACGTATTGGGCTGCACCCTCGTGACGTTGCAGGTATGCTATCTCCTTTCCCTCTCTGACAGCATCTTTCTTTTTTTTCCCTTTTTAGCTTGCCGTGGTTGGCTATCACCTGACCTCTCATGTTTATTGGCAGTCTTCGGACGGGCCAGGAGATGTTGAATAAATAAATAAATAAATAAATGTGGCTTGATTATTGTAGTTGACGTTGATTTAGTGACTTTGGCAAGTTTGAGTCGTGTCAAGAAGTCAGGTAGGATTCAGTACTAGGCAGTAGTGAAACGTGAGTGGCAGTCTTTGCCGGTTTCTGAGGGCATCCTGGATTTGGTGTGCAGCGCTGTGGAAATGGCTTGCTGTGGAGGTCCCAGCACTGGATGTTGTATCAAAGGTACGACCTCGTAGCACGTGCTAAACCTAAAAAAAATCAAAAATTGACTTGGGTCTGTGGGAGTCCGTGAGAGAACGCCCACTCGTTCCGTTGTGACAGATTCCAGGGCCACGTTGAGGGGCCCTACCCCACCACCCATGGCTGCTTCTGGACTTGTTTTAGGTTTGGGTCCCGCGCACGGACAGAATGGGCACGAAAATGTGAAAAAAATGTAAATGCATTTGTTTGGCTCCTGGGTGGCTCGCACACCGTAGCACTATGCCGGAAATTTGAGTTTTTCCGGCCTGGAAAGCCTGTCAGTGAGGCGCAAGAACTTGTAAAACATGTCCTGAGGGCCAGCATAGTGGCAGGAGTGTGTGGTCACAATTTCACTCAAATCCACTGAGAAACACCAAAGTTACGGTCAATTGAATGCCATATGAAATTTATGGGTAGGCTCCCCCCTTAAAGATTTTGAGACAATGATTGTTGATGGCAATATTCCACCAAGCATGTCGCTGTTGTTGTTGTTGTTGTTATTGTTGGTATATCGGTCTGTTTGTGCTCACAGCGGCGCCGACTTTCATCGGCAGTAAGCAGTCGACCTGGTCGTCCAACGTTGTGTTTGAACGACAGGGCCTGTTCAACCGCATGCGTACCTTCAGAGAACCAGTGATTTGGATCAACGACCTCATAAGCTCGCCGTAGCAGTACTGCGGCGTGGCTTTTAGTCTAAACACAGTCATGTTGAAGCATGCACTGTCGACTCCTGATACGACGAACACCATTGTGTAGGAGAAAATTCTTTATAGCCGAAGGTCTTTAAAGTAATCAAAAGGCACACATACCATTCATGCAACACGTCATGTCTGGCTTCTGGCCCATGACTGTATGAGTGCGCTTGGTTACATGTGGCCCTACACAATACGATTCGTTACAAACAAACAAAAAACTGCTCTCTGCCGTTAAAGTGTCAATTTTGTACGGGTTCAATGATATGGGCAATGGTTTACTATGACAGGAACTTCATGGTTCGCTATGAGTGAGTCTGTTATAAGCGGAGTCAAGTAACGCAGCTGATATTTTGCAAACTCTGCACTATTTGCCTTGCAGCCTGATTATTTTTTATTGAGCTCATCACATTATAATATAGGTCGAATTATTTGATAATCTGCCAGATCATTTAGTTCATTATCACTGTAGTACGGAGCTTTGGTGACTGGTGGTTCGGACAACGACTGTGTACCATGTGCGTATGCAGCGCGCTTCACGCACACATGCACACACACACACACACACACACACACACACACACACACACACACACACACTTTTTGCCGCTCACTGCCAAAACCGGTCACGTGGGTCTCCCCGGGAGAGGGGAAAGAGACTCAAAACGAATCTTGGAAAGATGACTCAATTGGGTATTGAACCGCCCAACGGCCGACATCCCCTGAAAACCCCAAAACTCTGGGTGGACTTGAAAATGATCCCACTTATAGGCTCACCACACCTCAGGAAGTGGGTGAGGACAAGGTGCAGAAAAAGGATTGCCGGCATCAGGGTATCCGTTCCGGGATCCAACTGCAGTTACCCCTGCCCCCAGCGAAGGTAATACTTGCTACTAGTGTGGTTGGCTAAATCAGATTGGATCTGATATAAGCTTCACTAGCACCATTGATTACACAAGAGTTAATCTAGCCAGAAGCAGTCCATGGTTAAAGAGGAAGTTAAGGCAAAAATCAAAATTTCACCAGTTGTAGTCTTCGGGGTGCTGAGTCGAATGGTCGTGGTCCGAGGAAGCTGAGACGCTCCCTTCCTACTTGAATCCCAATCGAACTCGCGCACTTCCACCGAAACTGGGTGACTGCGCCCTACTAGATGGGGATTTGTATGCAAAATGTCACTAAAAGCGCCATTTCGTTCTTATAAAAGCGCGGATGACCGCGATTGGCCCATATGTTGTAGTCTTTTGGACGCTGAGTCGACTGGTTTTGGTCCGAAAAGGCTGCGATGCAGCGTTCCTCCTTTATTCCCAATCGAACATGGTTGAACAAGCGGTCACGTGCTCCTGCGTACACCAGTCAGCTGGTCACCGTGCCTGCAGGGTACAACTTACTAGCCTGTTTGACCTTTTTTGGGTGCAGTCCTGTCACTCGAGTTGAACCTTGGTGTGAAAGTTGTCGCCTGCTGGCGTGGTGACCAGGTGACACCTTCACGTAGCCGAGCCCGTTGGCAACAGACCCAACACAATCAGGCGTAAGTGTACCCACCAACCAAACTAGCTGGCACGCGCGCACACACACACTCGCGCGCACAAACACACACACACATCCACACACACACACAAGCAGATACGGCTCGCTCCCCAAACACAAAGATTTGTTTGTGATATTAAAGGTCTGTTTTCTCATGTGCCGGCTCCGATAACAGTGTCGCAAGAGAATCAAGACTGTCTCCTGGAGATCTACTCCAAGTCCTTAGAGTTAGACTGGGTCTACACGTAGTCTGCTTAGGCACTACCACTAGCCGCTACCAAACTGCCATGGCAACCATCTAGACTACAGCACTAACACGCAATGCTTATCCCCCCCCCCCCCCCATCTATAACATAACATTGTAATTGAGGTGTACAGTCAGACCTCGCTTATCCGGTCCTCTTTTATCCGGATCCCTCACCATCCGGAAGAAAATCGTTGGTTACCGATTTACAGCATATGCCATGCATGCATACAGTGTGTGTGTTCGATTATCCGGTTCCCTCGCCTATCCGGATATTTTTGTGGAAAACGGTTGTGTGCGGTTATGCGAGATCTGACTGTACTAAAATTTCCATGTCAGAGACCTGCCAGGTTTCAGGTGTGTAATGTAGAAATAGGTGACCAGCATTCCCTTCACATACCGTAATATTCCGTAAATAAGCCCACCCTAAATAACGCCCATGTCCGATAATAAGCCCAGTTTTAGGCGGTGTACACTGCAAGTCCGTGTTAGCGCCCATGCCCGAAATAAGCCCAGGGCGCAAAGTGGACAAGTGGTTTACCTATCAAATCTGTAATTTATCGCTACATTCTTGGTTACGACCAAATTTCCAGCTGTGGTTTGATGTACCTGTACCGCGCTCAGTGTGAATGGTGGTTCACTGAAACTAGTGGGTTGCTGATAGATTGATCTTCAGCAGATTGCGTCCGAGATAACGCCCATGCCCTAAAAATAAGCCCATGCCCAAATATACGCCCGGTTTTTGACGCTCTGCAAAGTATACCGGGGATTATTAACGGACTTTAACGGTATAGTGCCTACTCCAGTGCATTTTAGGTGTTATCTAAATTTAGGTGCCTGGTTTTTCTACAGAAATTAAAGTTAATATTCACCGAATGTAATGCGTCCATCCATAATCTGTATGAGGAGTATAGATAGACCGTAACAAGTAATACTGTAGATCTACTCTGGTGCATCTCAGAGTACACAGGGCAGATCTACTACGATTAGTACGCTTACGAGCGACGATTATTTTTCATTTTTTGGCAAGTGCACGTGACCAGATGAAGAGTGCTACCTGTGGACATACATGACTGTACAAGACTACCAAAATCTTAACCAGATATGACATTGGCCATTCGCAACAAAAATGCGTCGATCGAGAAACTTTCTTTGGATGGCGTTTGTGTCTATGACTGCACAGCATCGCATTATTTGTACCCAGTATAGATATCATACTACTATTATCATTTCTACGGAGGGAGCAAGAGAGGGGTGGGGATGGAGGGAATGTGTGTGTATTTGTGTCTAGGCGGGGGTGGGGGGGGAGCAAAAGAAAATAAGGGGAGGGGAGGCAGGGGGGGGGGGGGGGTGATATTCATTTCCGTTTAGTCAGTTTAGTTCACCAGTGCTATCCAGTGGAGGGTAACTAGGTGCTAGGTCCACGCAGCACACGTTAATGTGTTCAGTGGCACTGGGTGCATACAGCACACGTAACTGTGTACAGCGGCACTGGTTCCACACAGCACACGCAACTGTGTTCAGCGGCACTGGTTCCACACAGCACACAAAACTGCGCTCAGTGGCACTGGGTCTATGCAGCACACGTCACCGTGTTCAATGGCATGGAGCATGCACGCTCACTGCATCGAAGCCAGCGTGAGAGATTTGCCCATGGCCTCCAGCTTGAGCGCCGGTCCGACTTTCAGGAACAGCGTCCTCACCAGCTCCTCCATAGTGATCAGTGAGAACGCCTCGCCGTCAATTTCGTGACCGAGCAGCACCTCAGCAGCACTAGCCAGCCCTTTGTCCTGCTCCGTTATGAAGTCAAACACATCATCACACGTCCAACATGCCGGTGGTTTGTCCCGCAAGTGCTCGGGAGTTCTAAACGGCTCTGCGGAGAAGAAGAAAATATGATAAATCCGCATTGGGAGTGTTGCCAAACAAGAAAGGTCATCACGCGTACATACACACACATACAGGTGCGTATGCGCGCACATACACACATACATGTACAGGTGCGCATGCGTGCACACAAACACGCGTGCTCGCGCACACAGTTATACCTGCTCACTGCCAGGAACAGCATGCCTCTCTTGCATAGCATCCATTTCGACACTTACTGCTTGACAAGAGGCTTCCGTCCGTACCCCTTCGTCTTGGCAACAGGCCCACACAAGCTAGGACCAATGGTGTCTTGCACTTGTCACTCAAGTATAGCTGAACAGACAGAACCACACGCACGCACATACATGTATACTCATACTGATACTCCTGCCCATCCCTGAAGCGATGATAGCGAACAAGGTACAGTCGCCGCCAAACAATTCCGGCCAATGCTGTGCTCGCCACCGGTAGCTGTATGTGGCCGCATGCACTGCCACTCCTAGTGCTAGTAGTAGGACTCTACCATGGTAGACCATGGTAGCGTGCAGTACTGTAGTGCATCATGGCACATGGTCTGCTAGCTGCTGCAGGGTCTGCACTCTGCACATTCCGTGCTGTGCTCAACTCTGCAGGCAGAGAGCAGCTCGGCCTGTTTTCACCGCTGTGCTCGTGCATGTATGGTGCTGGTACTGTGGACCATGCACACCGTACCAGTGTGCACACTCCACTGACGCATGCATGCATGCTACAGGCACCATGCACTGTACCAGTGTGCACACTCTACTGACGCATGCATGCTACAGTACAGGCACCATGCCACTGTACCAGTGTGCACCCTCTACTAACGCATGCATGCTACAGTACAGGCACCATGCCACTGTACCAGTGTGCACACTCTACTAACGCATGCATGCTACAGTACAGGCACCATGCCACTGTACCAGTGTGCACACTCTACTAACGCATGCATGCTACAGTACAGGCACCATGCCACTGTACCAGTGTGCACACTCTACTAACGCATGCATGCTACAGTACAGGCACCATGCCACTGTACATCTGGTACATGTATCCATGCCATGGCATTGGCCGGATTTTGTTGGCGACGACTGTATGTTAGACATAGCAACTTGTGCTGGGATTACACCATTCAACAGTTTGCAAGGCTGACGAATTGACCGCCACCAATTTTAGCTGGGTCTCCATAACACAACTGATTAAAGTGACTGTTTCTAGCCATTGAATCCCGATAGTCCATTTCAGCTAGGAGAATGAGAAAGAGAAGAAGGACATGTGTGATCATATTAGGCGGGAACTGAACGTGCAGCCTCTTGATTGGAAATATACTGCACCTACCACTGCATCATATGGGAGACCATGTACCATGTATACGCCCGTCGCAAGAGAACCAAGCAAATCTGCAGATGCACTAGATGTGCACCCACAGATTTTCTCTTATAGCAACGATAGCGAACAAGATCTGAATGGGACAGATCAAGACTTGCGCCAGATAACTGTCTAATCCACACAACTGGCGAAGCCATGTGAATCGACCACCAATGCACGCTTGGTCTACACCACACGGAGTACATCGGCATAAAACGGCCAAGACAGTTACCTATGCACACCCTACACTTGCTGAGGTAACCAGTATAGACAGCACACTGCTTTGATAGAAGCAGACACTAGATGCACTGGTACCTTGAAGTGAAATTGGAGTTACTTTACCGGGGTTCCGAGGCCTAGCCTAACTCGTTCCTATTTCAAGTTGCATATAATTGATAATGTTGATATAGGTGAGCCACCGTGTACGTACGTATGGGCATCCTGCATCAGGTACTAAACCCTAGTCTGTTCGATCATCAGTGCTTCACAGCACTACATGGTAGGGGTGTGCACGGGTAGTCGGGTACCCGTGCTACCCGTGAGGACCTCGGGTAGACAGGCACAGAATAGTACCCGAAAATCCGAAGTCGCAGATGACATTATGTACAGTGCACGTGAACAAATTCATGTAATACTCCGCATGTCTACCCAGTGTGTAAGAGAAGGGGTGCATTGTGGTGTTACCATGGAAATCCTACCTGATACGGTACCCGTGCTACCCGTGGAAAACTACCCGAACCCGAAGAAAATGCTACCCGCCTCAGCCCTACTACATGGTCCAGTTGTCAAATGATCGAGTGCAACACTTCGACTATTCACTAGATCCTAGTTTTCCGAGCAAGTACCCGATTGCGAAGAAGTCGGCAGGAAACATGAGAGCTCCCAGACTAAAAAATGCTGACGACGATATGTTCCAGAACAGGTGTTGGCATGCAGTGAAATACACACGGTTGATACACCATCAAAGGATCATCCAGCCAGCACGGATGCACTTCAACCTTCACAATACACACGGTTAGCATGGATGCACTTCAACATTGAACAGCACACACAATCAGCGTAGATTCAATTTAAAATTCATCACTCAAACAACGGATTATTAGCAGCAGTGTAAAGCCTGATTCATACTTCATTTCGCATACGGGAAACGCGCCGCGTCACGAAAAAGGTTGATCTGAGCTCAACTATTTCGCGTACGGGTAAGTCATCGCGCGTTGATCGCGTGATGGCTTTCCTGTACACGAAATGAAGGATGAACGGCCATAATAATAAGAAAGTCCGTATTTGAGGACACTCAAACTCCTTTTTTTTAAAGAGTGAATTTGAACGGTAAACTGCATGTACTTACGTCATGGGTGTGGCGATCAAAGTGCGGCTCCCATTTGGGACGCCTCTGCCTCGGCGCTGCCACTTGCGTTGGTGCAAGGCTCCTGGCGACCGCGGTCTGCGGTGCTGGTAGGGCATGCGCCAGGTCCTCCATCTTGCGCTTCTTCTTCTCCAAGCCTCTTTTCTCAGTCTGGGCAGAGGGAAACATTTCATCGTCAACAGCACGATATAAGAACTCAGATGGTGAGCCAAGGAAAATATTGTAACATGGAAAAACGTGGGCACAATCGCACAACTTGTGCGTTCTGCATAATCTCTTTTGTTGCCTCTCCCTCCGTTCCAGCAGCTAGTAGTAGTAGTAGTAGTAGTAGTAGTAGAATTTATCATTTTACTAGGGAACTCCCAACAGGCGTTGCCTTTTTACTGGGAACCGTAGGAATGACTTGGTGCTTGTGACAAATGCAGAAAGGGGCTTAGCTTGACGACATCCAGGTGGAAGCATGTTCCATCTGCTTGAACACAGTCATAATGGTAAGACGAGTTCTTATAATATTATCATTCGGCATGAGGTTTACAGAGCTCAGCCGCTTGAGCGCTCGGCGCGCGCACGCATGCACACAAACACAAATATACATATGGTCAGGCATTCAACACTGAAGCAACAAAACGACAATTATATCAAGAAACATCCCAACAATACTAGCTTCCTACATGTAGGTAGTAACATTATTACACCTCGGGGGAGGGGGGGTGAGGAGGAGGGGGTGATTGAGAAGTACAGAGGTGAGTACACAGGGTGTCTGCCTGTGACAGTGCAGGGAGTCCACGGCACAGGCAGTAACGTCATGTGTACTGGAAGTCATAAGTACCGGCATGGCCAATACCACCCTCATGTTGCCTGATGATTGTGTAAGCATGAAACTCAGAGTAGGGCCACAAACTAGCCATGCTTGTGCTCTTGTTGTCCTACGTACTGTAAGTCGACAAATTTCCGGCGCATTAAAATTTCAGCCCCCAGGACTAACGCACATTCCGGCCACAGTAATTTAAACGTTCAGCCCGTACTGCTGCTGCTGCTGCCTGTATACACTGTCACACCGAACCTTGCGGAACAAAATTTCGGCCATAACAAATTTTAGCCCCAAAGTGGCCAAGCCGAAAATGGCCCAAAAGAAATATGCGCCGAACAATTGTTGACATACAGTACGCCAGCATGTGCGAATGCTACGCGAAGAGACTAAGTTTGGTGAGATTTTCTTTGGGCATGCATATGTTCCGGGAGAAGAGTCCAAACAACTCACTCATCGGACAACTCACTCGCAGTCCTCCTCACCTTCAGGAGCGGCGCTGATGACATTGCTGATCGGAGGAAGTCACTTCCGCCAATTGCTCTCAGCGTCGTACCTGCTGCGGTTCGCATCGGCCGTTTCGGCACAGCCACTTTCGTAGGCTTTTTGCTCTTGATCTTCTTGGACTTTTTTAACGTTGCTTTTGCCGCTCCCGAATTGGCCGAGACTGATCGGTTGAGAGCTGTGGAAACGTTCACCAAAACAATACATGCCCACGCAACACAAGAGAATGAAATTGAACCCTCCACTATGTTCACCAAGCAATACGTGCCCACATCATACAAGAGTATGAAATGGAAGACTCCACTCCAGCTGTACGTACATGTATATGCTTGACTTGTATGAACGTAAAAAACATGCCTGGCAAAATGCCGGTAAATACACGCCTACCCACACGCGCCTTTAAACTGCAAGGTTACACTTTCGCACAGAGCTCTCCTTCTGACCACCACTATGGCACCTAGTCTAGGGACTTCAATCGAAAAACCAAATTCGCGAGTTTCGCATAAAACGCTAGTTTTTCTAAACCGGGAAGATGTGAGAAACAACCTGAGAAAATTTGAACCAAAAGTAGTCACAGAAGTAAATGCGAGTATGTGTGTGAGCCGTGTGGTTTCCGTCAAGCACTGCACTATCTGGTGCATACATGGCTATACAGGATGTGTGCATGCATGCAGTGTGCACGCATGCCGTGCGCGCCTACTTGCACAAGTCACACGTTTTCACCGTCACTGCTTCTACAGTGTGCGCGCAGTTCACTCGATTTTTTTCGTCTACCACCAGGAAATCGCCGTGGGCTGGTTTCTGTGATCATCTTCCTTCTACCGCGATAAAGCGCAAGCCTCAATGTTCTAGAATCCTCTTTCTTGGTTTAGGCTGATTCGAGGCCGCTGAACACGAAAATCGGGTGTTCCTCGCGGGGCCGAGTACGGATCTGGTCGAAATTAGTACTTCGAAGTGCATCCGCGCCAAGCGCGGAGGCATTATTTTTGGAAGCATGGCATGTGTGGCACCATTGGAAAGGTAATGACCTCAGCTACCTAAAAATAGCATCGACAAGGCTGAAAAGGCCGCGGGAGAAGATACTCGGGCCTCGAACTGCATCTCGACCTGCAGTCACGAGGCGCCCATTCACTTTGTACAGGCGAGCTGTGACTGCACTTTTCGCTTTTCAGTGACCGGAACTGAACTCCCTACCTAGTCTATGCATGGTGGATAGTGGTATCCGACATAGCGAGCTGCTACATCAAGTACCACAGGGCGTGCAGAAATACGCGCAAAAATTTATGCAAATAGAAAGAATTCAATACAGCACTCACACCCTTCACTTTTAAACATACCAACACTCACATACCCACTCACATACATGTACCTTTCTCACCTGCACTTCTCCAATCTACACTTTCTTTCACACTGTTCGCTGCTCATGTAATCACGCCTTCAATAGTGCTAGGTTTAGAATATCAGTGTTTCTTGTATTAGTTTTAGATCTAATAATGTAAAGAACTCTTCCTCTCCTCTCCTCCATGCGCTCTCACAGCCGACTCTGTTGTCCAACTCTCAGTGTGATGACGATTTCTGATGATTATCACGGTGAAAACAACGTTCAAATCATGAATTATTGTTCCATTGTTCTCGTGGTATGAGTGCGGTCACATTACTTTCATCGATATTAGGTTCCTTGTCTCCACGCCGACCTTTTAATTGGGTAGATGTTTGTATTTCGTGGGAAGAAAATGGGGGTGCGGCTTACGTATACTATGGAAAACACGACAATACATATTAGCCTTAGGAAACACTTCAGTTGAATCCCATGCATCCTAAAGCAGGACCGTGCTCTTTCTCTCACCGAGTTTTGCCAGACGAAACGCCGAGCTGAACGATCTCGTGCAGTATTTCGAGCAGAAGCGGCCGGATTTCAAGAAGTACCTGCGCTCGCCACGGTAGCCGCATAGCTCACACTCGATGACGTCACGCAGCCGGTCGACAACACTTTCACTTTGAGTCACATCCGCACTGGTTGCCGGTGCCTGTTCGCTGTCCAGCAGTTTGCCATCCAGGCTCTCTCGGGACGATTCGGCTGTGGGAGTGACAGGCACATGTCAGTACACACGTACACACACGCACACACACACTTGCGTACACACATGCTCACACACGCACGCACGCACACACACACACACACACGCACACACACACACACACGTGCACACGTGCACACACACGCACACACACACACACACACACACACACAGCATTCTGAAGAAGGTAGTCGTCGAAACGTAAATATAATAAATATATCCTCGTCTGATGAGTGTTTTTGAACACGAAACTTGGAGTAACGAGAAACCTTTTGGTCTCTGTTGTTCTGCCTTGTGTAATTTATATATCAGTATCAAACAGTCAAGTTTTGTTCCGGTTGTGTGGTCGGCCTATTCGCCAATGCAATAGACAGACAGATACACATTGTTTTACAAGATAGCCACAAACCATCATGGTGCAAACCGGCTAAAACGAACAGGGATACACATAGCCGAAGCAGTGGAGGCGGGACAAGAGCAGCTAAACCGACCAAGGGTCTCGGTATCATCACTGCTCATGCATGCCAAAGCACATGCAGATGCACAGACCCAGACACACAAACAACCAAACGACCACCACCGCCACCACCAGAGTTAACACAATACCACGTTGCTCGGCTCCGCTTACCAGCCTTCATCTTGTGAATGAGGCGTATCCGTCTCTTGTATTCTTTGCGTAGCAGTTTCTTCTTGTCCTCCTGCATACGTACTTTGTCCATATCCTGAAGAAAACACAATAGACGTTACGGTATACATGAAGATATCAGGTTTCAGCGAGCCCCCTTGCAACTTCCCGAGCAATTGCCGTCTTTCAACCCATTAATGGCCTGAAACCGAGGTGACTGAGGTGACTGCACTTCAGACCTTCCCAGTCGAAGGAAACGGATCGGTACACGCACCTGTATGCCACTCCAATCACACTGCAATCACACTGCAATCACACTGCAATCACACTGCAATCACACTGCAATCACACTGCAATCCGTACTTGTTTGCTAACTTCACAACTGCCGGGTGCCGAGGAACGGAGTGCCGAAGAAGGTACAGGCTAGAAGTTACCTAGAACTTCACCATGCACAGCATATACAAATGTACATGCTCTGCGCAATCTGAGAATTTCCGCAATCTGCAGATAGCGCAAACATGCATTCCGAGATTTCTTAGATTGCGCAGACAATAACTGCTTGTGCATTCAGTGCATGTTCATCCATGCTTTTCACAGATAGCACCACACACGGATTCGCTGTGCTCTTCAGTTTTCAACGAAATGAACAGACTGCACGAACCAGGCACGTGAATCTTGCACCACACGTATTTAGGTGTACTCCTAGAGGTCTCATGGAAGCCCAGGGTCGCGGATTTACCGCGCCTCGCCCCAAAAATATTTTCGTGTCACCCCAGAATGCACGCAGGCCATCTGGCAATCAGGAACCTGGGATCTCCAGATTGCGCAAATTCTCAAAATTCGCGAACCAGACACGTACAACTGTGCATAGAGAATAGCACATGAAAATAAGAACCTGGCCTAGGCTACAAGGCTGATCTCCCGGGTTCTGCTGAATCCGACAGCACTTCACTACTGAAATAAACTACGGGTTTTGCAAATTATTTTCTCCGATAATGTACTGCAAAACCGGCAAATTTTGGGAGAGAGAGAGAGAGAGAGAGAGAGAGAGAGAGAGAGAGAGAGAAGAGAGAGAGAGAGAGAGAGAGAGAGAGAGAGAGAGAGAGAGAGAGAGAGAGAGAGGGAGGGAGAGAGAGAGAAAAGAGAGCTGGAGAGCGTAGTTATGGTGCGGTGGTTGATGAAAATCCCGTACAGGCCCGACCAGGCCTAACCTTATGCATTGCTGGCATTGAAGGAGAAGTATACCTGGCAAACTGCGCAAGACAATGTACACGTATGTGGAAAGATAACAGCAAGTAAACCTGCTACTACACTAGTAGCTAACCTGAGGCGTCACGTAGAAGATGTACAGGAAAAGTCGTTGAGTGCAGTGCGGTGTACAAACGTGTTACGACCACCGCTATGCAGGCCAGCAAGAAAATGACTAGATTTGCAATCGTAGGTGTCAAACGCGATTGGCTCGAAGTCGGCTACTTGTCAAGCATTGCGCTTGAGAGCAAAGAATCCAATACCAAATAGCGTTTGGGAAACATGTGACAAATAGTTTGAGGGCATTCATCTCAGTAGCGCCACTACTACTTTGGCTGAGTGAGCTAGATAACAAGTACGTCTTGGTGCAAACTGCCAGCATGCCAGTAGCTCGCGCTGGATCACGCCACATTGCGTTGGGAGCAGCGGTGTCAGCGATGCTACTGTTCATTGAATTTAACTTTGAGTCTAGTGCATCAACACCATGGACATACCAATCTTGCATGAGGAGTGTTGCGTAGGAGGTCTACACAAAAGCAACTTGTTAGCCGGTGTTTGAGCTAGAATGTTCCAGTCAAAGATTTGTCTTCGTCGCTCCAGGTTACTACTGAGCCCTGCCGTTGTAAATCGTGTCAAGTTTACTATTTCCCTGGTCCAAGGCTTAGCTTACACAAAGGCGAGGGAATATCACGAGATGGATTTTGACTGAAGAAGGACAGTGTTCGTCGATGGAGGCAGTGGAACAGCTGGTTCGTCACCATCAACCAAAGGAAACGAACGCCTGTCTTTCCGCCCGACAGTTCGCTATTCAACCAGTGGTAAAAACATCCCCCCCCCCCCCTCCCGTAGCCGGTGTTTGAGCTAGAATGTTCCAGTCAAAGATTTGTCTTCGTCGCTCCAGGTTACTACTGAGCCCTGCCGTTGTACAACGTGTCAAGTTTATTAATTCACTGGTCCAAGGCTTAGCTTACACAAGGGCAAGGGAATATCAGGAGATGGATTCGCCTAAAGAAAGACAGTACTCGTCGTTGTAAATCGTGTCAAGTTTACTATTTCACTGGTCCAAGGCTTAGCTTACACAAAGCACAAAGGCGATGGAATATCACGAGATGGATTTCGACTGAAGAAGGACAGTGTTCGTCGATGGAGGCAGTGGAACAGCTGGTTCATCACCATCAATCAAGGAAAACGAACGCCTGTGTTTCCGCTCGACAGTTCGCTATTCAACCAGTGGTAAAAACATCAGAGTCTCTACAACAACATTTGCCCAGGACGCCGTGCGTGGAATACGGTTGAGAAGTGCAGATCGACTTCATGCAATGGGCCGAACTGGCCAAGCCCGCCTTCTGGAGGATGGAGAAATGTGTTCACGCAAGACCAGAACTATCTACCAGCCGTTATCGATCTCGTTCTGGAAGATCTATAGTCGAACAAGGTCATCCCCAGGGCACGGCTCGGACCGCACCATCCTCAGCAGAAAGTGTCAGTCTGGCGAAGACCACTGTTCCATGGTATTCACTGTGCAGCCACTTGGCCAGGAACAAAACGACCCACCCTAGACAACAGGGCGCCATTTGTTTTTAAAGATGATTACCAATCACCATGGTAACCAGGTTAAGTGTACACCGTCGGGTCGACTGAACCTGGCAATGAATTTCTTTGCGCACTTTGTGTGGTGCCGGCGCCAAGCCGATTTTGAGTTGGCTTTCTGGACTACAAACGAGAAAACTCGGCGAGCCAATCTCAAGAAAGGCTTTCTTCAAGAATGCCAAGTTTTTGGTCACGGCGGCCATCACCATCAGCAAAGCTACACATCTGTAAGAACTGAATTCCTTCATACAGCTGTTTCCAGTAGAACACTCCTGTCATTGAAGGTAGATATTGCATCACTAGAATGGCTAAGAGAGAAAGAGAGCTGGAGAGTGCACTTATGATGTGGTGGTTGATGAAAATCTGTACAGGCCCGAATGCTGCTGCTTATTTCTCACACTGAGAGAAATTCTGAAAATAATTCTTAGTTACCATGGATAGTTGCCGCTGATCGGGAGATTTGAGAGATTCAATCCACTCGATGAAAATCAGCTCGAGGCCTCGCGTTTCCGTCGAAGATTATAATCATCCGCGGCTTCCACTGGATTTCTTTGAGTTTCCTCGTTTTTATTGCGTTCTGAAGTGGAGCGATACTCTAGAGGCTGTACTGATGTAGCTCTGGCCCAGGAGCAGGGTTGACAGACAGCCAGAAGCGCATGGTGACAAAAAATTGCTCGCGTGAGTGAGATTATTTTCATTGTGCGTATGCAGTGTGGCCGTGATGAAAAGCAGAAAAAATTATTCCCGGTTTATAATCTTAGGATTGTTCCCTAAGGCCCTCATCAGACTACGTACATAGAAAATCCAGTACAAAATCACATAAAACCTAAAAGGCAACATTTTCCCATGCCTGCATTCAGACTACACATTTCACATGCAATATACAGGCAACCTTTGACCCTACGAAATTGCGCAAGGGGCCTGGGATGTGTGAAAGCAGCGGACAGTCGTACCCGGGTACAAAGTTCGTACAACAGCCTGGTGAAAGTACGATAAATGCAGGAAAGTTGCCTTGTACAAGGGTTGGCACCCTGCCTGAAAGGATTGGGCAGCTTTTTAGGCTTCCCGCCAGATTCTTGTTGTTGTCTTGGAAACTTCTATGTAAATGTGACTTATAGGCTGTTTTGTACCTAGTCTGAAGAGGGCCTTAGGGGCCAGTCACATTGAGGGAACAATACTCGGATTATAAACCGGGAATAAGAGTATATAAATTTTTTTAAACCGGGAACAGGCTTTTTTAAAACTTTTCATCCCGGTCACACTGGATACGCATGATGAAAAAATCTCACCCACACGAGCTATGTTTTTTGTCACCATTCGCTTCTGGCAGTCTGTCAGCCCCGCTCAGCGCTCCTGGGCCAGAGCTGCGTGAGCACAGCCTCCAGGGTATCGCTCCACTTCATAACGCAAGGAAACTCAAAGAAATGTAGTGGAAGCTGCGGATGATTATAATCTTCCGCGGAAAAGCAGGGTCTCTAGTCTCATTTTCATCGAGTGGATTATATATCTCAAATCTCCCCCCCCCCCCCCCCCTCAGCGGCAAATATCCATGGTAACAACGGGTGATTTATTTTCAAAATTTACCTCCGTGTGACCGGCCACTACTAAAGTCTGCAAATTTTCGGCGCGTATAAATTTCGGCCTCCCAGGGCTAAAACACATTTTGGCCGCATTAAAATTTCGCCCTGTACTGATACAATGTCACACTGAACCCTGCAAAAACAACTATTCCGGCTTCCCAGGCTAAAAATGGCCGAGAATGAATATGCTCTGAATATTTGTTGACTTACAGGACCATTGCTACCCTCGATAGCAAGAGTACATAACGCCCCAGAGTGTGCAACTCCCACATACCCTGCTGTCCCGACAGAATTTCAATTTGACGTCATTATTTATGACGCAATGCTCCTTGCACCAGTGATTTACAACATGTGTACGGGTGTCAACGCATCACACGTTTTTCTTTGTAATAATTTGTACAGGATCGATCGGCTTTGGTCAACCACAGGTTCCAGATTCGTCTGATAATCCGTGTACAGTGCGCATTGCATCATCAAAATGACGTCAACTTGAAATTCTGTCGGGACAGCACCCATAGTGGAGTTGCACACTCTTGGGGGGTTATGTACTCTTGTTGATAGCCATTCCTCACACCAATGATCTCAAACAACGTAGGGGAACGAAATGTTTTACCCGTGACCCCTTCGGTTTTTTTAGATTATTGGTGTGACGAATGGCTACTGAGAGTAGCAATGGTCGACTTTAGAGCTCATGGAGGAGGAGAGTTTTATGTACAGTAAAACCTGGTGTAAGCGACCTCTGCTTTTAGCGACCACCTGCTCTTAACGACCGTTTTTCATGCACGGACAATTCTACACAGACACTGTGGGACCTGGTTCTAAAGACCACCTGGCTTCAAAGACCGCTTTGTTTGCACCGTGGGGTGGTCGCTTAAACCAGGTTTTACAGTAATTTAGAAACAGCCGAACGGTACCATTCACAATTTTATTGATACTTCCAGTACCCGTTATTCAACGTATGACATTTCAGTGAAGCTCCCCTAATCCAGCCACGTATATCTACCGGCCCCGAAAGCTAGAGACGGGTATAGAAAGACCTTTACTTGCATGCAGTAAGTATGTCACACTCTGAGTTATGGGCAATTCCTAGCCACAGCCATTGCTCGGTCCCAGCCTGGCCAGATTAGTGGAGTCTTACTATGCCGGCACTTGATTTCACGTTGACGTCTGGTCTAGTTGGTGGACTCTAACGCATAGCTCGTGCCCCAGTATTTTCCATGTTTTCAAACGAATTTTTTTAATAATACCGTACTGGCAATATATGTTGCCGCAGTGAGGCCATGAAGCGTTACATTGGCACATGTTTGCCGCATGCAGGGCGTTACATGCAAAGTCGCACAGGAGCCGTTACACAGGTTTCTATATTGCCGCAGTCCTTTTTTTGCTATTGCCGCATCACTTTTTTGCTATTGCCGCATCATTTTTTTGCTTTTGCCGCATCATTTTTCTTGTGCAGTGCAAACTGCAATGAAAAGATCGCCGCACCCCGCCGTACGCGCGTTACGAACTCAACGAAAATTTGTCGCACTAGCCTGGTCGCGCGTTACGCCGCACCCCCCTGCGTTACGCGTTACGCCGCACCCCCCTGCGTTACGCGTTACGCCGCACCCCCCTGCGTTACGCGTTACGCGGCAACATATATTGCCAGTACGGTAATTGGCATTTGAAATTTTTTTTAAAATAATGTTGAAGCCGTGTACGTGTGCTTCGCTCGTACCTTGGCTGACGATTCAGAATAGGTCTGCTCGCAATCGTTCATTCGCTTGTTCACATAATGATGGAAATTGCTCACGCAGTTGGGATTCTGTCGCATGAAGAATATCGCCACCCGACACGTCTTGCACAGTACTCCCTCCGACGGTGCCACGCCGAATGCAGCGCGCATCTCCTTCGTAGTGAACCTGCCCACGTCAGTCCATAGCGCTGTGTCGAAGCCGCCACGTATGCTTGCGCACACAGCGCACTTCTTCACTGCAGCATCGGGAGCGGCAGTGTCGGCAGAAGATTCGGCAGGATCCACAACATCAGCTTCTATCGACTCTGCGACTAGCGCCATGTCGTCTTGCTGGCTTGCCATTGTCGATTCAATCACCAGCTCCTCGATTGCATCTAACGTTTCAACCGGTTCTGATTCTTCTTGTCTGTCCACTGTGACTGGCATCATGAAGTCTTCATTGGGTTGCACATTTCCGTCGTCGCTATCCATTGTCAGATCTGTTCTACCTAACGTTTCTCTCGTGTCGGCGTCAGTCATCATAATACTTATCAGGGACGTGGTGTCTGCGATATCACCTACCCTTCGACGGAGCTGATTGAATCGGCGCGCTGGCAATTTTGACGCAATTATTTTAGTCACAAAACGAGATTCAAGCACACAAACACGTCACAAGTGTTACCGGACGATAAAACTTTAAAAGTCCCGAAAAAGAAGGTTTTTGAAATCTGGATCCATGCATGGCCTGAGTCTGTACTACTAGTACTACTGGGCCATGGCCCATGCCATGGGCTAGTGACTGGCATCGCAAGGTTGACGGGCCCGTCTTCCCCCCAGATGAAACAGATGAAACAAGATGAAACGAGATGAAACGAGATGAAACAAGATGAAACAAGATGAAACGCCAATGTACGGGCGCAGATGGGGCCGAGATGAAACGAAATGAAACAAAATGAAACAAGATGAAACAAGATGAAACAAGATGAAACCAAATGAAACTCGAAGTACGGGCGTAGATGGGCCGCGAATGAAACAAGATGAAACAATGTACGGGCGGAGATGGGCCGCGCGCAGTGCACCCGGCGTGACGTGCACGAGCGAAAAGAACTGAATTAATCCAATCATTGAAATAATTTTGTTTGCAGAGGCAATTCGCGCAAGGGAGGTATAGGAATTTGATGGCTTGCGAGTGACAGCACGAGCCGAATTTATTGCCCGTGGAAGTACCCACAATAGGAATACACTGTTGGGAACATGGTGGCGCCGCTGACGGTACCTATGTAAGTGGAATTACTTTATTGGAAGTACCCACGACGGGGAAAATAGTCTCTCTAGTATTGTCGGTGAATGGTGATGGTGGTGGTGGCGATGGCTACTTTCCTCTGCTCAGAGAGAACCCCTGCATGTCCTTCGTCGTGATGCGAAAGAGCAGTGGATGCAGGTAAAGGCCGTGTCAGAGAATTTCGCCTAGTGCTGTGGCCAGGGTGAAAATAAATTAGGGCTGAAACGATCATTCAATAACTCCAAGCGATCAACCAATCTCTTTAGAGATGAATATCATTGTAACATAGAAAAATGTGGGCACAAGTTATGCAATCGAGTCCACCAACTAAACCAGATTTCGAATAGTCAGACGTGCACAATCTAGCACAAAACTGACAAGGAGTATGAGTACTGAGACATTGAGATCAATTATAATTGTTGGTTCATACTGAATTATAGATTCTTTCCGGCTGTAGTCGTGCACCTCGAACACAAGACTATGAAGAAATTCCATGATGCCTTTGCTACATTCGCTGTGGCCACCAGTCAAACACTCTACATATACCCAGGCTACCGCTCAGTGTTTGATATTCTGTAAACATTTCAGGCAATTGTGTCGACTCCTGTAGACATCTGACTGGTTTAAAGCCTAGTTCACATTCGACGTAACACTGACGGTACAGGACGTAAGGGCCTGTCGGGACGGCTGGGGTGAGCTGTAAAATCTTTTACGATTCGTACGACACGACATGCTGCGGTCGTTGCGATGTTCTCCAGCGAACGGCGCGAGTCATAAGGCACAGTCCGTGACGGGGTGACTTTCGGACCTAATTTCTTGTTTTTCGGGACTTCTTTTCAATTATTTCTCCTTGAATGAAGCGAAATCAAATTCACAATACCAGTTTTTCATGGAGACAAAAAAGTAGCCCTGAAAGTTGTGCCATTCGAATAGTAGCCCTAGGAAATGATAAAACAGTTCATCTGTCATTCTCCTAAACTATCCCTAAATACCATAAGTGACATGAGATCTTATCTTGCTAAAATTCAACTCAAGTCGTGTTAGCCATTCTGCGAGTTATCATGGGAAGCGCAGTGTTCGAAATCCTAAAAATTTCCCAGTACGAATCGGGAGTGGATGGCGCACGACGCCGCCTCCTGTTCTCACTCAAAATGCAGCCGTTTTGTACGCTTGCGTCTCCGTCTATGCCCGTCTACGGTATGAAAAGTTGAACTGATCCAACACTTCCCGTCGCTTCCCGATCCGTACGGTAGTATGGTTGCGTTCCCGTTCCTGGTGTTCACATTGGACGCCGTCAGACCGTCCTGTCGCTTCCCATCGATCCTTACGCCGCGTCCCGTCGAATTTGAACTAGGCTTTATCAATATGAACTAGAGGAGTTCATGTTGTTGTTTCTAGAACGAAGAATCAGGCTTGTCGTCACCCTTTGGCTTGAAGCTCTTATCACCAACTTCCGCAACGAATCAATCGAAAAGATACCGTCTTGACTCCCGATCTCTTTCATAGCCACGCATCAATATTACTGCGCTTGAAAGTACACGATTGCACTCGTATCCACAATTGGATGGAGTGCAAGGGCTAGAATACTGCCACTGGTATGCATGCATAAAAAATCGTTTGCATTCGCTTTGAACACTAACGATTATCGATTGCGCTCTTAAAACGATCGGTTTGCGAGTTATCTGTATACTTGTTTCAGCCCTAAATGCATTGCCCTCGTAGAGGACAGGGATGAGCAGTGATATGAGCAGGGATGTGAGTACTGATGTGCCTTTCGTCCTCATATTTTACAGAGAAGACGTCTGCCCCCAATAATAAAATTAATGTAGTACTGATAATGTGTTGCCCTTTTATCTTCTCAGGAGCCCTATGCCTTTGCCTCTTCTCCCCTGGACTGAATGGACTGGACGCTCTGTCCAGTAGTGTCCAGTAAATGATTTGTAGTGTAAGTTAGGGTGCACTCTCTCTTGAGGATTTGCCCACATTGATGATTGTGCTCTCCGTGTTATTAGAAAATGTCTCTACCTGCCAGGATGGTATAAGAGCACGAACTGAATCACCTGTTGGTGCAGAAGGCTTGGAGGACTGCTTTTGAAACAGTTGTTCAAATTTCCTGCACCTCTTCGTAGCCGTTGTCTGATTGCTGCATTCTGGGGAGACTGAAGTTAAGGTTAGTGAAGCTGCACAGTCCCCGTGGAAATGTTTATGCTGCTACTATTTACTGCTGACATGTATTTATGTATTTCAGGAATCTCCAGAGGGTGAAGGCTTGCTGCAAGCTCCGTCCCTTCAATGTCGTGATACATCCGTAGATCAGTCGTGTGCCAGTCCTGTGCTTTTGTGAGCATGCTCCTTTGCACATGCCTTTGTCCTGTGCATGCGCGTGTGTGTGTGTGTGTGTGTGTACGCCAACGATACCGTCCGTGCACATGTGCATGGACGTGAGTTTGTGTGTTTGCCTTTGTTATATGCATACAGTATTATCAATTTATCATGCCTATACAAGCCTTGCCAGTGTCTCGATAGGAGAAGCAGGTACATGATTACACCACTTGGGTTTTGACCTTCTTTGGCCGGGGAGAACGTCCAAGGAAAGACTCCCTCTGGGCCAAGGTGTTGGCGACAGTTGAGAGTTGTCCTCTATTTTGCAGCGGGGGACAGCAGGGCATATTTGGTGCCGGAAAGAGTGCAGTTGCACCTTTCACGTTACTGTAAAATTTGCTAGGTCACTCCCTTGAAGCTGGAGACTGCTGATACTGCTGCTCAAACGGCTGCTGCTGTTACTCTCTGCTGCTACCATGGTCGTTGCTTTGTATCAATGGCGAAAATTCTCAGATGAGCTTTGGGTCCGGGCACTAGAACCCTGCTGCTGCCTCTGCAGCAGTTGTAGAAAGTTTTATAATACCAGTGTCAATGGTGAACTTCTGCTCTTTTTTTTATCCCAGACACTTTGTGCTCAAGAGACTGTTAGGTCTTTGTGGTGTTGTCGTTGCTGTTTGGTTATACTAGTTGGCGTCTGTTTGGAAATATATTGTGCTTTTCTGTATGTTCATGTGAACGTAGAAGCCCTCACCGACACCAACACTACGTTGCTGTGTTGTTTTCTTCCAAGGTCGGGCACAGTAAAGGAGACGACTCTGTGAGTATATTCGCAGATGAACTTTGGGTTAATAGAATGCAGGTGCTGCTGCTCTTGTGCCGGGCTGTTGGTGTCAATGATGGGGTGGATCATGCTTTCTCTTTATATACCTTTTGTATATTTGTGTGTAAGTAGGAGCACATACCAACACGTAATCTTTCTAAAGCCTAGTTCTCTTTTGACGCAACGCTGACGGTGCGGGACGTAAGGGCCTCTGACAGCTGGGGTGAGCTGTAAAATCTTGTACAATTCGTACGACACGACATGCTCCAGTCTTTGCGATGTTCAACAGCGAATGGTGCGAGTCATAAGGCACAGTCCGTGACGGGGTGACCGTCCCGTCGTTTCCCGTTGATCCTTATGTCGCGTCCCGTTGCGCCCCGTCGAATGTGAACTGGGCTTAACAATGGCATGGAGACAATTTCAATTGCAGTTTAATGTTACTGCACTGCACTGCAGGTATCAAGGCACTACCCAGAGGGAGGATGTTGGCCTTCTCCTGATGGGAAAATGTCTTCTTTCTCATGGCGTGGCCAGGACTGCACTGACCCTACCATCCACTCTACCTCTCCGGAAAGGGACTTGACAACCAGTCAAGATGGAAGTGCAGAGATATACCAGCGGTAAGTCACATGCTTAGGATATCCACTTGATGAAGGAAGGACAGGTGCTCAACTACTACACCAAAATGTGAGCATAAGGAGGTGGGCTGATGGGTCATGGATGGGTGACAGGTCTTTGCCCGGTTGCTGGAGTATAACAACCTGGGTCTTTGATTGGTTTAGAAGCGGCCCGTTCTATTCGGGGTGCCATCCTCAATTAGACGGGCAGTGACGATCTTGCAGGATCAATCGCACATGTAGAATATGGACATGTGGATGCGGGCAACAGATCTGTAATTTCCAGTATCAAAGCTCAGTTGTATTTGCTTTTCTATATTTTCTATTTGTGATGTTGTTCACTGCAGCTTCTAGCATTAACTGCCAAGTTGCACTGGCGCAGCAAGACTCCCAACAGTCAAGTATGTTTCATTGCATGCACTAGGATTACAGTAGAATGTCGATTATCCGAATGTCAACTGTCCAAACGGTCAATTATCCGAAATTCCTGTTTGCACTGAATTCAATTCAATAAGTCGACTTATACCGGTAAAATATGGTAACAGCGGGACTGCAGGGTGTGGCATTTCCATGATACAGTGGAAAATTTCACGATTTTTGGTGCAAACATAGCTCAGACGCTGCTCGATTGGATATACAATGCAGGTTCTTGGAACCACGGACACGACTCTTCGATTCAAGGCTCACAACACTTCGGGATCTGAACGTTTTAGGTCCGGGAGCTGTTCGCGGTTTTGTCGCTTGTCACGGTTGTGGACTCATCATTGTAGCATAAATGAGGCTGGACTATTCCAAGCGGAAAACTAAAATATTTCTTTCTCAAAGCACAATCACCGGCCCGGAGGAGCACACCTTCTCTAACTACATACCGGGTGCAGTACATGACACGTCCGTGTATTGACTAGTCTCTTGTACATTTAGATCTACCACACGACCCGCGTAGCGCTAGCACAGCAGTGCGGGTCTAGTCATGTGCTACTACTACTGCTACTACTACTGCTACTACTACTACTACTACTACTACAGTACTGCCGGGCGCCGAAGAACGGACCGCCGATGAACGGCCAGGCTATAATTTCGCCATTTTTTAAGAACGGTCTAGGTAGAAACGTAATGTACAATATGAATATGATGTACACTCAGACGCATAAATGTGCATGTAAGACTGTACCATCGAATAAGAACGAAACTGCTGTGTTCGCTAAAAATGAGAACGGGCTAGGCTAGAACCCTGACCCCGTTCTTCGGCGCCCGGCAGTACTGTAGTGTAGTGTTCCGTATGTTTGTTGACTATGGCATGCACGCAGAAGCCAGCGGATGTAAAAAGTCCAAATCGGAAACGGCTAAAACGGGATATCCTCAAATTTTGCCGAGCTGAAAATCACAGGGTACGTAGGGCTTGTAACAGTGAGTCGAATGCTCTTGGTCCGGAGAAGCTGCAACAGATGGTTCTCAAATCGAACGCGTTTCGAATATTGGCCATTTTGCACACAAATAGATGGTGTGGCTACCTGGCTGCACACTGTGACCTTATCACCTGGATCAGGTAGACTGCGTGCTCACGTTCGCTCATGTTCGATTTGGCGTATCTGACGAACCATGGACCGCAGCCTCCTTGGAAAAGAACATTCAACTCAGCGCCCCGAATCTACGTGTCCTGAAATTTAAAAAATTCAGCAGACTTCCCCTTTAATATTTAAGGCAGAACTTATTACAGTCCTTGATTAGAAGTTGACATATTCTTGTACGAATCCGGTGTCTTTTGTGAAAAGTGTATGCAAGCCTTTTAAAAGCATCTCCCACCAGGCATTCGATGGAATTTTTCATAGCGTGGAGATTTGTTACGGCGTGAACTGATGCTTGGCGTGTAGAATTTGCTTTTTGATGTGTTCTTTGGAAGATGCAGTCTTAAAAATGGTGTGGATGTCTTTGTTTCTGTCCTTCTGCTGTCCTCGTAGAAAGAATAATATAGACGTGCAGAAAATGTAGGAGAGCGATGACATCAGAAGGACACTCTCAGGTTCAGGGTACCTGTACTGCCCCAATAAAGTGGGTCAGATCCCAAAACGAGGTTGGCCGAAGCAAAAAAATAGAAGAGCCTGCCTTGAATCGAATATGAGGAAGAAGAAGAAGAAGACAAAGAAAGAGAAAGAGTAGGAATTTGTTTGTGTAAACTTTGTTTCCTCTGTCTAGGCCATCGCATTATAGCAACCAACAGTGTGTGTGTGTGTGTGTGTGTGTGTGTGTGTGTGTGTGTGTGTGTGTGTGTGTGTGTGCGCGTATGTGTGTGTGTGTGTGTTTGCGTTTGTGTGCACACGCTTGTGTGTGTATGTGTTTGCATGTGCGTATATTCTGCTCATCTTGACTTAAATTTCCACATCTGAGCATATTGTGTTCTGTATGTGAATTTATCTTCATTAACTTGTGCGCTACGTTCCTTTCTTCACGTTACGGCACTTTAGTATTGTTTTACTTGAACATCATACTCTCGCCCAACTTTGTTTCACCAACAAAGGTTTATTTTCTAATTGATTGTGTATGAGTTTCATACCACTGTCAGGGGCGTCGGAAGGTATTTTAGTGTGGTACGGTCAGCCATCTGAAGTACAATTTACTCGTGTGGGAGTGGTGGCTAAGCCGAACATTTTGGAAATTTAGATCCCAGATCAGTGTATTTTGTTGATTCACGGGGTATCTGGGGCAAAAAGTGGTACGGTCAATACTGTAGTGACTGTACCGTGTGCGACGCCCCTGACTGTTGCAATCCACCAGCTGTGTTTCCTTGAGGGGCGTATCCTTACCTGGGATGTGTTTTCTCATTCCCGGCAGCAGAAAGAGCTCTACAATATGTATATAATTTAAGAATAGAATTAGATGTACAGGAGAGTGCCGATTATCCCCACCCCTCGGGACGCAGGCTGTCTCCAGAGGGTTCAGATGAGAAGAATGTTCGGATAAGAGAGTAGTCACACATCAATCTAAATCATGCATATTCCAGCATGTTTTCATCATTTTCATTCTCTTCAGCAGTGCAATAGGAACTAGGTGCACTCAAGCTCCTCTAAATTAATGACACTATTATTACACATTTTGACTCAAACCTGTTGTAATACATCTTGTGAATCGCTTCAATGGTGCCCTGAGCGACGAAAATCAACAACTTGAAACTCATCTTCTACCCCTCAATTAAATGGAAGCAATTATTTTGGATAATTAATCATTTGGATAGTTGATATTAGGATAATCGGCACATTGTGTGTGATGGGGGGGGGGGGGGGGGGGAGAGGAAGAGGAGGAGGCTGCGAGAGGCCGTGGTGGACGTGTACTCGTGCAGAGCCTGGAAAAAGCCTCACTTTAGATGTATGCACATTCAAACGGTGGATGCTTCCCGCCATCCTTTTCCCCCTCTTTTTCCTTTTCCCGCCATTCTTTACCCCCTCTTTTTCAATTTCCCGCTCTTCTTTTCCCCCTCTTTTTCCCCCTTTTTCTCCCCTTTTCCCCCTTTTCTGCGAGAAGATTAGCCCCCTCCTTACTCGAAGTACGGGCGTAGATGGGCCGCGAATGAAACAAGATGAAACAATGTACGGGCGGAGATGGGCCGCGCGCAGTGCACCCGGCGTGACGTGCACGAGCGAAAAGAACTGAATTAATCCAATCATTGAAATAATTTTGTTTGCAGAGGCAATTCGCGCAAGGGAGGTATAGGAATTTGATGGCTTGCGAGTGACAGCACGAGCCGAATTTATTGCCCGTGGAAGTACCCACAATAGGAATACACTGTTGGGAACATGGTGGCGCCGCTGACGGTACCTATGTAAGTGGAATTACTTTATTGGAAGTACCCACGACGGGGAAAATAGTCTCTCTAGTATTGTCGGTGAATGGTGATGGTGGTGGTGGCGATGGCTACTTTCCTCTGCTCAGAGAGAACCCCTGCATGTCCTTCGTCGTGATGCGAAAGAGCAGTGGATGCAGGTAAAGGCCGTGTCAGAGAATTTCGCCTAGTGCTGTGGCCAGGGTGAAAATAAATTAGGGCTGAAACGATCATTCAATAACTCCAAGCGATCAACCAATCTCTTTAGAGATGAATATCATTGTAACATAGAAAAATGTGGGCACAAGTTATGCAATCGAGTCCACCAACTAAACCAGATTTCGAATAGTCAGACGTGCACAATCTAGCACAAAACTGACAAGGAGTATGAGTACTGAGACATTGAGATCAATTATAATTGTTGGTTCATACTGAATTATAGATTCTTTCCGGCTGTAGTCGTGCACCTCGAACACAAGACTATGAAGAAATTCCATGATGCCTTTGCTACATTCGCTGTGGCCACCAGTCAAACACTCTACATATACCCAGGCTACCGCTCAGTGTTTGATATTCTGTAAACATTTCAGGCAATTGTGTCGACTCCTGTAGACATCTGACTGGTTTAAAGCCTAGTTCACATTCGACGTAACACTGACGGTACAGGACGTAAGGGCCTGTCGGGACGGCTGGGGTGAGCTGTAAAATCTTTTACGATTCGTACGACACGACATGCTGCGGTCGTTGCGATGTTCTCCAGCGAACGGCGCGAGTCATAAGGCACAGTCCGTGACGGGGTGACTTTCGGACCTAATTTCTTGTTTTTCGGGACTTCTTTTCAATTATTTCTCCTTGAATGAAGCGAAATCAAATTCACAATACCAGTTTTTCATGGAGACAAAAAAGTAGCCCTGAAAGTTGTGCCATTCGAATAGTAGCCCTAGGAAATGATAAAACAGTTCATCTGTCATTCTCCTAAACTATCCCTAAATACCATAAGTGACATGAGATCTTATCTTGCTAAAATTCAACTCAAGTCGTGTTAGCCATTCTGCGAGTTATCATGGGAAGCGCAGTGTTCGAAATCCTAAAAATTTCCCAGTACGAATCGGGAGTGGATGGCGCACGACGCCGCCTCCTGTTCTCACTCAAAATGCAGCCGTTTTGTACGCTTGCGTCTCCGTCTATGCCCGTCTACGGTATGAAAAGTTGAACTGATCCAACACTTCCCGTCGCTTCCCGATCCGTACGGTAGTATGGTTGCGTTCCCGTTCCTGGTGTTCACATTGGACGCCGTCAGACCGTCCTGTCGCTTCCCATCGATCCTTACGCCGCGTCCCGTCGAATTTGAACTAGGCTTTATCAATATGAACTAGAGGAGTTCATGTTGTTGTTTCTAGAACGAAGAATCAGGCTTGTCGTCACCCTTTGGCTTGAAGCTCTTATCACCAACTTCCGCAACGAATCAATCGAAAAGATACCGTCTTGACTCCCGATCTCTTTCATAGCCACGCATCAATATTACTGCGCTTGAAAGTACACGATTGCACTCGTATCCACAATTGGATGGAGTGCAAGGGCTAGAATACTGCCACTGGTATGCATGCATAAAAAATCGTTTGCATTCGCTTTGAACACTAACGATTATCGATTGCGCTCTTAAAACGATCGGTTTGCGAGTTATCTGTATACTTGTTTCAGCCCTAAATGCATTGCCCTCGTAGAGGACAGGGATGAGCAGTGATATGAGCAGGGATGTGAGTACTGATGTGCCTTTCGTCCTCATATTTTACAGAGAAGACGTCTGCCCCCAATAATAAAATTAATGTAGTACTGATAATGTGTTGCCCTTTTATCTTCTCAGGAGCCCTATGCCTTTGCCTCTTCTCCCCTGGACTGAATGGACTGGACGCTCTGTCCAGTAGTGTCCAGTAAATGATTTGTAGTGTAAGTTAGGGTGCACTCTCTCTTGAGGATTTGCCCACATTGATGATTGTGCTCTCCGTGTTATTAGAAAATGTCTCTACCTGCCAGGATGGTATAAGAGCACGAACTGAATCACCTGTTGGTGCAGAAGGCTTGGAGGACTGCTTTTGAAACAGTTGTTCAAATTTCCTGCACCTCTTCGTAGCCGTTGTCTGATTGCTGCATTCTGGGGAGACTGAAGTTAAGGTTAGTGAAGCTGCACAGTCCCCGTGGAAATGTTTATGCTGCTACTATTTACTGCTGACATGTATTTATGTATTTCAGGAATCTCCAGAGGGTGAAGGCTTGCTGCAAGCTCCGTCCCTTCAATGTCGTGATACATCCGTAGATCAGTCGTGTGCCAGTCCTGTGCTTTTGTGAGCATGCTCCTTTGCACATGCCTTTGTCCTGTGCATGCGCGTGTGTGTGTGTGTGTGTGTGTACGCCAACGATACCGTCCGTGCACATGTGCATGGACGTGAGTTTGTGTGTTTGCCTTTGTTATATGCATACAGTATTATCAATTTATCATGCCTATACAAGCCTTGCCAGTGTCTCGATAGGAGAAGCAGGTACATGATTACACCACTTGGGTTTTGACCTTCTTTGGCCGGGGAGAACGTCCAAGGAAAGACTCCCTCTGGGCCAAGGTGTTGGCGACAGTTGAGAGTTGTCCTCTATTTTGCAGCGGGGGACAGCAGGGCATATTTGGTGCCGGAAAGAGTGCAGTTGCACCTTTCACGTTACTGTAAAATTTGCTAGGTCACTCCCTTGAAGCTGGAGACTGCTGATACTGCTGCTCAAACGGCTGCTGCTGTTACTCTCTGCTGCTACCATGGTCGTTGCTTTGTATCAATGGCGAAAATTCTCAGATGAGCTTTGGGTCCGGGCACTAGAACCCTGCTGCTGCCTCTGCAGCAGTTGTAGAAAGTTTTATAATACCAGTGTCAATGGTGAACTTCTGCTCTTTTTTTTATCCCAGACACTTTGTGCTCAAGAGACTGTTAGGTCTTTGTGGTGTTGTCGTTGCTGTTTGGTTATACTAGTTGGCGTCTGTTTGGAAATATATTGTGCTTTTCTGTATGTTCATGTGAACGTAGAAGCCCTCACCGACACCAACACTACGTTGCTGTGTTGTTTTCTTCCAAGGTCGGGCACAGTAAAGGAGACGACTCTGTGAGTATATTCGCAGATGAACTTTGGGTTAATAGAATGCAGGTGCTGCTGCTCTTGTGCCGGGCTGTTGGTGTCAATGATGGGGTGGATCATGCTTTCTCTTTATATACCTTTTGTATATTTGTGTGTAAGTAGGAGCACATACCAACACGTAATCTTTCTAAAGCCTAGTTCTCTTTTGACGCAACGCTGACGGTGCGGGACGTAAGGGCCTCTGACAGCTGGGGTGAGCTGTAAAATCTTGTACAATTCGTACGACACGACATGCTCCAGTCTTTGCGATGTTCAACAGCGAATGGTGCGAGTCATAAGGCACAGTCCGTGACGGGGTGACCGTCCCGTCGTTTCCCGTTGATCCTTATGTCGCGTCCCGTTGCGCCCCGTCGAATGTGAACTGGGCTTAACAATGGCATGGAGACAATTTCAATTGCAGTTTAATGTTACTGCACTGCACTGCAGGTATCAAGGCACTACCCAGAGGGAGGATGTTGGCCTTCTCCTGATGGGAAAATGTCTTCTTTCTCATGGCGTGGCCAGGACTGCACTGACCCTACCATCCACTCTACCTCTCCGGAAAGGGACTTGACAACCAGTCAAGATGGAAGTGCAGAGATATACCAGCGGTAAGTCACATGCTTAGGATATCCACTTGATGAAGGAAGGACAGGTGCTCAACTACTACACCAAAATGTGAGCATAAGGAGGTGGGCTGATGGGTCATGGATGGGTGACAGGTCTTTGCCCGGTTGCTGGAGTATAACAACCTGGGTCTTTGATTGGTTTAGAAGCGGCCCGTTCTATTCGGGGTGCCATCCTCA